GTGTTCAGAGGCTTGACTTCAGTGCAGGACAGGATTTGACTGGGGAGACAAAAAACAATAACGCATCACACTACACAGTTAGACGAAAGGGCTAAGAATGAGTTAGTCCAAGCAAGGAGTAAAATCATTGATGTGTAATAATGTGATTGTGTTTGTGATTGACTCTACATACAGTAATGAGAGAGCATTGATATGGGTACTCAGTGCTTGGAGAGGAAACATTCAATGTGCCAGTGGATGAGCGGGTACATGAGACGTTGCTTCAGTTCATGTCAGGAGAGAGTTGACAATGGAAGTGGAGTGGAGTTGTCATCACCTCTTAATCAGGGAACAGGAGGGGACTTAGCTGTAAATACAAATAGCAGATACATTCCATTACAGCTGCTCCATCATAGCTGACACCCCATAGCTGACACAGATTGAGCACAGCCACACATACATACAAATATTGTTTTATAGGAGGGTCAGAGCAAGTTGTATTTCTCCTTGACAACTACATTTGTTGATACATATTATTGTATGGACTCTATGGAAAAACATTGATTTTTCCTGAGTGGGCGGCAGGTAGCTTAGTGGGTAAGAGCGTTGTGCCAGTAACGAAAGGCGTTGGTTCTAATCCCGAGCCCGATAGGTGAAAAATTGTCGAGGGCCCTTAGCAAGGACTTTTTTGACAAGGAGTTTCTCCATGAAGTTAAACTCAAACATTTCAGAATTCACAGACTGCGCATCTCGCCCACTTGACACATCAAAGTAGCCCAAGAAACGTTCCTGAATAAAGCCCTGATCATCCACATACCTGACGATAACTGACAACTGCAAGCAGACTGGTGGCACCATAGGTCCCAGAGTAGTGGGGAAATTAACCTAACCAGGAAAACTCTGGACCCTGTAAGGTATGAGAGTGATTAATCAGTTGTAAAAAGCTTTTATATGGGCTGTGATGGGACCAGTTTTTCCTAATCGGGTCACATGGTTTAAAAAAAAATAAAAACTCCAGAAAAGAACTGCTTCCCTGGAGGGGATGAAAACCCTGTCAAACTGCAGCAACCTTATACTTGTTCATAAGAATTATATTTAGACAAGAGACAGAGACAACAACTGATAGACAATAGAACTCACAGGACTGAGCTTGCTTTATGCATGTTTGCATCATGCAGGCCTATGCAACTGTAGACCTAATAAAACATTTACTTACATCTGTCATCACTATTATGTTGATTGATTAATTCCAGTTTAGTTGACAGAAAATGCTACCCTGGCCTGCAGATGAACGACTCTGGTGGCAGTTGACGTGATGGGTGGTCACATCTAGTCAGTGTATTATATCCTATGGAAGGAACTGCTTTATGGGATGTGTGTCAACATTCTGTCCAACTTTATTCATACTACAACAAACAGGATACCCCGCCACTTTTTCCCCAAAATATTTTTGACATTTTCACTTCATTTACACAGTTGAAAACAGAGGGGGAGAGTGGCAAGTTAATGCAGGAGGACGGGTAAATGCGGGAATTCCTGTCTCCGGTGGGGAGTGATACATGACCATCCGGGAGCTTTTTGTTGAACAGCTGATGGATGGGGTATGCAGCTATGGATACAAAGACTGACCATCCAAGAGAACAAAATTATAGTTTTAACCATGCTTTAAAGCTAGTGTTTGTTTACAAACATTGAGTAAAACAAGATGATATTTCGGGTTCTGATGAAGTCTGACCGTTGAATTTAAACTCATGAGGCATTTCTAAGCTATCCCAAATTGCCCCTTTTAAGACCCTGTCCCCATTGACAGACAGACAGTCTGGCAGATTGATGGAAGAGGCTGACAAGTCTAAAAGGACCCATGAGCACGAACATGTGAAGTTCATAGAAGGATGTCAAATTGGGTGTCACATGGAAGTTAAGAGTCTATTTTTGCGAAATTAAGGCATATAAATACATTTTTCTAACATTTTTCCATCCTAAAAATTAGGAATATGCAAAGGCTTTGATTTCTGGTCAAAAGGATGGAAAACGGGTCTTAGTCCCCTGCCAACTAATATCAATACTTATAATTAGTTTTTGATAAATGTTTCTGACTTCTGTAAGTTTAAAAAACATTGCCTTGAGCCTTGACATTCTCTTACCAAAAACCCACATATCTTTAACATAAATTCACAGAAATAACACGTAAAGGTAGACCTATAAATTAGTTATAGGGTTTTTACTGATATAACTTTTGTTTATTAATTATTCAGTTATTAAAACTCAATGTCATTATCAAATCTGTAACGGAATTTCCAGAAAAATTGGTAACGGAATTTCTGCAATTGAATTGGCTACAATGGGAAATCATAGTAGTCACAAACCACAGTTGGGTTCACAAGTTTGGACAGTACAGCACAGTACAGGACAGTAGAGTACGGTAAAGAAAAGTAGAGTATAGTTCAGTGCAGTACTGTACAGTAGAATATAGTTCAGTACACAGTAGAGCACACTAGATTTGAGTACACTATAATGTATTGTACTGTACTGAACTATACTGTACTGAACTACACTCTACTTTACTGTACTGTACTGAACTCTACTGTGCTGTGCTGTGCTGTACTGTACTATAGACGTCTATGATTGGTTCAGATTTGGTCGGGTCCGGACTAACCAGATTTGGTCTTGTTTGGGGGCAGTGCTCATTAAAATAATAGCCAGTGTGCAGAATAATACCGAAATATGCAATGGAGGATATTGCATATTTCTATCTTTGTGTACCTATTTAGGATACATCACCATGAAAATAATTACATTCATATCCATAATTATACATTTCTGTATAGTACAGATCAGGGACCCATAATGAAATTCCGTTACCGCAATTCCGTTACCGGGTGTAAATCCCCTTCACACAATAACCTAAATATGTTTTTCTAAGTCAATGTGTCATGTCATAGCTGACACCCCGTTCTTTCTGCAGACATCGTTGAATGCTAATTCGGAGCAGATATATGGACACAAAATAACAAAATTCTATTACCAAACTTTGCACCGCACAGTTCTTTCAGTAAATGTGTTTTTGTAACATGTTCAGTGTAATTGGTTAAAAGTCGTCCTTGTTCGTAGAGTTGTATGGTTTGTTAAACGTTCAAATCAATGGTCTTTGTTTGGCATACATTTTAAGTGAAAAATCAGACTCTCAGCGCAATTCCGTTACTGTGGAATTGCCCTTATCTGACCGCAACGCTGACGTAAATGCCGTAGTAAAATTAAGACAATGCTAGCCCCACGCTACTACCAGGTGGTCTCCATGGGGACAGTGATAGCATTGGAATGTCACACCTCCCCTGCGAATGTTTGGGTCTGTTTGCCTGTTTGTCTGTTTTTTTGTCTGTTTGTGTCGGTACCCATGTGTGTGTGTGTGTGTGTGTGTGTGCCCGAGTGTTTGTGCCTGTACAAACACACACACACCTACATACACAAACACACAGATGCAATGTCAAACTCGCACATACTGTATAAAGTATAACCAGTACTGGCTTGCAAACCTACAAAGACAGATTGAGCACAGCCACACATACATACAAATAATTGTTTTACTTAGGAGGGTCAGAGCAAGTCTGTTATTTCTCCTTGACAAACTACATTCTGTTGATTACCATATTATTTGTATGGACTCTATGGAAAACATTGATTTTTCCTGAGTGCCTGACCACACATATAATGTGCTTCTGAAGTCCATGTTTCAGTCACAATTGTAATGTTTCTTAATTTACTTATAAAGAGAGAGCAGGTGTAGGAGGTGGAAAAACAAATGAGAGAAAGAATGAGAGAAACCAAGTGTTATTTTTTTGTAGCGTTTTTCCCCCTCAGTCTCTGTTGAGAAAGGAGCATATTCATAAAGAATTTACAGTGCGTTGGCTACCATCTATTTTTAGAGATTGCAGTGGAAACTCACTCCTACGTTCAGGAAACGCTTAGGGAACCTGAAAGAGAGATGCTTGAGATTTGGGCTCTGGTCAAATGTAACGCACTGTATAGGGAACAGTGTGCCAGTGTTATGTCTTATAAATGCTTATGGATTATTATGCTTTGTGAATGATTATAAATACATCTGCACGTGCATGTGCGTCTGTGCAACACCGGGATGAGAGTAAGCATTCATACGCCGCAGACCACCCATATCCTTTTCTAATCTCTGCAGCTCGGAAATCCTCCTGTCATCTAGTCTCATTGAAAAATCTGCCCTTATTGTAGACCGTGTCATTCAGAGTATAACCAGCCCATTGCTCCCCCCCCCCCCCCCCATCCCCATCTTGTTTGTGCTGCTCGAGTGAAGCGAGCGTGGTACAGCCATCTTTTAGTGCCACTGCCTGCGCCCTCGCCCCACAGAGACAGTGGCCTCGTTGTAGGTGGTCGAAGAGGGCCAAATAGGGCCCATGCGAATGCACAGAGAGGAGATGGGTGCCAGTCCCTGCAGACCGCATATCAGCCCGCTGTGGCCCCTCCCTTTCCTTATACCCCCTGCGTGAGATGGAGGAAGAGAGGGAGGAATGAAGAGTATGGCCCCTAACGGGTTTATGGCAACCTAACCTGCTTACCTAGGAATATTGTTAGGGGAAGATCTGGCAAACCTTGTGTCCCATTTTATACCAGTACACCAAATTGGAAGGAAAATATAAAAGGCGAGTCAGGGAAGAGGATATGGCTATCAACATGACTGCAGATGATGCTGTAATATTGAATCACAGTATCCATATTATTATACCTGTTGTTTTTTTTCACTCCGTAGGAGGTTCTGTGATTGTACAGCACTATATCTTTGCGCATGTCAGGCTGTGAAGTTCTCAACAACGTTGCAACACTCAATGTTGCTGTGACAAGCCACCCTCTTGGGTTGCTTTGCCCTAATTCTAGCCTTACCTCTCTTTCTCTCTTGTCTTTCAGATCATGCCCCCTAGATAGCAGCCTCACCACCCCTTTACTCCCCCCCCCCCCCCTTACCCTCCTCGTCCCCTACTCTCCTGTGGTCCACGATGCCCCCAAGGAAGCGGACGCGCCCCGCCCTGGGGTTCCTGTGCTGCTTCGGCAGCAGCGAGCCCCCGGAGATCAACCTGAAGGACAGCGTGCCACTGCAGTTGCTGGAGTTCAGTGCACCCATGCCCCCGGCCGAGGAACTGCACGCGCGTTTTTCTGAACTGGTGGTGAGTTGGGGAGAAAAACATATTTCCATCACCTACTACAGCAGGGCTGCCCAACCCTCTTCCTGGAGTCCAACCCTAACCTAACATACCTGATTCAGCTAGTTAAAGGTTGTTTCCCTGCTCAGACGTTGCTGACGCATGCCAGATCTTACAACGCCTGGATAGGTATTTTATGTACAGTGGAGGTTGGTGGGAGGAGCTATTGGAGGACGGGCTCATTGTAATGCCTGGAATGGAATCAATTGAACGGTATCAAACACATTTGACTCCGTTCCAGTAATTCCATTCCAGCTATTACACAGAGCCCCTCCTCCTATAGCTCCTCCCAACAGTTTCCACTGTTTACGTATCAACTAACCACATCATATATCATAGTAATCTGGTGCTCGACTGCACAGTCGATGACATGGCACGCAACCATTGGTTGATGCATGCAACATCTGAGCAGAGGAACGCGACCAAGGTCTTGGTAAGCAGCTAATAAGTAGAATCAGGTGTGCAAAAAATGTGGGTTGGCCCTGAAAACCTAGATCTCCAGGAAGAGGGTTGGGCAAGCCTATACTACAGTATATACACCAGTGGAGACTGATGGAGAAGGAAATCAGATGATGGGAGAAATCGGTGGATGCGTGCAAACTTTCCTACCATTCCATCCATTACAATGAGGCCATCCTGCGATTTAAATAGACACCAGCCTCCCTTACATAGTCACACTGAAATGCTATGGTAAAAAGAGAGCATACAGGACTCCCGAGTGGCGCAGCGGTCTAAGGCACTGCATCGCAGTGCTTGAGGCGTCACTACAGACCTGGGTTCGATCCCAGGCTGTGTCACAACTGGCCGTGACCGGGAGTCCCATAGGGCGGCGTACAATTGGCCCAGTGTCGTCCGGGTTAGGGGATGTTTTTTTTCCGGGGGGGGGCTTTACTTGTGGAGGCCGGGCGCCTGCAGGCTGACTTCGGTCGTCAGTTGAACGGTGAATTGGTGCGGCTGGCTTCCGGTGTGTTAAGAAGCGTGGTTTGGCGGGTCATGTTTCGGAGGACGCATGACTCGACCTTCGCCTCTCCTGAGCCCATTGGGGAGTTGCAGCGATGAGACAAGATCGTAATTGGATCCCACCCACTGGGGAGCCAGGCGCAGCCAATCAGAATGACATTTTCCCCACAAAAGGGCTTTATTACAGACAGAAATACTCCTCAGTTTCATCAGCTGTCTGGGTGGCTGGTCTCAGGCAATCCCGCAGGTGAAGAAGACGGATGTGGAGGTCCTGGGCTGGTGTGGTTACACGTGGTCTGCGGTTGTGAGGCCGGTTGGACGTACTGCCAAATTCTCTAAAACACTGTTGGAGGTGGCTTATGGTAGAGAAATTAACATTCAATTCTCTGGCAACAGCTCTGGTGGACATTCCTGCATTCAGCATGCCAATTGTAATCTCCCTCAAAACTTGAGACATCTGTGGCATTGTGTTGTGTGACAAAACTGCACATTTTAGAGTGGCCTTTTATTGTCCCCAGCACAATGTGCACCTATGTAATGATCATGCTGTTTAATCAGCTTCTTGATATGCCACACCTGTCAGGAGGATGGCTTATCTTGGCAAATGAGAAATGCTCACTAACAGGGATACAACAAATGTACTCACCAAATTGAGGAAATATGTTTTTTGTGCATATAAACATTTCTGGGATCTTATGTCGCTCATTAGAAAGGGACTAACACTTCTTTATGTTGCGTTTAGTTATTTTTGTTCAGTATATGTCAACAATCCTTCCCCCAAAGGACCATTCTATGGATTAAATTGCGTGTAAATCCCCAAAATCATGGTATTTTATGTTCTGGGTTTCACATGGATCACTCAATAGTCTAGTAAAAAAAATGTTAGATAAATTGTTAGCTCAACTGGTCCTGATGTATGGCCAACTGGTTGACAGGCTATGTGTATGGACATCTGCTTAAATGGAAGTTTGGTTTTATCCACTGGTATAGTTAAATGGACACCTGGTTTGATCCTGCAATCAAATTGCTGACATTTTTTACAAGTTCTGGTTAATTTGGACGTCTTTTCATCTGAACATCTGGCTGTAGGACCTTACACCAAAACTGAGCTCCGTCATGTTGAGCTGAAGCTTTGCACAACACAGTAGAGAGAAAGTAGTGGGGGAAAATTTGAGGAAAAACATAACTGAGTGTGTTTCCATGTCACCGGGAGTGAGGGATTATTTTGATGAAATGCAGCTCCTTTTTTCACAAAGAGAAATAAGCTTCGGTGAAGTCTGGAGTAGGAGTGACATATCTGGGCCAAACAGTGGAGCAAACCATCTCTGTATGTTTTTGTGGGGGCCTGGCACTCCCAAAATGGTGTCTCCCAGAGAAGTCACTATATAGGTTTAGTTCTAAAATAGAGTTGTGTTTACAGTGGGCAGTAATTGTGCCACATTAATACACAACGGGTTATGTTTTGGCACCCCAGTAACACTTTATTTGGATAGTCCCAAGTCGATAATTTGTAGATGTTCAATAACTGTCAACAACATTTCAACTAACTATCCCGTAACCCTAGCCCTAACCTTAACCCTTATCCTAACCCTGAAGTTAACCCTAATCTTAACTCTTACCCTAACCCTTATTCTAAACCTAACCCTAACCATCACCTTGGCAAGCAGTTGCTTGTCAACAGATATGGGACTATCTAAATAAAGTGTGACCGACACCCGCTTTATTAGAGATACTGAAAGTCGGGGTCATATTACCATACTTCCTTTCGGATATGTACACTCATGCCAGTCAACATTTTGTAGTGCCAGCTGCGTAAAACACTGCAAGAAATACATTTATTGATTCAAACCTGTTGATCTTCATACAGCATCACCTATTGGTCCACAGATACCATGAAGTACAGGCATAGGACATGTGTCGTATTTCGCTAACTGACGTCATTCTTACGTCAAGACCACAGCGTGTTGGGCTTCGTGCCCCTTGGTTCTTTACAGTATTCTCGGTCTATCCTCACGAGATCCTTCCGTGCCGTTCGCTAACTCTCAAACAAATCCAAAGGAACCTGGGAACAATTGTGATTGATTTGGGCAAGTATAATGGATACCACTAATCACAATAGCCATTTAGGGCAGGCCGCAGAATTTCCTGATACAGAATGTTTAGCTTCCATTAATTGACTTTGGGCTCATTAAAACGGTTTCTTTCCAGTGTCATGTGTTCATGGCACGCACACACCAATGATTTATGTGCCACATGTGAAACTTTGACTCTGGGTGGAGCGGTGACAGTACATTTTTTTGTTAATCTGACAATTCTGGCTTGGGTGATATCATTTAATCATCAAAACAGAATTGCTCTCACATTTGGATAATTGAAAATGGGTTCTCTTTGTAATCTCTGTAAATGTTGTGTGTGTGTGTGTGTGTGTGTGTGTGTGTGTGTGTGTGCGCGCACGCATGCATATCTGTGCGCTTGTCTGTAGTGTGCTAGTTTGTTGTGATGCCAGTATGGTTAGTTGAAATGCCTGTTGCAATTCCTGGCAAAAGAGCCAAAGTGTAAGGTTGTCATTTGAAATGAGTACTGATGGCGATAGGATAGATGCAGTGGAATTCAGGTCACTGTTGGCTTCTGCAATGCTGTAGAAAAGTCTACATATGGCTGCCATGTGCACACAATATGCTCACAGTGGGCCAAACCCAACCGTGGCGCTACCTCCATACACTGCACAGTGAAAGAGAAAGAGGAAAGAAAGTGAATGAGAGACTGACATAAGATGTGAGGGGAGAAAAATAAAGAGGTTTGGGTGGGCAGCAAATAAAGTAAATAATATCTATTGGTTGTGTTTGTAACTAACAACTAATAATTTCCCAAAATATAAGAAAAGATATACAGTACAACCTGATTGTGTATGTATTTGTTTTGATTGAATGTGTGTTGTACTTCCCAAGTCTTATGAGCTTGGATCATAGGCTGTTCTGGGTGGCTGTAAGTGGGGAGTGGCTTGTTGAATCTAGCCCAGTTGGTGCGACAACATCAAGACTAGTGGGCATCTGGCATGAGTAGGGGGCAGATGACAGATTAGTCTGTAGGCTTTCTCTCTTCCTCTCTCTTTGCCTCCCCCCTCTCTCTCTCTCTCTCTCTCTCTCTGTTTTTCTCTCTGTTTGTCTCTTTCTCTGTCTTTGTATTTCTCTTTTTGTATCTCTCTTCCTCTCTCTCTTTGTCTCTGTTTCCCTCTCCCACTCTCTCTGTCTTTTTCTCTTTACCCCTGTGTTTCTCTCTCTCTGTCTTTCCCCCAGCAGAGATTAATCTGGGGCCATTTTAATCCTGCCATTCCTGACTAATGTCCAGCCCAAGACCAGAATCTTGATCTTTGATCTTTGCACCGCAACCTTCAAAGACCCCACCCCATAAAGTACATCATAGTTGTTTTTATGTACATTCTAGTTACTATGTTTCATGTGACATTATACTCATGTCATTTAGCAGATGCTCTTATCCAGAGAGATTTACAGTCGGTGCATTCAACTAACTCTGAATGTTAAAAATCCTAACCTAACGTTTCCCCGGCTGTGGGGGAACGGTCCTTCGAGCCGGATGAGAACAAGAATGTGTTGCGTAACACGGGGAGAGCGGAACAGCCCTCCGCCCTGAGAGCCCATTGGAGTGACTACCCTCAGCGGAGGCCATGGGATGCACCCTCCTTCCTCTTCCCTCTCTTTTCCTCTTTCCCTAGTAGTGCATGTCTGTCCAACTGGCTTCCTTCCTTCCTTGCCCCTCCCCACCCTTTCTCTTTCTCTCTCGCTTTCTTTCTCTCTCTCTCTCTCTCTTTCTCTCTCTCTCTCTCTGGTTTCACCTCTCTTTCTCTCTCCCTTTCTCTTGCTCCCCTTATTCCACCCCCCACCCCCCCACCTCTCCTCCCCCATCTCCCTCACCTTCCTCTCCAGCCAACCCTCCATGTCCTGAGCCAACCCCATCAGCAGGGCTTGACCCAGGGCTCACTTGAACCAGAGGGGGTACACTGTGACTCATCAAAAGGGGCTGAGGGAAGAGTAGCAGTGGGGGGAGGAATTGTGGTGGTGGTGGATGTATGGGTGGAGTTGGCAAATACCAGAGCGGTGCCAAGCCCAAGACACTGATCTCTGACATCTCACTGAGATTAGACTTTTATGGGCAGGGAGGACATGTTCCTAGATCAGCACTCTGAGACTCTTGATGAATACTGGTCCTGGGCTTGCTCCAGGGCAAAGACCTCACGGGATAGGTTGGGAAAGAGGTCTGGGTGGTGTTCAGTAGGCATGAAGCTGAAGAAAATGTGCCAAAATGGGGGAGGTACTATCTGGACCTTGTCTGTTGCAAAACGTTTCACTACGGTGTGCCCTAATGAAGACAGCCTTGCGGTATTTCTCTCTGTCTCGTTCATCTCATTTAGTCGCTACAGCTTCCTGTTGGTCCTCCTGGGGCCTTATATGACTTCCTCCCATCTTGCCTGTCTTTCCTCTCCTTTCCTGTCCAACCCTGAATGGGCTGGAGCAGAAGGTTGTGCGTGTGCATGTGTGTGTGCGTGCGCCACTCTTTACCAGCAAGCAATCTCAGTCTTACCCACACACACAGGACCCATATGCCCATATACAGTGGGGAAAAAAAGTATTTAGTCAGCCACCAATTGTGCAAGTTCTCCCACTTAAAAAGATGAGAGAGGCCTGTAATTTTCATCATAGGTACACGTCAACTATGACAGACAAATTGAGAAAAAATAAAAAAATAAATCACATTGTAGGATTTTTAATGAATTTATTTGCAAATTATGGTGGAAAATAAGTATTTGGTCACCTACAAACAAGCAAGATTTCTGGCTCTCACAGACCTAAAACTTCTTCTTTAAGAGGCTCCTCTGTCCTCCACTCGTTACCTGTATTAATGGCACCTGTTTGAACTTGTTATCAGTATAAAAGACACCTGTCCACAACCTCAAACAGTCACACTACAAACTCCACTATGGGCAAGACCAAAGAACTGTCAAAGTACACCAGAAACAAAATTGTAGACCTGCACCAGGCTGGGAAGACTGAATCTGCAATAGGTAAGCAGCTTGGTTTGAAGAAATCAACTGTGGGAGCAATTATTAGGAAATGGAAGACATACAAGACCACTGATAATCTCCCTCGATCTGGGGCTCCACGCAAGATCTCACCCCGTGGGGTCAAAATGATCACAAGAACGGTGAGCAAAAATCCCAGAACCACACGGGGGGACCTAGTGAATGACCTGCAGAGAGCTGGGACCAAAGTAACAAAGCCTACCATCAGTAACACACTACGCCGCCAGGGACTCAAATCCTGCAGTGCCAGACGTGTCCCCCTGCTTAAGCCAGTACATGTCCAGGCCCGTCTGAAGTTTGCTAGAGTGCATTTGGATGATCCAGAAGAGGATTGGGAGAATGTCATATGGTCAGATGAAACCAAAATATAACTTTTTGGTAAAAACTCAACTCGTCGTGTTTGGAGGACAAATAATGCTGAGTTGCATCCAAAGAACACCATACCTACTGTGAAGCATGGGGGTGGAAACATCATGCTTTGGGGCTGTTTTTCTGCAAAGGGACCAGGACGACTGATCCGTGTAAAGGAAAGAATGAATGGGGCCATGTATCGTGAGATTTTGAGTGAAAACCTCCTTCCATCAGCAAGGGCATTGAAGATGAAACGTGGCTGGGACTTTCAGCATGACAATGATCCCAAACACACCGCCCGGGCAACGAAGGAGTGGCTTCGTAAGAAGCATTTCAAGGTCCTGGAGTGGCCTAGCCAGTCTCCAGATATCAACCCCATAGAAAATCTTTGGAGGGAGTTGAAAGTCCGTGTTGCCCAGCGACAGCCCCAAAACATCACTGCTCTAGAGGAGATCTGCATGGAGGAATGGGCCAAAATACCAGCAACAGTGTGTGAAAAGCTTGTGAAGACTTACAGAAAACGTTTGACCTGTGTCATTGCCAACAAAGGGTATATAACAAAGTATTGAGAAACTTTTGTTATTGACCAAATACTTATTTTCCACCATGATTTGCAAATAAATTCATAAAAAATCCTACAATGTGATTTTCTGGATTATTTCTCCTCATTTTGTCTGTCATAGTTGACGTGTACCTATGATGAAAATTATAGGCCTCTCTCATCTTTTTAAGCTGGAGAACTTGCACAATTGGTGGCTGACTAAATACTTTTTTTTCCCCACTGTACACTCGATGACACACACACACACATCTGTCATCACGGCCAAGCATCATACCTAAAGAGATTGAATGGCTGATTTTTTAGACCTCCCGCTTTGGGCTGGATGGAAGTTGTAGTTCAAATATGCATAATCTATGAGCAGAATTACTGTTTTACCTCATTTTGCCATGAAATCCCTAGTTTGAAAGCTACTGTTTTCTAGATGCTGTGCAGTGTCATTTTCCCTAGATTTTCCCCCACGTGCGCCAGCCCCCTAGTAATTTGAGTTTCAGCCAATGAGCTTCAGTCCCTCGCCATTTGAGCAACAACTAGCAAGAGGCCTGCCCAGCATTATCCAATGAGGTTGCAGGGCGGGCCCAACGGCTCAGTGGACACAGCAGAGAGAGACAGCAATGATGTGGTGCACATAAATGCACATATGTGACGTAGTACACAATTTTCGGGGACCACATTCGGCTCGTGAGCGCTACTTTCAAAACTACTGGCTGAAATTATGCAAATGTTTGACAGTGCATCTTTAAGCCACACACACATTCTCCCTGTGTTCAATATCTCACACCATCAATCATTCCTTACCATAATCACTCATCCACATGTACTCCTATATGCACACACCTCACACCTACTCACACACACCTTTTCCTTCCCTTACCATTTCCTCTCCACGTCTATCTCTCTCTCTCTCTCTCTCTCTCTCTCTCTCTCTCTCTCTCTCTCTCTCTCTCTCTCTCTCTCTCTCTCTCTCTCTCTCTCTCTCTCTCTCTCTCCACACACACTTGCACACAAAATTAACAAAACTAACACACAATCTTATCCTTTTGTCCACTTTCTTATCAGGCCTGCTCAGCTCAGAATTATTTAGTCTCATTGACGGGTCTAAGTAGCAGTCTATCATAGGGGGAAAAAAGTAAGCATTGAACAAGTAAGCCTTGTCCAAGCCAGAATTGCCAATAGAGCATCTCCTGTTTCTGTAGTGTGAGGCAGCTTGATGTACAAGTACGCCCTCTGGACAGGACACTAGTCTTTCGCATGGCCTTAACCCCAATCTATTTCATTAATGCTAAGTGCCAAGCAGAAAGGCATCAGATCCCATTTTTAGAGGATTTGGTATGACTCGACTGGGGATTGAACCCCCAACCTTCCAATTTCAGGCGGACACTCTAATCACAAGGCCACTGAAGATGGTTTGTCTCTCCTCGAACTACTGATAAAATAATCTACTCTCATACTGTACATCACGTCACACAGACCCGACCCTTCTAATCCTTCAATGCTTCAATGTGGTATACTAGAGGGAATATGAAAGTTTCAGCTTCTGTTGTATCCATTTCTACACCGGTGTGTGGATCATCTCACTGCAGACAGTTCATGAGTTCCTCAGCAGTGGGACAAAGGAATGAATGACAGATATTCGAGTAGCTAGCTAGCTTATCCTTTGTGGACAGACTACATAACATCAATTGTATCGTAACATCTGTCAACAGTAGTTGTTTTGGCTCGCAGGTTTTTCGTCACTGGTTATTTTGACAAATCACAATTAAGTGGGTGTGCATGTCTTTCGGAATTGGGAAGGGGAGGGGGCCCGTAGACTTGACTGAAACTTGCAGAGAGAGGGGGGAGGCGCTACCGCCCTGCTTCTGCTCCTCGTTCTAGCATATTTTCGTTCTAGCATCTTCCCCCAGAACTTAATCGAGTAACTGACGCAATTATACAAGATTTCAGTTATTGATTTCCGAGAATACTAGCTAGCTAACTCGCATGTCATATCCAATGTGCTTGATACCCGTTTTAATTTCTAACATTATTCAATTAGGTTTTTAGCTGAAATATGAATATCAGTTGGTGTTACGAAAGGCCAGGTATGTATTTTTCTTTTTCCGACAGCAGGTGTATCAATATTAGCTTTGGTTTATGTGAATTCCACAGGAGCACGGGCCAATGTGGGGGCATACCAGTGAAGGGGTGCAGGAGGTTTTTTCGATTCTCAGATTCGGTTTTGGAGGGTTGGGGTGCCACTGGTCATGAGGAAAGCCATGTGATTTTTTTTAGGGGGGTTGTGGTGTAACTGTGCACACTCGCTCTCTCTCTCTGCCTCTCTCGCTCACTCTCTCTCTGCCTCGCTCGCTCTCTCTCGCTTTCTCTCGCTCTCGCAATCTCTCACCCAATCTTTTTATTTTTTTTATTTAACCTTTATTTAACTAGGCAAGTCAGTTAAGAACAAATCATTCTACCTACGTAGTACACAACTTTTGACCAGGGTCCATAGGGTTCTCGTCAAAAGTTGTGCACTATGTAGGGAATAGCATGCCATTTGGGATGCAGCCCAGGCCTGGCGAGGTCATAAACAGGAGGCGGGGGCTGAGTGGAGGAACAGGAGAGGATAAGCTCACCGGGCCTCTTTCCCATCTGGTTATAATCCAGGGGTCTTTTCCCACTGATTCCCGAACTCGCCAGATCATCTCGAAAACATCAGTGGTTTGGACACCGGGGCTCTGACCCGTGAGTAGGCAATCAGCCCAGAACATCAGAGTTTGTGTTTTTCCTCTCCCGATCCCAATTTCATTCTGTAGTTTATAAGTCTGCAGAGAATGCATTTCAGAATGGGTTTCTGGTGCAGGGCTGAACTGTATGAGGACTGAAAGCTATGTGTGTATCCCAAATGGCACCCTATGCCTCATATAGTGCACTACTTAAACTAGTAAACATAATCTATTGCAATAATGCATTAGTCTGGCGCAGCAGTAACACTCCTGACTCCGGACTACACATACCCTCCATGGCCACGGGAGTTTGAGCCTCGGCTTCGCTGACTGTCTGTGCCCTTCCTACCTGTTTCTCCTCCTCCTTTGTCTATCCCCATGTCTCACGTCCTACTATCCTATCTAAAACTTCACTAAAATATGCAAGGAAGTTTGGACCTCCGTTCTCACCCAAAAATATAATCATAATAATGTCATTGTAATACCTAATCTGCTCTTAAAGAGAGAGTTCTCCCAAATTACAAATGTACATATTGGTTTCCTTACCCTGCAAGCAGTCATTGGACAGAATATGACAGCAAGCCATGCCTTGGTTTTGTTTACCTGGCCACTGTTTCAAATGCTAAATTGTTTGCATTTGTGGCACAAATCCAATGAAAGTCAATGGTACCTATATTATCATTTTCGCGCTTGTCCATATAATCTATAAGTAACTTCTTTGAGTTAGACAAAACATTTTTAGATACTTAACAAAGGATGATTTGGACATGAATTGTAAAAAAAAAAAAACAGCCAGACTAAACTGAATTACCTGTACAAATAAAGGTGAAATAAGATACAATTAAAAAGTTATATTCCTTCCTATGTCTACTGCATTTCTGCAGTTGGCTCTCCCATTGAAATGCCTGGCTTAGAGGGGATGCCACTCCTATCAGTGGCTGCTTAGAATGCCGGCCATGTCCTCCCAGCTGAATAGCTGAAGACAGCTCCTCTGAATCCCCTGGCAGTCCTATGTTTTGTTTTCTTGTATATAAAATAATCTTGTAATTCAGATTCTGTAATTGTACATTTTTATAAACTTTTTACTATTGTTTATTAAATTTAACCCCATTTTCTCCCAATGTCGTGATATCCAATTGGTAGTTACGACCTTGTCTCATTTCGACAACTACCCAACGGGCTCGGGAGAGGCGAAGATCGGGACATGCGTTCTTCGAAACCCTAAGGCCTGCTCGCATGCTAGCTGTGCCACTAGAGATCCTGGTTCGAATCCAGGCCTGTCGTAGCCGGCCGCGACCGGAGACCCATGGGCGGCACATCACAATTGGCCCACGTCGTCCAGGTAGGGAGGATTTGGCCGGCAGGGGATGTACTCAGTGGTAGAGCATGGCGTTTGCACGCAGGGTTGTGGGTTCGATAAAATAATATGCACAACTGTAGTCGCTCTGGATAGAGCGTCGCTAAATGACTAAATGTAATGTAAAATGAACATGCTCTGCCAAGCCGCGCTGCTTCTTAACACACTGGCCGTTTATCCCGGAAGTGAGCTAAACCAATGTGTTGTAATTGAACATTTGAACCCTGATGCTATGCTTAACAATAAAACATGAATCCCCTGGCTTTGCTTGTCCAGGCCCAGACCCCAACCTCAGATGGGGCCCGGTTGGGGGGCTGGTTGCATGGTTGACATCATGGCAACCTAGTCATTATGGCCCAGATTAGTGGAGAGTGGACCACAAAGCCTGGCTCTTTAACATCTCCTCCTCTACCCTCTCTCTCTCTCTCTCTCTCTCTCTCTCTCTCTCTATCTGTCCCTCTTTCTTTTCTCTCTACTTCTAGAGGGCTCTTTCCAAGACTTGGCTTACTTTCTTCCATGGCTGAGATTCATTTCCTTAGCTCATATGCATTTCAAAAGTCTCCGGGAGGGAAGCACCTTGTTCCAGGGTGAACAAATGGACACCGCATTGAATACTAAACCCATCAGAGGTGTCGCGGCAGGTTTGTTGCGACAATCGGATGAATGACATACTGACTCATTGTTGAATTTACGGGCTGACTGGCATTAAACGTTGAGTGTATTGTTGCTTAACACTAGAACCGCTGGGCCTCGAGGGACCCCCCTTCAAGCTAATGAGCAGTCATTCTGACTGCAACATTCTAACTGTGTAATTAATACATTTCATATATGCTATCGCAAAAATAATTATTTGGTTGTGTTTATGAAGGTTTTAGGTAACATTAGAACACAATAGCATTTTCATTAGTTTATGACCCTGTAGGGTATACAGTATGTAAAAACAAAAAACATATGTGTTGGAACGCGGTAAAAGCGTATTTTTATAACAACAAAAAACATTTATACCCCAACCACAGTCAGCAAGACGTGCGGTCAAATTATGAAAACATCAGTAGCCTAAAGATCATTATAAGCGCCAAATGTGCTTGATAAATAGTGAAATTTAGCACAAAAGCAATGATGCCATTATAATGAATATTTGTCGATATGACAGCAGTAAAAAATAGTAAATTATTGTTAGCTCGTGCTTACGTGATGTGCTTCTTCACGCATTTGCATCAGTTGGAGAATGTCCATGTCACATAAACAACAAAAGCTGGTGAGTGTGTTGCTGATGTTTTTTTGCATTTTGTAGGGTCTGCTCTCTCAGTGATGACATTTTGTGCTGTTAATCAGCCCGGCTCGTTCTATCCAAAAGGTGCCGCCCCTTCCTCTCTCCTGTCTCACCGTTTCATTTGGTGGTGGCGTGGGCACCTGCTCAGTGCGCACTGTTCTGGCTTTTTTTGCGCTTAGGCTTTGGAGGTGTAGGTTCAGGCTGAGGCTCAGAATCAGAAGAATAATCATCAGAGATGTCATGATTCATTTCTTCCCAAACATCAGAGTCGTTTTCATTCAGATTTTGTCAATTGTGTACTCCAAGTAGGCCAGAGTAGACTGAGAAGACTTCATTCACAATTGGTGATTACGTAATTATGCATCGTTCACTTCCCCTCGCTCATCAACTCACCCATTCTCCCCCCTTTCTCCCCCATCATACTTTACTTCATGTTATTTAATCTGTTATTATACTATATGTGTGAAATTATAGTTTAGGTTCAGTTTTGAGGCAATTATCAGGGTGATTATAAACTGTGCACGGCACTTTCAACGGTCGGGAGAAGGAGGGGCAACGGGGGTAAACCATTCAAAAAAAGACATGCCCTCCTAAAACTGGTTATAAACAGTGTGTTATATAGACTTATTTAGGAAAATTCAAGGACGGAGGGGGGCATACTTTAAAAATGGCAGACTCAGAGTAATAAAACAATACAATTCATGAGCAGTCCAAATGACTGCTTTAGCGGTTCTAGTGTTAATGAGTTATACAGTATGTAATTCTTGACATATCATTATGAAGCCTCAAAACAATACATTAGATAATCCTATAACTGATTACTTAATTCCTTGATTGATGGATTGATTGTGACTGACTGATTGATTCATTGCCTTTTCTGTTGTCACAGGATGAATTGGACCTGACAGACAAGAACAGGGAGGCAATGTTTGCTCTACCCGCCGAGAAGAAATGGCAGATCTACTGCAGCAAGAAGAAGGTGAGTTCTGACATACACACACACACACACACACACACACACACACACACACACACACACACACACACACACACACACACACACAGAACATTATTTAAAATCAACAACATTTATCCCATTTCCCTTAGTTGAATAGACACGCACATACACACACACACACGCTATATCCAACCTCATCTCTTGAACAGACTGTTCCTTCGTGCAGCTTCAGATTGTCAACACACTGTCTGAAAGGGGGGAACATTTTGGTTAGACCTCCCTTTCACCCCTCTCTCTTGCCATAACGTCCCTCCTTTCTCGATCCATAACAGTGCCGGTTTACTCTGTGGTCAGGTCTCCGTGAGGAAAATACATTCTCGATATAAAAAAGTGAGCTTGGGCCCCTTCCTCAACAGCAAATGAAATAAATACACAGGGTTTGCTTTCCAAATGGCACCCTATTCCCTATGTAGTGCACTACTTTTGAACAGAGCCTGGGCTCGGGCGCAATTTGGGATGTAGACATGGGCAAAGCACATGCATTTTTTGACCGTGCACATGCGCTCCTGTGTAGCCTTTTGGGGGCCCTAAGAGAGATTTAATTTCCTGCAATTCTACACATTTTGCCATGGGCAGTAAAGACAACTTAGCAATTTTATAACAAATGTCATGGATTTCTACTCATTTTGCCATGGGGCAGAGAGAAAAAAATGGCAGTTTTACAGCTAATTTCCTGCAATTCGACACATTTTGTGATGACTAATGCCATGTTAATATGATATGTAAGTGAGAATGACTAACAAAATCAGTGGTGACCCCCTGGAGGTCAAGGCCCCTGGGCACGTGCCCAGTGTGCCCGGTCGGTGTTCCACCATGATTACTACAAGTTTAGATAGCTGTCTAGACTAACTACCAATCTAAAAATTGTTAGCTGATATTGCTAATTGAGTGACTGTTAATGACTTACATAACATGAGAAAAATGGCTGATTCATAACCAAATTTCTAAATTGCACCTGGTGTATTCTACTATTCTAACAGTCAATAGTAAGTAAATGGTCTGGTCCCCAAGTGGGCGGGGGCCCTAAGCGACCGCTTATGCCTAGAACTGTCCCTGTGTGTAGGATTTCTATACCCCTGGAAGGTTGGAACTACTGGAAAGAAAGACATGGGCCTTTTCTCAATTGGATTTCATAGACTCCTCACGTCCTCTCCTCCCGTCCTCTATAGTTAGGTGAACGGAAGAGTTAACTCCTCTTCTCAATATTTTTGTTTTATAGATAAAAGGATAAGTAGCTATCATTTTAAAAATGTTTACAAATTTTTCTCCTTTGAGAAAACAACAGCGGTTTCAAAGGGTGTGTAGCTGATTTCAAAGCTCTTCCACGGTAGGATACACCTGAGCATCCTCCGCTGGAGGAGGCAATCGAAGAGAGGAGGAAACTCCTCTGTTCACCTATTAATTCATTTACACTCTTCCACATATGGCGACAACTTAGCGGTTTGAGGGTCATGGAGGAGAGGAGGACTAAGGAGTCGAGAAGAGGACAAACTGTTACCCAATTGAGAAAAGGCCATATTTAGGAGAAGAGTTTGAAGGACTGAATGGTGTTTTAGAAGAAACGCATGTCAAATGCTATCAAATACTTGAGCCTGCTCCTGATTTAGTTTGGAATATTCCCAAAAGTGCAAATACACCTAAATCAAGTGCACCTCAAATACTTTTAAGTGTGTATTTGTATTTGACCAAGGTCTGTACCGATTGCAAGACAAGAAGGCTTCGACACCTCAGATTTATTCAAAATTGTATCAAAATTGATTCAAAACTGACACACTCTTTGTACAGTAATAGTCATACACACTCCAACAAATGTAGACCGGTTAAACAGTGAGTATCTAGGAGTGGAGGGTTTAAGACTGAGGTTCTAGGAGTGAGGGTCTAGGAGTGAGGGTTTATTTCTGAGGTTCTAGGATTGAAGGTCTAGGAGTGAGGGTTAAGTCTCTTTGTTCCTTCCCTGGCTCCCCAGTCAAAACCCATTTCCTTTGTGAGTCTCCTGTACTAAATCAGCCGGACGCAGAGCCAGGAAACATAGGCCAGGACCAAGGAACAAGTCAGAACAGAAACAAGGAGTACACACCAAACACACCTCTCATTCATAGGCAGCCAGGGGTAATGGAGAATAGGGAAATGGGGGAGAAGAACAGCACCACCGACTGCTTAGAATGCAGGACGATGTGTACGCAAACACACACAAACACACACACACACACGTACACACACACACTTAATCACACACAGAGACATACGGACATATGCAGGCACGCATGCAGGCAGGCACGCACGCATGCAGGCATGCACACACACACACACACACACACAAAGCAGCCATTGTTTGGTCGAAATGACAGTGATTTTAATGCGAAGTACCTCAGAGCCATAGCACGGATTAGGGAAACTTTCCTTCCCTCAGTCTCTAGAAACAGTGGCCCTCTTGTTATTTGGGCCAAACCAGCAGCTGCTGTTGTTGCTGTTGTTGTTGTTGTTTTTGCCTGTATGATAACATTAGGAAAGCCAATAAGAGTTTTCTGAGTAACTCAAGTCCACTTTACAAATGTAGCTGTAAAACTGCAGTGTAGTGCGGTTTAGGATCTTGAACTTAAAATATCGGTATATTTTTAAAGTATTTTTGGATTTTATTGAACTGATAGAAAGAAGATTACAGTGGGGAAAGAGAGAGAGAGGTTAGTAGCCCGGATTCGAACCTATGCCAACACCATAGACATGTGTACCGGAGGCTGCAGCATTACCACTACACACAGGATGCAGTGGAGGCTCCTTAGAGGAGGAAGGGGAGTAACCATCATCCTCAGTGAATTTCCTAAAAATATATATTGTAAAACATTAAAAAAGTTATCCTTTTTAGATAAAACAAATAATTGATTAAAACACACTATTTTGCAAATAAGGTCTACAGTAGCCTCAACAGCACTCTATAGGGTAGCACCGTGGTGTAGCCGGAGGACTGCTAGCTTCCGCCCTCCTCTGGGTACATTGACTTCAAAATAAAATCTAGGAGGCTCATGGTTCTCACCTCCTTCCATAGACTCACACAGTAACTTCCGGAGGACATCCTCCAGCCTATCAGAGCTCTTGCAGCATGAACTGACATGTTGTTCACCCAATCAAAGGATCAGATAATTAATCTAGTACTGAAAGCATAAGCTACAGCTAGCTAGCACCGCAGTGCATAAAATGTGATGAGTAGTTGACTCAAAGAGAGAGAAAGACAATAGTTATTTTTTATTTTTTTCTCCCCAATTTCGTGATATCCAATTGGTAGTTACAGTCTTGTCCCATCGCGGCCACTCCCCTACGGAGGGCAAAGGTCGAGAGTCATGCGTCCTCTGAAACATGACCCTGCCAAGCCGCACTGCTTCTTGACGACACTGCTCGCTCAACCCGGAAGCCAGCCGCACCAATGTGTCGGAGGAAACACCGTACAACTGGCGACCGTGTCAGCGTGCATGTGCCCGAGAAGCAGGGAGAAATAGAGAAACATTTTTTTTTCACTTATTTAGCTAGCAAATGCAGCTAGCTAGTTTAGCCTACCGAAACACCCTACTCTAACAGAGGGATGCTACGTTAGCTAGCTGGCTATGACTATCCAACACAACACTGGAACTCTTCCAGGTCAAGGTAAGCTTTTGGTTTTACTAATTTACTGCCACCGGGGCCCGCCGATGTAACTGCTTACTGACTCTACACTGTAACGTTCCTGATTGATTGTAGCGGGTTTACTAACGCGTAAGTTCTATTAGCTATGCTGACTATGATGTTGCTTTAGCTAATATGGTGACAATGATGTAGGCTGTGTGTAGTAGAAAGTTATTTTTTGCTTGGTCACATACAGCTGATGTGTTGTGCATTGAAGTCCACAAGCGAAGGTGAGAGGAGGAGAGTGCATATATGCGAGAAGGAATACAACGTGGCTGCTATGAAAGTGAACTGTGTATACGCGTGATCGGGGTGTATTGATTCCGCCGATTCTGTTGAAAAAACTTTTCTTAAACTGAAGCAAATGGAACAAAATGGGGGTAAACATCCCTGAATTTGTCCAATAGAAACTCTTGTTTGCAACTGTTGGACTAATGATTACACCCTATATCACAGGGGTACTCAACTCTTACCCTACGAGGTCCGGAGCCTGCAGGTTTTCTGTTCTACCTGATAATTAATTGCACACACCTGGTGTCACAGGTCCCTGACTGAAAAATGCAGTGCAACTGGATTCGAGGTCCAGAATTGACTCTGAGGGCTTTATCAGCTAGATGCAGGCAAGAGTGTGCAAGGCGGTTTTGAAAGTCACTGTCTGTCCATGTGTCACAGTCTGTCACCTCAAATTTGTCTCTTGACATATGTGCACCTACGTTGTAAAATGTTATTCATAGGCTAGGTTGTAACAATCTCATGATGGCTATAGGGAAAATTTGAGTATCATTTAGTAGCCTAAACCTATCGCTGTTACATTGAACTGGGTGGATGGAATATGAATGACAGTCATCCAATATGATGTAATAGAAATAAACCCATGCTCGTGAAAAACAAATCATCCTCCCTCATCTTAAACGGCACTGACCACAACTGACAGGATGTTGATCTTATGGGCAATCACTATATCTTAAACCTTCTTTAGGTAGGGAAAGGCTCCAATAGAACACACACAGTTACACAATGGCTAGTGACAATCCACTGATTTGGATTCTGATCTGCTTCAAACTGGCAACATGTTTAAATGGGCAATCTTCTTTTTTTTTTTAAGGTAGATTGTAACTTCCATCAATGTAATTGTCTGCATCACTTCCAAACCCCCATATGTTTTGTTTCTCACAAATATATAAATATATATATATATATATATATATATATATATATATATATATGCACATACATACATATAAATACATATACATACATATATACATATCCTTTCTTTTAAATATAGTTCCCCTTTCCAACCCCACCACCCATTCCCTAATTGGAGTAAACTAGTGAACAACAACGCTTAGGCCTCTACTTCCAGTTTATACATACTATGGGGCGGCAGGTAGCTTAGTGGTTAAGAGCATTGTGCCAGTAACCGAAAGGTCGCTGGTTGTAATCCCTGAGCCGACTAGGTGAAAAATCTGTTGATATGCCCTTGAGCAAGGCACTTAACCCTAATTGCTCCTGTAAGTCGCTCTGGATAAGAGCGTCTGCTAAATGACTAAAATGTAATGTAAATGTAATATACATTTTATGGACACAGTCAATTTTACAATAATTATATTTTGTTTGTTTTTACTCCTGAACTTCCTCTACCCTCAACATCTCCGATCATTTTCATGATGTCTATCCGGTTTGCTTCTATATGTCATATCTTTAACTGTGCTCTTTCACAAAAGCTCTCAAACTATAACCTATATAGCTTGAAACCTGAACGTGTTCACCCCCCTTGGCATTTTTCCTATTTTGTTGCCTTACAACCTGGAATGATAATGGATTTTTGTGGGGTTTGTATCATTTGATTTACACAACATGCCTACCACTTTGAAGATGCAAAATATGTTTTATTGTGAAACAAACAAGAAATTAGACAAAAAAATCTGAAAACTTGAGCTTGCATAACTATTCACCTCCCCCAAAGTCCATACATTGTAGAGCTACCTTTTGCATAAATTACAGCTGCAAGTCTCTTGGGGTATGTCTCTATAAGCTTGGCACATCTAGCCACTGGGATTTTTGCCCATTCTTCAAGGCAAAACTGCTCCTGCTCCTTCAAGTTGGATGGGTTCCGCTTGTGTACAGCAATCTTTAAGTCATACCACAGATTCTCAATTGGATTGAGGTCTGGGCTTTGACTAGGCCGTTCCAAGACATTTAAATGTTTCCCCTTAAACCACTAAAGTGTTGCTTTAGCAGTATGCTTAGGGTCATTGTCCTGCTGGAAGGTGAACCTCTGTCCCAGTCTCAAATCTCTGGAAGACTGAAACAGGTTTCCCTCAAGAATTTCCCTGTATTTAGCGCCATCCATTATTCATTGAATTTTGACCCGTTTTCCAGTCACTGCCGATGGAAAAACATCCCCACAGCATGATGCTACCACCACCATGCTTCAATGTGAGGATGGTGTTCTCTGGGGTTATGAGAGGTGTTGGGTTTGCGCCAGACATAGCGTTTTCCTTGATGGCCAAAAAGCTCAGTTTTAGTCTCATCTGACCAGAGTACCTTCTCCCACATCCCTTTTGGCGAACACCAAATGTGTTTGCTTATTTTTTTCTTTAAGCAATGGTTTTTTTCTTTCCACTCTTCCGTAAAGCCCAGCTCTGTGGAGTGTATGGCTTAAAGTGGTCGTATGGACAGATACTCCAATCTCCGCTGTGGAGCTTTGCAGCTCCTTCAGGGTTATCTTTGGTCTCTTTGTTGCCTCTGATTAATGCCCTCATTGCCTGGTCCATGAGTTTTGGTGGGCGGTCCTCTCTTGGCAGGTTTGTTGTGGTGCCATATTCTTTCAATTTTTTTATAATGGATTTAATGGTGCTCCGTAGGATGCAACCCTGATAACCCAACCTAGAACTGTACTTTTCCACAACTTTGTCCCTGACTTGTTTGGAGAGCTCCTTGGTCTTCATGGTGCCGCTTGCTTGGTAGTGCCCCTTGCTTAGTGGTGTTGCAGACTCTGGGGCCTTTCAGAACAGGTGTATATATACTGAGATCATGTGACAGATCATTTGACACTTAGATTACAGGTTGTAATGCAACACAATAGGAAAAACACCAAGGAGGATGAATACTTTTGCAAGGCACTGTACTTACAGTGGGGGAAAAAAGTATTTAGTCAGCCACCAATTGTGCAAGTTCTCCCACTTAAAAAGATGAGAGAGGCCTGTAATTTTCATCAAAGGTACACGTCAACTATGACAGACAAATTGAGATTTTTTTTCTCCAGAAAATCACATTGTAGGATATTTTATGAATTTATTTGCAAATGATGGTGGAAAATAAGTATTTTGTCACCTACAAACAAGCAAGATTTCTAGCTCTCACAGACCTGTAACTTCTTCTTTAAGAGGCTCCTCTGTCCTCCACTCGTTACCTGTATTAATGGCACCTGTTTGAACTTGTTATCAGTATAAAAGACACCTGTCCACAACCTCAAACAGTCACACTCCAAACTCCACTATGGCCAAGACCAAAGAGCTGTCAAAGGACACCAGAAACAAAATTGTAGACCTGCACCAGGCTGGGAAGACTGAATCTGCAATAGGGAAGCAGCTTGGTTTGAAGAAATCAACTGTGGGAGCAATTATTAGGAAATGGAAGACATACAAGACCACTGATAATCTCCCTCGATCTGGGACTCCACGCAAGATCTCACCCCGTGTGGTCAAAATGATCACAAGAACGGTGAGCAAAAATCCCAGAACCACACGGGGGGACCTAGTGAATGACCTGCAGAGAGCTGGGACCAAAGTAACAAAGCCTACCATCAGTAACACACTACGCCGCCAGGGACTCAAATCCTGCAGTGCCAGACGTGTCCCCCTGCTTAAGCCAGTACATGTCCAGGCCCGTCTGAAGTTTGCTAGAGTGCATTTGGATGATCCAGAAGAGGATTGGGATAATGTCATATGGTCAGATGAAACCAAAATATAACTTTTTGGTAAAAGCTCAACTTGTCGTGTTTGGAGGACAAAGAATGCTGAGTTGCATCCAAAGAACACCATACCTACTGTGAAGCATGGGGGTGGAAACATCATGCTTTGGGGCTGTTTTTCTGCAAAGGGACCAGGACGACTGATCCGTGTAAAGGAAAGAATGAATGGGGCCATGTATCGTGAGATTTTGAGTGAAAACCTCCTTCCATCAGCAAGGGCATTGAATATGAAACATGGCTGGGTCTTTCAGCATGACAATGATCCCAAACACACTGCCCGGGCAACGAAAGAGTTGCTTCGTAAGAAGCATTTCAAGTGCCTGGAGTGGCCTAGCCAGTCTCCAGATCTCAACCCCATAGAAAATCTTTGGAGGGAGTTGAAAGTCTGTGTTGCTCAGCGACAGCCCCAAAACATCACTGCTCTAGAGGAGATCTGCATGGAGGAATGGGCCAAAATACCAGCAACAGTGTGTGAAAACCTTGTGAAGACTTACAGAAAATGTTTGACCTGTGTCATTGCCAACAAAGGGTATATAACAAAGTATTGAGAAACTTTTGTTATTGACCAAATACTTATTTTCCACCATAATTTGCAAATAAATTCATTAAAAATCCTACAATGTGATTTTTCAGGAAATTTTTTTCCTCAATTTGTCTGTCATAGTTGACGTGTACCTATGATGAAAATTACAGGCCTCTCTCATCTTTTTAAGTGGGAGAACTTGCACAATTGGTGGCTGACTAAATACATTTTTTTCCCCACTGTAGGTTGAAAATGTCAGTGAAGACACTTCCCAGCTGGTCAGCCCATGCTCTGAGTACACGTCCTGGTATTCCATCTGGCCCCACAGCCTTGTGAATGTTAACCTGTTTAATGGTCTTACTCATACATGCTATGGAGAGTGAGATCACACAGTCCTCCGGAACAGCTGGTGCTCTCATGCATGGTTCAGTGTTGCTTGCCTCGAAGCGATTATTGAAGGCATTTAGCTCGTCTGGTAGGCTTGCGTCGCTGGGCAGCTCACGGCTGGGTTTCCTTTTGTAATCCGTGTTAGTTTGCAAGCCCTGACACATCCGTTGAGCATCAGAGCCGGCGTAGTGGGATTCGATCTTAGTCCTGTATTGATCCTTTGCCTTTTTGATGGCTCGTTCGTAGGTCGTAGCGGGATTTCTTATAATGTCCGGATTAGTGTCCCGCTCCTTGAAAGCGTCAGCTCTAGCCTTTAGCTCAGTGCGGATGTTGCCTGTAATCCATGTCTTCTGGTTGGGGTATGCACGTTTGGTCACTGTGGGGACGTCGTTGTCAATGCACTTATTGATGAAGCCAGTGATCTTTGTGGATGGTTTGTTCTCTGTAGAGGCAGCTTCACTCACGGCTGTCTCAGCCCAAGGGGTTCAGCCAGAGCCCTAGCATCTCACTGAAGGCCTGGGAACACAGTTAAAGGAACCGACTAGCGCTCCATTAACCAGAGAATGGGAGAAACACTTCAGGCCGTTGCGGAGTTAGCCAGGGGTCGACATCAGCCCGTTCCAGAGCTAACAGCTTGCCTGGCTACAGAAATCAGTGAATGAGCGAGTTGGAGTGAGTTAGGGCCAAAACCAGTAGTTCGGCACTTCAGAAGACTTGAAAGTGAAATGGGCTCCCTACGATCTTGGAACACGTGTGTGTGTGTGCACTTCTGTGTGTGTGTGTGCTCGCGTGTGTGTGCATGTGTAATGGGGTCGTGATTTGGCAGATATTGAAGTTGGCAGAGACCAACCAATGCAGTGGTCTTCCAATGTTGATTTTATAAAAATAGATTAGCTGAAGTAAGAATGAGGTTAAGACGGAAACAAACACAAGAAACTCCTATGGCATTTTAGAATTCCTTTTAGAGAGACCCTTATGTCTTGGCTATGATATGTCTTGGTTATGATATGAAGCTGTGTTTGAGATTTCTTGATTGATTTGATTAGGATAACACAGAAAATTAATTGACAACACACCTTGAAGGGAGCACAGTAAGATGAAAAAAAATAAAACATGTATATAAACCATACGTGGTCCTTGAGTACCTCATATTCCAAGTTTTCTACAGCTGTTTCTACAACTGTTTAGAACTTGAATATGGTGTTGAATGAACAGTGAAAGGAACTTGACTTCTTTCTTTTTTTACACAGTTTTATTGGTGGAAAAATAAACGTATACATATTTACATATTTCACATTTCCTTCAACTTGTTGACTGGTGTTTGCATGTTGATAAAGTGATGGTATGGTGCTTTAATAGAATACTACCATACCACACACAGAGGAATTGATAAAGCGATGGTATGGTAGTTTAAGCTAGATAAATGTTTTTTTGCATTGGATGCGATCTGCCAACTTTTGTCTTTAGCGTCCGAACAGTTTGTGATACACAGTAATATGACCCCTCTGTGGAAAGGTGAGACTCTTGAACACATACATGTCAGTTGTTTTGCTCTAGGGCGCCCATAGGCCTCACAAGACTTGTCTGAAGTTCCTCCGGAACCAGTGGAAAAAATGAATGGAAGTACAGTTGAAGTCAGAAGTTTACATACACTTAGGTTGGAGTCATTAAAACTCGTTTTTCAACCACTCCACAAATGTCTTGTTAACAAACTATAATTTTGGCAAGTCGGTTAGGACATCTACTTTGTGCATGACACAAGTAATTTTTCCAACAATTGTTTACAGACAGATTATTTCACTTATAATTCACTGTATCACAATTCCAGTGGGTCAGAGGTTTACATACACTGAGTTGACTGTGCCTTTAAACAGCTTGGAAAATCCCAGAAAATGATGTCATGGCTTTAGAAGCTTCTGATAGGCTAATTGACATCATTTGAGTCAATTGGAGGTGTACTGTGGATGTATTTCAAGGCCTACCTTCAAACTTAGTGCCTCTTTGCTTGATATTATGGGAAACCAAATGAAATCAGCCAAGACCTCAGAAAAAAAAGTAGACCTCCACAAGTCTAGTTCATACAAATGCCTGAAGGTACGACATTCATCTGTACAAACAATAGTACGCAAGTATAAACACCATGGGACCACGCAGCCGTCATACCGCTCAGGAAGGAGACACTTTGGTGCGTAAAGTGCAAATCAATCCCAGAACAACAGCAAAGTACCTTGTGAAGATGCTGGAGGAAACAGGTACAAAAGTATCTATATCCACAGTAAAACGAGTCCTATATTGACATAACCTGAAAGGCCGCTCAGCAAGGAAGAAGCCACTGCTCCAAAACCGCCATAAAAAAGCCAGACTACGGTCTGCAACTGCACTTGGGGACGAAGATCGTACTTTTTGGAGAAATGGCCTCTGGTCTGATGAAACCAAAAATAGAACTGTTTGGCCATGATGACCATCTTTATGTTTGGAGGAAAAAGGGGGGGCTTGCAAGCCGAAGAACACCATCCCAAACCGTGAAGCACGGGGGTGGCAGCATCATGCTGTGTGGGTGCTTTGCTGCAGGAGGGACTGGTGCACTTCACAGAATAGATGTCATCATGAGGAAGGAAAATTATGTGGATATATTGAAGCAACACCTCAAGACATCAGTCAGGAAGTTAAAGCTTGGTCGCAAATCGGTCTTCCAAATGGACAATGACCTCAAGCATACTTCCAAAGTTGTGGCAAAATGGCTTAAGGACAACAAAGTCAAGGTATTGGAGTGGCCATCACAAAGCCCTGAACTCAATCCTATAGAACATTTGTGGGCAGAACTGAAAAAGCGTGTGCGAGCAAGGAGGCCTACAAACCTGACTAAGTTACACCAGCTCTGTCAGGAGGAATGGGCTAAAATTCACCCAACTTATTGTGGGAATCTCGTGGAAGGCTACCTGAAACGTTTGAACCTAGTTAAACAATTTACAGGCAATGCTACCAAATACTAATTGAGTGTATGTACACTTCTGGCCCACTGGGAATGTGATGAAAGAAATAAAAGCTGAAATAAATCATTCTCTCTACTTTTATTCTGACATTTCACATTCTTAAAATAAAGTGGTGATCCTAACAGGAATTTTAACTAGGATTAAATGTCAAGAATTGTGAAAAACTGAGTTTAAATGTATTTGGCTAAGGTGTATGTAATCTACCGACTTCAACTGTATATATGGAGAATGTTTAGTGCCAAAAATAAGGGGTTAAATACATAAATGCAGTGAGGGAAAAAAGTATTTGATCCCCTGCTGATTTTGTATGTCTGCCCACTGACAAAGACATGATCAGTCTATAATTTTAATGATAGGTTTATTTGAACAGTGAGAGACAGAATAACAACAAAAACATCCAGAAAAACACATGTCAAAAATGTTATGAATTGATTTGCATTTTAATGAGGGAAATAAGTATTTGACCCCTCTGCAAAACATGACTTAGTACTTGGTGGCAAAACCCTTGTTGGCAATCACAGAGGTCAGACATTTCTTGTAGTTGGCCACCAGGTTTGCACACATCTTAGGAGGATTTTGTCCCACTCCTCTTTGCAGATCTTCTCCAAGTCATTAAGGTTTCGAGGCTGATGTTTGGCAACTCGAACCTTCAGCTTCCTCCACATATTTTCTATGGGATTAAGGTCTGGAGACTGGCTAGGCCACTCCAGGACCTTAATGTGCTTCTTCTTGAGCCACTCCTGTGTTGCCTTGGCCGTGTGTTTTGGGTCATTGTCATGCTGGAATACCCATCCACGACCCATTTTCAATGCCCTGGCTGAGGGAAGGAGGTTCTCACCCAAGATTTGACGGTACATGGCCCCATCCATCGTCCCTTTGATGCGGTGAAGTTGTCCCCCAAAGGATAATGTTTCCACCTACATGTTTGACGGTGGGGATGGTGTTCTTCGGGTCATAGGCAGCATTCCTCCTCCTCCAAACACGGCGAGTTGAGTTGAGCAGGGATTTTGGCCCACTCCTCCATACAGACCTTCTCCAGATCCTTCAGGTTTCGAGGCTGTCGCTGGGCAATACGGACTTTCAGCTCCCTCCAAAGATGTTCTATTGGGTTCAGGTCTGGAGACTGGCTAGGCCACTCCAGGACCTTGAGATGCTTCTTACAGAGCCACTCCTTAGTTGCCCTGGCTGTGGGTCATTGTCATGCTGGAAGACCCAGCCACGACCCATCTTCAATGCTCTTACTGAGGGAAGGAGGTTGTTGGCCAAGATCTCGCGATACATGGCCCCATCCATCCTCCCCTCAATACGGTGCAGTTGTCCTGTCCCCTTTGCAGAAAAGCATCCCAAAAGAATGATGTTTCCACCTCCATGCTTCACGGTTGGGATGGTGTTCTTGGAGTTGTACTCATCCTTCTTCTTCCTCCAAACACGGCGAGTAGAATTTAGACCAAAAAGCTCTATTTTTGTCTCATCAGACCACATGACCTTCTCCCATTCCTCCTCTGGATCATCCAGATGGTCATTGGCTAACTTCAGACGGGCCTGGACATGCGCTGGCTTGAGCAGGGCGACCTTGCGTGCGCTGCAAGATTTTAATCCATCACAGCGTAGTGTGTTACTAATGGTTTTCTTTGAGACTGTGGTCCCAGCTCTCTTCAGGTCATTGACCAGGTCCTGCCGTGTAGTTCTGGGCTGATCGCTCACCTTCCTCATGATCATTGATGCCCCACGAGGTGAGATCTTGCATGGAGCCCCAGACCGAGGGTGATTGACCGTCATCTTGAACTTCTTCCATTTTCTAATAATTGCGCCAACAGTTTTGCCTTCTCACCAAGCTGTTTGCCTATTGTCCTGTAGCCCATCCCAGCCTTGTGCAGGTCTACAATTTCATCCCTGATGTCCTTACACAGCTCTCTGGTCTTGGCCATTGTGGAGAGGTTGGAGTCTGTTTGATTGAGTGTGTGGACAGGTGTCTTTTATACAGGTAAACGAGTTCAAACAGTTGCACTTAATACAGTTAATGAGTGGAGAACAGGAGGGCTTCTTAAAGAAAAACTAACAGGTCTGTGAGAGCCGGAATTCTTACTGGTTGGTAGGTGATCAAATGCTTATGTCATGCAATAAAACGCAAATTAATTACTTAAAAATCATACAATGTGATTTTCTGGATTTTTGTTTTAGATTCCGTCTCACAGTTGAAGTGTACCTATGATAAAAATTACAGACCTGTACATGCTTTGTAAGTAGGCAAACCTGCAAAATCGGCAGTGTAACAAATACTTGTTCTCCCCACTGTATATATATATACACTACCGTTCAAAAGTTTAAGTCACTTAGAAATGACCTTGTTTTCGAAGTAAAAGCAATTTGTTTGTCCATTAAAATAACATCAAATTGATCAGAAATACAGTGTAGACATTGTTAATGTTGTAAATGGCTATTGTAGCTGAGAAACGGCTGATTTTTAATGGAATATCTACATAGGTGTACAGAGGCCCATTATCAGCAACCATCAGTCCTGTGTTCCAATGGCACGTTGTGTTTGCTAATCCAAGTTTATCATTTTAAAAGGCTAATTGATCATTAGAAAAACCCTTTTGCAATTATGTTAGCACATCTGAAAAATGTTGTGCTGATTAAAGAAGCAATAAACTGGCCTTCTTGAGACTAGTTGGAACACAGGACTGATGGTTGCTGATAATGGGCCTCTGTACGCCTATGTAGATATTCCATAAAAAATCAGCCGTTTCCAGCTACAATAGGAATAGGTAAATGATCCTTGGTATGACCTTCTTAAAACAATTCCATATAGCTTAGGAGAACACCCTCGCCTTGCAGGGTTTTAGCCAAGAGCTGACGTGGCAATGTTTATTATTTGTTTCTCCTGCCCTGTCTTTTAAAGGGTACTGTTTTTTTTTCAGGCACTAGGGAACAGCCTACTACGGTTAGGACCACCAAAACAAACAACCCCTGTCTGGTAATCACCTCTCATTTGTCCTGAAGCAAGATGGAAATTATAGTATTTTGTGCAGACTTGTGAAACTGCCAGGGTAAATGTTGCATTGGACGTGACTTGTTTTGAGCCGTATCGACTTCTGAAATACGACAAAATGGGTCTGGAGAGAGGCAGTTAAGTTTTTTATCTTGCAATCAAAATCAGTCTGGCTGTATGTCCAGACCGCATCTGTCGACTAATGTGGCAACAAGAGAACACAACTGGTCTGAGAACTGGGAGTGCTAATAATAGTTTTTATTTTGAATCGACACCAGAGTACAGTACGAACCTGGAGAAAACACTGGCCTTAGTGTCTGCCCTGCATTTAAATACTTATTTGTTGGACATGGTTAACACTTCAGGGAAGGGGTCACTACGTATACATTTAGCGCTTAGTAGAGACTATTAGGTGTCATCAGGTCAGAAATGAATTAGCAGCAAGGTAAGCAGTTTCTTAATCATGTACTTTACATACATACCAAATTCTGTAAACAAAGGAAGTATTTATGTGCCTAATAACTGGCCAGTTCTGACATCTGCTCTGAATTCCAGTATTGTCATGTGTTGTTTGGAGTGAAGAGAAAATTCGGCAACTCTTGGAGGACGGTGAAGGTTGATAAAAGTGCTTCTTTATTGTTACAATAGAGAAGCACTTTTATCAACTTCCACTGTCCAGCAAGAGTTTCTGAATTTCCTCTTTATTTCAGTTTGCTCCTCAATTCATGCATTGGTTGGAAAGCAAAGGAGCGGCAGTGTTCCCTTCCATTAGTTTTGTTTTGTTGTTTGAAAATTCAGGGGCACATGCACTGACATGGGACTCGAGAACGATTGTTCCGTTGCCAGAACCATGTTGTCCCCTGGTAAAGTACTTGAGGGCTTACTATGTACTGGACCCTGTCCTACTCAATTGATCATATCAACCAAATTCAATGATTGATTAGGAGAAAGTCAGTGCATGGAAACAACCCAACAAACAGGCTGTGTCCCAAATGGCACCCTATTCCCTACGTACTGTAGTGCACTCCTTTTGACCAGAGCCCTATGGGCCTTGGTCAAAAGTAGTGCACTAAATAGGGAAAAGGGTGCAATTTGGGATGTAGACACAGTCTTTAAAGACACACTAATCGAACTGTTTTCCAGTTCCCTACGCTGTGGGTATGCAAACTGAGCCTGAAGTTCTTTACTCCCTGTGCTCAAATCGTAAGCTAAACAGTACCAGACGTGAAACATCGGTGAAGGATCTCGGAGCTAAACTGTCTTCATATTCTCCTGTGCGTTTGTTGCTCGTGGCATCGCGCTCCCTGGAAAGGCCAGTACAAATTGATTTCAGACAGCGCTATTGAAAAGCATTGTGCATAATACTCCATCCCGAAGGGTCTGTCCCTGACTGTATTAAAATGGTTAGACAATTGAATAGTTTGATGTGCACTGTGTTGTGACCCAGATTTAAAGTATAAGGCCTCCTTCATTTAGTTTGTTTGGGACATTGAGAGGATGCACACACACACACACACACACACACACACACACACAGAGACGTGTCTGTTTGGGATGGGGAGATGGAGTAGTATTACTGGGATGAAGAGACGCAAACACACATTTTGTCTGTTTGGGATGTTGTCATGGAGTTGTAACTGTAAAGGGCATGGACGAAAGAAAAAAACCTGGCTTGCAGTGTTAAGTGCATAGCAAGTCATTTATTAAACCATTTTATCCAAAGCACTTACAGTTAACACAACGGATATAGTGAAGCGTAAATGCACTTAAAGTGCTGTTTACGCACATTATTATCTGGTGAATAGTGAAAACACCTATTATGCTATATTAGCATTAACATTTACAGTATGTTGATGCATCGCTCTCCATCTCCACTTTTAGGTCCGGTTTCCTGGACAGAGATTAAGGCTAGTCCTGGACTAAAAAGGTTAATGGAGCGTAATGGAGAATTTCTATTGAAAGTGCGTTCTAGTCCAGGACTAGGATTTATCTGTGTCCGGGAAACTGCCCCTTATGGAAAACCCATGTTTCTTTAGCACTACATCCCTGGTTAACACGATGTGGTCCATGTAGCACTCTAACCTATGACTCTGCAGTTGCAATCACTATGCTCCAACCAACTGAGAACCATTATTAAGTACTTTTGTGTACATGGATTATTTTCTCTGTGTTTTCTTCATGTGTTTTCCCTCTCTTTTTGTCACTGTTCAGGAGCAAGAGGACCCCAACAAGCTGGCCACAAGCTGGCCCGACTACTACATCGACCGCATCAACTCCATGGCTGCTGTAAGTGACAACTTTAAAGGGATACTTCAGGATTTTGCCAATTAAATACTGTATCTACTTCCCCAGAATCAGATGAACTCATGGATACCATTGTTATGTCTCTGCATCCAGTATGAAGGAAGTTAGAGGTTGTTTCACAAGCCAACACTAATTAGCGTAAGCGCAATGACTGGGAGTCTATGGTATCTACTAGCATGCTAACAGTTACTACAGACATCCAGTCATTGTGATAAAGCTAATTAGCAATTGCACTAACGCTAGTTAGTAACTTCCTTCAAACTATACGCAGAGACATAAAAATGGCATCCACGAGTTCATCTGAGTCTGGGGAAGTACATAAAGGGCTTCATTGACAAAATCCTGAAGTATCCCTTTAACTTTCTCTCTCTAACCCTCATTTCTCCTTATGTTTTCTACCTGTGCCTCTGTAACCGGTGTGAAATGGCTAGCTAGTTAGCGGTGCGCGCTAGTAGCGTTTCAATCGGTGATGTCGCTCGCTCTGAGACCTTGAAGTAGTTGTTTCCCTTGCTCTGCAAGGGCCGCGGCTTTTGTGGAGCGATGGGTAACGATGCTTCGAGGGTGACTGTTGTCGATGTGTGCAGAGGGTCCCTGGTTCAAGCCCAGGTAGGGGCGAGGAGAGGGACGGAAGCAACATTGTTACACCTCCCTCCTTTTTATTTCCCGCTCTTTATTTCTGGATGCCAACTAACATGCTAATGATACATATTCAAGTCACAATCTTGCAAGTCCTAAGCAAGTCTCAAGTCTTTACCTATGAGTCAAGTCCCAAGTAATAATGGTCAAGTCTCAAGTAAAGTTCCAACGCCCACAGCTCAGGTCATGTTCAAGTCACGTCTCTAAATTTGGGTTTCGAGTCCTCAAGTCAATGTTTAAGTGTTTTATGACAATTTCAATGCAATTTTCTATTTTCATTGCAAGCTAATTAGTTCAAGAACATTACCTCATTTTAGCTAGCTAGCTCAAACAGCACAGCAATAATTTAATTATTACCTCTCTTTATGGGACTTCACATGTCTGACTCATGTCTAAGCTATTTCATCTAACATATCCAGGGAATGCATGATTGATATTTGATGTGCAACCTGTCAAAACAGGATCCAGAATTATCAGATTTCCTTTTGGCTCTTCAGAGATGCATTTGCCAACATCTTTGTGCATATTGGCCTAGACTATATTATTAGGAAGTGGGAAACACTTAGCTAAATTGCTAAATCTAAATATGATCTTGTTGCTAGATAGCCATGTAGGCTAATTGATTAATCTATCAGTAAATGTAATGTCCTACAAAAACTTTCCAGCACTAGGCCTAGGCAAGGCTACTTGATGTAAGCCTATTCACCGCAAATGGTGTGCCGCTCTGCGGGCACATCAAAATCATACTACAGTTACTACAGCCTACTCCGGTTATAAAGTGGTGCCATAAACTCAATATTAAGAGGTGAGAAATACATTTACATTTACATTTTAGTCATTTAGCAGACGCTCTTATCCAGAGCGACTTACAGGAGCAATTAGGGTTAAGTGCCTTGCTTAAGGGCACATCGACAGATTTTTCACCTAGTCGGCTCGGGGATTAGAACCAGCGACCTTTCGGTTACTGGCACAACGCTCTTACCCACTAAGCTACCTGCCGCCCTGTGATATACTCACAGAAAGCTGTGACCCACCTCTCTGTAACTAGAACAACAGTAGTTGCTTTGAAAACGGTCTTTATCACATAATAATTTGTATGGACTTACTCTTGTGCAATAATAGTGTTTAAGATGATTTTGGAATGACTACCTCATTTCTGTACCCCACACATACAATTATCTGTAAGCAGTGGCGACCTGTCATTCAGGGCAGGTGGGGCTTTTGAGCACCACATTTGTTGCCTGTTTTGCATGTTATTTTGGCATTAATACGTGTCACATATCAGTATGCAAACAATGTAAAAAAAAATTTAATAAATCATTGAGTTAATAAAGCCGAATTACTTTTTTGAGTAAGGCAGCTCCAAAATGCAGGTGTTTCAGCCTAGCTCAGTTTTTTCTGTGGGGCAGCCAGTGGAAAATACGGAGTGTAGGGGTTGGTAATGTTCTCTACTTGCGCTGTGATTGGTTCAGTGTTCTGTCACTCATGGGGACACTACATCACTGCCAAATGTAAGGGTAGAGCTCGAAAATTCATGCCCCTTGGGTGCTGCCATAGAGTTACATTAGAAGTACCCAATCGAAGAAGGCTCAAGGTCATTGGCCACAGATAAGATGATGTCAAATCATGTTATATCTACAGTAGCTTTGATTGGACTGATCATGTCAACATACTTTCAAAATCTTAGCTAGCAGTCATCATCATGAATCAAGTGGACAATCTACTGGCAAATCCTTTTTAAATAATCCTTGTCATATGAAGAGAAATAATGAAGATAAATTATAGATAAAATGTATCGGTGCTCATCGCCCATTGGACATAAACATGACACAACAAATTGGAAATCGTAAATTCAACAATGGGTGGTTTGGAAGGAATCAGTGGCTAACTGCAAGCATTGCAAAGCAGTCACTAGCCTGCTATTCAGTGGAGTGGGTGTGTGGTCCCAATTCTGGGTTTAAGGGTCTCTTTTCCAAGCTTAAAATGATAAACTTGGTGTACAGGGAGAACACTGTAAGAACGGCCCATGTATTGAATTCTGTCGCTGTACATTTCAAAAGTGCTGAACAAATAGTTATATTGACTACGTCCGTCCTAGCTCGCTCATTAATGTCTTAATCAAAATTACGGATTGCCTCATATCCGCTTGTCGTCCCCTTATGCCATAGTTTTTACAAACAGCTATGTTTTTTTTAAAGGCAATAAATGAGGCTGATTGAACTGTTTCACTGCCAGACAAGGCTCCGCTGATAGCCATGTGTAGCAGTGGTAAGGTGTTGGGACTGCTGTTGGGACAGCTTTATGCATGCCCTAACAGTTTGTGGGCACAGTTTGTAGTGCAATTAATGTATTGTTTAGTGTTGTGTTGTGTAGTGGCTTTGCTGGCATGCATCCCAAATGTTTTTGTTTTGTTTGCCCCACCAAGATGTACATGCTAAAATCGCCACTGTCTGTAAGGTCCCTCAGTGAATTTCAAATACAGATTCAACCACAAACACCAGGGAGGTTTTTCAATGGCACGCAAAGACGGGCACCTAATGGTAGATGAAAAACATTTTTGAAACAGACATTGAATTCCCTTTGAGCATGGTGAAGTTATTCATTACACTTTGGATGGTGTGTCAATACACCCAGTCACTACAAAGATACAGGCATCCTTCCTAATTCAGTTGCGGGAGAGGAATGAAACTGCTCAGGGATTTCACAATGAGGCCAATGGTGACTTTAAAACAGTTACAGTGTTTAAGGACTGTGATAGGAGAAAACTGAGGATGGATCAACAACATTGTAGTTAGTCCACAATACTAACCTAATTGACAGAGTAAAAAGGAAGCCTGTACAGAATACAAATATTACAAAACATGCATCCTGTTTGCAACAAGGCACTAAAGTAATACTGCAAAAAAGGGAGTGAGTGGTTCGCTCACACAGCAGCCGAACAGGGACAGGCAGATACTTTCAAAGCAGGAATCAACATAATGCATAGGCTGTTACTGTTGACCTTAATAGTGGTTTAGAACACAAAATGTGAGGGTGTGTTGTAAAATCACAGAAAATTACCAACCTAGGCTTAATGCTGCAAGAGGAGAGGAAATGAGAGGATGAGAGGAAGGATGGGATGGGGAAATCCAAACAATTCAGCTCAGTGTTTCCCCTTACTTACATTTTTCCCGGCGGGGCACAAAGGCCTCCAAAGCAACTGGCTTTAAACTACGTAGGAAGGAGGAAGGCCGTCGCACCTATTCCATGGTAAGAGAACCACTGTAATGACGAATGAAGCTGGGAGAGATCAAGGTCACTGGTGGATATGATATAGAGATGTCAGTGCAACCTCAGTGACTGGCAGCTTTGTGTCACTGCCCCTTGACCCCTGACTGGACTTTATGCAAACTGGAAACCACATATCCTGATGATGCATTTATTGTAGCTGCAGATTTTAACAAAGCAAATTTGAGGAAAAGGTTGCCGAAAGTTCTATCAACACATTGACTGTAGTGCTCGCGCTGCTAAAACACTCGACCACTGCTACTCCAACTTCCAGGATGCATACAAGGCCCTCTCTTCGGAAAATCTGACCACGACTCCATTTTGCTCGTCCCTTCCTATAGGCAGAAACTCAAACAGGAAGTACCCGTGCTAAACACTATTCAACGCTGGTCTGACCAATCGGAATCCATGATTCAAGATTGTTTTGATCACGCGGACTGGGATATGTTCCTGGGAGCTTCAGAGAATAATATCGACGTATATACTGATACGGTGACTGAGTTTATCAGGAAGTGTATAGGAGATGTTGTACCCACTGTGACTATTATAACCTACCCTAACCAGAAACCGTGGATAGATGGCAGCATTTGCACAAAACTGAAAGCGTGAATCACCGCATTTAACCATGGCAAGGTGACTGGGAATATGGCAGAATGCAAACAGTGTAGGCAATCAAACAGGCAAAACGTCAGTATAGGGACAAAGTGGAGTAGCAATTCAATGGCTCAGACACGAGAAGTATGTGGCAGGGTCTACAGACAATTACTGACTACAAAAGGAAAACCAGCCACATCGCTTCCGGACAAGCTAAACACCTTCTTCACCCGCTTTGAGGATAATACAGTGCCACCGACGCGACCCGCTACCAAGGACTGTGGGCTCTCCTTATCCGTGGCCAACGTGAGTAAGACATTTAAGCGTGTTAACCCTCGCAAAGCTGCCGGCGCAGATGGCATCCTTAGCCGCGTCCTCAGAGCATGCGCAGACCAGCTGGCTGGTGTGTTTACGGACATATTCAATCTCTCCCCATCCCAGTCTGCTGTCCCCACATGCTTCAAGATGGCCACCATTGTCCCTGTACCCAAGAAAGTAAAGGTAACTGAACTAAATGACTATCGCCCCGTAGTACTCGCTTCTGTCATCATGAAGTGCTTTGAGAGACTAGTCAAGGATCATATCACCTCTTCCTTACCTGCCACCCTAGACCCACTTCAATTTGCTTATCGCCCCAATAGATCCACAGATGATGCAATCGCCATCACACTGCACACTGCCCTATCCCATCTGGACAAGAGGAATACATATGTAAGAATGCTGTTCATTGACTATAGCTCAGCATTCAACACCATAGTACCCTCCAAGCTCATCATTAAGCTTGAGGCCCTGGGTCTGAATCCCGCCCTGTGTAACCGGGTCCTGGACTTCCTGACGGGCCGACCCGTGGAGAATTCAATAGCCACCAAGCACCAACTCAAAATGGTAGCTAGCGCCCAGTTCTGACAAGCCACATTGAGTGTCTCTAACCTGTACCTCAGAGTTCTCCTATGGAGTTGAGAGGGTTTCTGTTTGGCTAGCATGTCTAGCTGGGTGTGGGTTGGGTTGTCTTGCGAGCTAGTGCCTCTGGTTAGAATTAGCATGTGTGTGGTATGACTGGCTAACGGTTAGTAAGCGCTAGTATAAAAACGTAGTTGTCTGGACATTTTCGTAGTTCTGGAGAGCCACAGGGGGTGCAGGCTCTTGTTCAAGCCGAGCACTAACAAACAGACTTCAACTATTTGTTTTGCTTGATTGGTACAAGAGCCAGCTCATACTGTAGCCCTCCAGGACCAGGGTTGGCGACCATTGTATGAAAATACATCTGGTTTTAGGCTAGCATTTACATAGTGTCTGGCTGGCTAGATTCTAGGCCTGAAATAGTGTGCAGAAGGGTAAGGTACTGTGTCTGGCCACAGGTTAGCACTAGCACACAAATACCAGATGTATTTGGAAGTTAGCATTTTGGCTAGTAGGTTTGACACGTGAACTGGCTCACTGCACGAGCAAAAAGATCCTCCTCTCTCCGAATCCTCTGTCCAACTTCCTATTGAGAATGAAAATACTCATTTGGAGAAACAGGAGCCAGAGACATGACTGCTTGGCAAGGGCCTCGGAACCATCTGGACAAGGCTAAGCCGGCCCGATGGATGTTATGACTGAAACATCTGTAGGTTACACACACGCGTGCACACAGGAACAGAAGTAGATATGGACGTACTTTAGTGGCCCAAAAAAGGGTTAGATATGGGTAAAAAATATATGTATCCTGATTTTTTTGATATCTCTCAGATATAGGACAGACACTTCAAAACATACATGTACTTCCTTTTGGTAAATTTTTTGACTTTTTTGCTACATATTTTAATATGTTATTCAATGCGTTTCTATGGTCTAATGGCAGTAAGGCCAAATTCAATGTTTCATCAAAAAAAAAAAAAAAATATATATATATATATATATATATATATATATATATATATATTTATTTATTTATTTCTGGGATGCTTACAAGGGTCCTAAAATTCAAAATCAAATAGCTAAAGGATCCTTAGTATGCCCATCTTAAAACAATTCCATATGTTAGTTTAGTTCAGGTGCCAACATCATGCTGTCAGAAACGACATTGGAATCAACCCAAGATGATGAACCCTAAAGATGGGACAAAGTGCATGACAAGGTGGCCCAGAGGAAGCCAAGTGTTCTCAACTTCTACATTGCCCCATTCTACCAAGAGCTCACTGAGTTTGAATGAAGAATACCTATAGTGAGGATGACAAGCTAACAAATTGGAATCGAGGAGGATTGTTACAGCGCCCCATGAGGAACCCAATCCCAATTTTAACTTCCTCTCTCTCTTTGTCTCGCTCTACCCTACACCCAACACACACAGGCATACAATATAGATTTAGATTTAAGTCCCCTGTAGCTCAGTTGGTAGAGCATGGCACTTGCAACGCCAGGGTTGTGGGTTCGTTTCCCACGGGGGGCCAGTATGAAAATGTATGCACTCACTAACTGTAAGTCGCTCTGGATAAGAGCGTCTGCTAAATGACATAAAATGTAATGTAAATGTAGTAGAAACCCAGCTCCGGGCCCTTAGACCTTAAGGGACTTTTTGGCATAGTCGTATAGCCGCTTCAAACGCGTTACGCCTCTGTAATAGGAAAATAGCAGGAAAATGGAGAAGATGTGATCTGTTTGATTTGCGGTGCCTAAAACAGAGACAGTACCCCATAATGAGCACAGATATTGGTGAGCAATGTTTTTATACAGAGCTTTTCTGGTGTTATGGATGACTGAGAGATCTACACATATACTTACTATACCATGGCATTGTTGAATACTCCTTTCTGATTGGCTTGAAGGACATTCTAGTGTGCATTATTTCCCTATAACGCACAGTATATTTGCACGGTAGAATTCAATGGCTATAGTTCATTTTTGCAAGTTTTGTTTGAGCTGCTTTTGAAAGCAACATTATTGGTATTGTTGAATTTGATTTTCATAATAGCAAGCTAGGACTGATGGTTTTGTTAGCTTAACTAACAAGTATGTTTGTTTGGTTACCACGGCAACCACTCTAGCTATCTAATAAACTTGCTACTTACTTCAGTGGATGTTGAACACATTTCTACCGGCAAATGTACACATTTCTAGTGGCAAATGTGTAAAATTATAGCCATGGTATGAAAGGGATAATCAACTCGGGGCTCTATGCGTCTCTGGAACATAATGCAACTCAGCTAACGCATCGTGGAACACACCTTCCACGTCGTTCATAATTTTCCATAGAATGAATAGCCCCTCGTTGATTATCCCTTACACACAGCAACAGCACAATGTGGAGCTCTCTTTGTACACAATCAGTCCTGGATTCAAATACTATTCCAAATATACTAACCACTTTCACATACAGTACCAGTCAAAAGTTTGGACACACCTACTCATTCCAGGGTTTTTCTTTAATTTGACTATTTTCTACATTGTAGAATAATAGTGAAGACATCAAAACTATGAAATAACCCATATGGAATCATGTAGTAACCAAAAAAGTGTTAAACAAATCAAAAAATATGTTATATTTGAGATTCTTCAAATGGCCACCCTTTGCTTTGATGACAGCTTTGCACACTCTTGGCATTCTGTCAACCAGCTTTATGAGGTAGTCACCTGGAATGCATTTCAATTAACAGGTGTGCTTTCTTAAAAGTTAAAATGTGGAATTTATTTCCTTCTTATTGCGTTTGAGCCAATCAGTTTTATTGTGACAAGGTAGGGGGGGTACACAGAAGATTGCCCTATTTGGTAAAAGACCAAGTCCATATTATGGCAAGAACAGCTCAATTAAGCAAAGAGAAATGACAGTCCATCATTACTTTAAGACACGAAGGTCAGCCAATACAGAAAATCTCAGGAACTTTGAAAGTTTCTTCAAGCGCAGTTGCAAAAACCATCAAGCGCTAGGATGAAACTGGCTCTCATGAGGACCGCCACAGGAATGGAAGACCCAGAGTTACCTCTGCTGCAGAGTATAAGTTCATTAGAGCCTCAGAAATTGCAGCCAAAATAAATGCTTCACAGAGTTCAAGTAACAGACACATCTCAAAATCAACTGTTCAGAGGGGACTGTTGAAATGAGGCCTTCATGGTCGAATTGCTGCAAAGAAACCACTACTAAAGTACACCAATAAGAAGAAGAGACCTGCTTGGGAAAAGAAACACATGCAATGGACATTAGACCGGTGGTAATCTGTCCCTTGGTCTGGAGTCCAAATTTGATATTTTTGGTTCCAACTGCCGTGTCTTTGTAAGACACGGTGTGGGTGAACGGATGATCTCCGCATGTCTATTTCCCACCGTAAAGCATGGAGGAGGAGGTGTTATGGTGTGGGGGTGCTTTGCTGGTGACACTGTCTGTGATTTTATTGAGAATTCAAGGCACACTTAACCAGCATGGCTACCACAGCTTTCTGCAGCGACACGCCATCCCATCTGATTTGGGCTTAGTGGGACTATCATTTGTTTTTCAACAGGACAATGACCCAACACACCTCCAGGCTGTGTAAGGGCTATTTTACCAAGAAGGAGAGTGATGGAGTGCTACATCAGATGACCTGGCCTCCACAATCCCCCGACCTCAACCCAATTAAGATGGTTTGGGATGAGTCGGACCGCAGAGTGGAGGAAAAGCAGCCAACAAGTGCTCAGAATAGGTGGGAACTCCTTCAAGACTGTTGGAAAAAGCATTCCAAGGTGAAGCTGGTTGAGAGAATGCCAAGAGTGTGTAAAGCTGTCATTACGGCAAAGGGTGGCTATTTGAAGAATCTCAAATATAAAATATATTTTGATTTGTTTAACACTTTTTTGTTTACTACATGATGATATTCTACAATGTAAAAAAAATTAGTAAAAATTAAGAAAAACTGTTGAATGAGTAGGTGTGTACAAACTTTTGACTCGTAGTGTACATTCAAAGCAAGTATTCAGACATCGTCCACTTGAAAATACAAGTAGTTAAACACTTCAATGTACCTGGAAATACACATGGAAATACATTTTAAATATCCAAGTATACTGACTAAAATACATTCTTATCCATTCAACCCAGGCATCCGAAAATGATACTTGAAACAAGCATGCGAAAATCCTGTCAAATACAACTTGGCAGACCACCTGGCCTTCACTCAAACAAAAACACCTGTTTTGGGCTGTGCAATTGAAAATACTCAAATAAACAGAAAAAGTATTTCAAATACCAGATACTCAAATACACATGCATTTGAACCCTGGTCTGCACACAATCTAGCTTGGTCGCCCCACCCCACCAACCGAAAGTCAAACTTAATGGAGAACTCCAATGATAAACTGATATTGTGTTCCTTATTGTGCAGTTGTGATAAAGATAATTCTGACACCCTTCAATTAAGCCAGAATCAAAGGTTCTCCTTTAAAATACTGTTATCATCGTTTTTTCTGCTGTGTCATGGGGTTTGTTTTGTCATTGTGCAGATGCAGACCCTGTTCGCCTTTGACGAGGAGGAGATGGAGATGAGGAACAAAGTGGTGGAGGACCTGAAAACAGCGCTTCGGACTCAGCCAATGAGGTAGGGATTTGAACCACAGCCGGCATACATTCAGTCAATAACAGCTATTCATCCTCATCTTACACCTATCTACTTTAGGATGACACTCTTGTTACTCACCACACTCTATGGTCAAGTTAAATGGCTCCATCACAATGTCTCTCCATAAGAGAGCACTGTGTCACAAGGTAGGTCTATCCACTTCATTACTTACAGTATATACTGTATATGGGATCATTTTCATCACTAGAAAAGCTTTCACTCTCTTTATTAGGCAGTGCAATTCCCCTCTCCTCTGTTTGACACATTCAGCAGCAGCTTTGAGATCTCATTGATCAACCACAAAGAAACATGTGAGGAGGTTTAGACAGCCCAGCCAATATAAAATCTCCCACCATCAGGAGCATGTCCGTCTGTCTGTGCCAGTTGTGTGATGTAATGGTCTGGACCGAGATGGGGGGTGTTGAGTTTTCTCCCAGGGGCCAGTGCAGCGTCAGCCTTAAGTGTGGAGTGACATATGCCCACGAGGACCACGGTGTCTGGGTCACGTCTGGGTTTGTGTGTGTGTGTGTGTGTGTGTGTGTGTGTGTGTGTGTGTGTGTGTGTGTGTGTGTGTGTGTGTGTGTCATGTTGAGGTGGACAGGGTGATTGGCACTAGCCTTATTGCTCCTGACCACCTTTGGCTAGTAGTCTTTCATTTTGTTAGAACAAAGTAACATAAAACAGAACCACAGCGCTAATACTTATGAGGATGTTAAGGAGGCAAGAAGTATGAAAGTTCATTTGTGAGCAGGATGAGGAATGCACAAATGTAGGCTAAGATATCCTATAATATGAATTTCCACAAATAGCTCTAAGATTGTTTTAGCCTCACAATCGTACATTACAAGAAACCAGCTGTATTCCCTTAGTTTCATTTCTAGAGCAACTCCAAACAGGGTTAAAAAACACCAGAAAAACTGAAATATTTACCTGACTATTCTTGTCAATAGCTATATGACATCTACTCTATAATGTTCACAATACCAATTCTGTTGGAGTGAGTACATCGTTCTGTTTTCCACTCTTCCTCTTCAAAGTACCTAGTATTCAGACCCCTTGACTTTTTCCACATTTTGTTATGTTATAGCCTTATTCTAAAATGGATTAAATAGTTTTTTCCCCTCATCAATCTAAACACATTTACATTTTAGTCATTTAGCAGACACTCTTATACAGAGCGACTTACAGTTAGTGAGTGCATACATTTTTCATACTCACAATACCCCATAATGACAAAGCAAAAACAGGTTTTTAGAAATGTTTGTAAATGTATAAAAAAAAAAAAACTTCAATATTACATTTACATAAGTATTCAGACCCTTTACTAAGTACTTTGTTGAAGCACTTTTGGCAGCGATTACAGCCCCAAGTCTTCTTGGGTATGACTCTATAAGCTTGGCACACCTGTATTTGGGGAGTTTCTCCCATTATTCTCTGCAGATCCTCTCAAGCTCTGTCAGGTTGGATGGGGAGCGTCGCTGCACAGCTATTTTCAGGTCTCTCCAGAGATGTTCGATCCGGTTCAAGTCCGGGCTCTGGCTAGGCCACTCAAGGACTTTCGGAGACTTTTCCCGAAGCCACTCCTGCGTTGTCTTGACTGTGTGCTTAGGGTCATTGTCCTGTTGGAAGGTGAACCTTCGCCCCAGTCTGAGGTCCTGAGTGCTCTGGAGCAGGTTTTCATCAAGGATCTCTCTGTACTTTGCTCTTTTCATCTTTCCCTAGATCCTGACTAGTCTCTCAGTCCCTGCAGCTGAAAAACATCCCCACAGCATGATGCTGCCACCACCATGCTTCACCGTAGGGATGGTGCCAGGTTTCCTTCAGATGTGACACTTGGCATTCAGGCCAAAGAGTTCAATCTTGGTTTCATCAGACCAGGGAATCTTGTTTCTTATGGTCTGAGAGTCCTTTTAAGTGCCTTTTGGCAAACTCCAAGCGGGCTGTCATGTGCCTTTTACTGAGGAGTGGCTTCCGTCTGGCCACTCTACCATAAAGGACTGATTGGTGGAGTGCTGCAGAGGTGGTTGTCCTTCTGGAAGGATCTCCCATCTCCACAGAGGACTCTGGAGCTCTGTCAGAGTGACCATCGGGTTCTTGGTCACCTCCCTGACCAAGGCCCTTCTCCCCCGATTGCTCAGTTTGGCCGGGTGGCCAGCTCTAGGAAGAGTCTTGGTGGTTCCAAACTTCTTCCATTTAAGAATGATGGAGGCCACTGTGTTCTTGGGGACCTTCAACGCTGCAGAAATGTTTTGGTACCCTTCCCCAGATCTGTGCCTTGACAAAATCCTGTCTCGGAGCTCTACGTACAATTCCTTCGACCTCACAGCTTGGTTTTTGCTCTGACATGCACTGTCAACTGTGGGACCTTATATAGAAAGGTGTGTGCCTTTCCAAATCATGTCCAATCAATTGAATTCACCACAGGTGGACTCCAATCAAGTTGGAGAAACATCAAGGATGATCAATGGAAAAAGGATGCACCTGAGCTCAATTTCGAGTCTCATAGCAAAGGGTCTGAATACTTATGTAAATAAGGTATTTCTAAAAACCTGTTTTCACTTTGTCGTTATGGAGTATTGTGTGTAGATTGATGAGGATTTATTTGTATTTAATACATTTTAGAATAAGGCTGTAACGTAACAAAATGTAGAAAAAGGGAAGGGGTCTGAATACTTTCCGAATGCACTGTATACCCATTGATTCTTGAAAAATATAACTTATAAATACTTCAAACCAAGGCCAGGATTCAATCATATCAGCAGTAACCTGTGTTCGCCAACAAACACATAGCTTATCATTGCTTTTGTTTAATTGGACTCTGAGGTCTAACTGCGTTGGAGCTGTAAAATCAGTGAGCAGCTGCTCTTTTGTTCATTGTCACGAAACCATACCTATCCTTATATCCCACCCCTGTTAGAAGTTCAGTAAGAGATAGTGTAGGCTATAAATAAATAATGACACTCAAATTAAAATACATAATAAGTATTTATATCAGCCTAATTGAGTTGCAAATTACATCACACATTCCAGTGTTTGAAATTGTAACACAGCTGCATGGGATTTCTACTAATGTCAATGCTAATGGCAATGGTGCGATAGGTATAACGCCGGGAACCGCTTGTGGATTTGACAGCTCCAACGCAGTTACACTTTATCACAAGTGTAGAGAGAAGTAGGCAGGAGGCAGTCGCAGGTTTAGCACTACTGAATTTATTAAAGTACCATAGCTTAAAGCGGGATGAAACTCACAGTGCAAAATATAAAGTACTCAGGAAATAGTAGGAGAGATTCCTCTCAGGAAAACAAGCAAACATATACAATGACCGACAAAGACAAATGACAGAGGGATTATATACAGTGAGGGAAAATAGTATTTGATCCCCTGCTGATTTTGTACGTTTGCCCACTGACAAAGACATGATCAGTCTATAATTTTAATGGTAGGTTTATTTGAACAGTGAGAAACAGAATAACAACAAAAAAATCCAGAAAAATGCATGTCAAAAATGTTATAAATAAATTTGCATTTTAATGAGGGAAATAAGTATTTGACCCCTCTGCAAAAATTGACTTAGTATTTGGTGGCAAAACCCTATTGTTGGCAATCACAGAGGTCAGACGTTTCTTGTAGTTGGCCACCAGGTTTGCACACATCTCAGGAGGGATTTTGTTCCACTCCTCTTTGCAGATCTTCTCCAAGTCATTAAGGTTTCGAGGCTGACGTTTGGCAATTCGAACCTTCAGATCCCGCCACAGATTTTCTATGGGATTAAGGTCTGGAGACTGGCCACTCCAGGACCTTAATGTGCTTCTTCTTGAGCCACTCCTTTGTTGCCTTGGCCGTGTGTTTTGGGTCATTGTCATGCTGGAATACCCATTTACGACCCACTTTCAATGGTGCGGAGTCACTGACCACCTTCCGGAGACACTTGAAACCCTACCTCTTTAAGGAATACCTGGGATTGTATAAAAGTAATCCCCCCCCACCCCACCCCCACAAAATATATAAAATAATAATAATAACAATAATAATAATAATAATAATAATAATAATAATAATAATAATAATAATAATAATAATTTTAAAAAATATAAAAATATATAAAAATTGTAAAGTGGTTGTCCCACTGGCTATCATAAGGTGAATGCACCAATTTGTAAGTCGCTCTGGATAAGAGCGTCTGCTAAATGACGTAAATGTAAATGTAAAATGTAATGATCATTGGAAACAGGATGCACCTGAGCTCAATTTTGAGTCTCATAGCAAAGGGTCAATATACTTATGTAAATATGTTTTTTATTTTTAATACATTTGCAAAAATCTCTAAAAACCTGTTTTCACTTTGTCATTATGGGGTACTGTAAAATGTGTTATTTAATACATTTTAGAATAAGGCTGTAATGTGAAAAAAATTTGGAAAAAATGAAGGGGTCTGAATACTTTCCGAATGCACTGTATATTCCTACATTCCTCTCTTCCCCACTTCTCCTCTCCTCTATATTCGTCTCTTCCCAATTTTTTCATTTGCATTTCGTTAACTAGATGGTCATTTTTCCATGAAGTCACACAATCTTTCTTCTTTGAAAGTATTTTTGTGGCAGTGGATAGGATAGCATGAACATGGTTTGGTGTCTCTAGTTTGAACCGCTCAAGAGTTACTGTTGGTGGGTTATTTTATGCAAATGTAAGGGACATTTATATACAAAACATTAAGAACACCTGCTCTTTCCATGACATAGACCAGTGGTTCCCAACTCTGGTCCTCGAGTACCCCCAACAGTACACATTTTTATTGTACCCCCGGACAAGCACACCTGATTCAACTTGTCAACTAATCATCAAGCCCTCAATGAGTTGAATCAGGTATGTTTGTCCGGGGCTACAACAAAAATGTGTGTTGTTGGGGGTACTCGAGGACTCGAGTTGGGAACCACTAACATAGACTGACCAGGTGCATCCAGGTGAAAGCTATGATCCCTTATTGATGTCACTTGTTAAATCCACTTCAATCAATGTAGATGAAGGAGAGGAGAAAGGTTAAAGGATTTTTAAGCCTTGAGACAATTGAGACCTGGACTGTGTATGTGTGTCATTCAGAGGGTGAATGGGCAAGACAAAAAATGTAAGTGCCTTTGAACTGGGTATGGTAGTAGGTGCCAGGCAATCTGGTTTGTGTCAAGAACTGCAACGCTGCTGGGGTTTCCACGCTCAACAGTTTCCCTTTTGTATCAAGAATGGTCCACCATCCAAAGGACATCCAGCCAACTTAACACAACTGTGGGAAGCATTGGAGTGAACATGTGGTCCTCTGTAGCTCAATTGGTAGAGCATGGCGCTTGTAACGCCAGGGTAGTGGGTTCGATCCCTGGGACCACCAATACGTAAATATGTATGCACACATGACTGTAAGTCGCTTTGGATAAAAGCATCTGCTAAATGGCTTATTATTATTATTATTATTAACATGGGCCAACATCCCTGCGGAACGCTTTCGAAAAAGCTCAATATTAGGAAGTTGGGCCTAGTGTTTGGTATACTCAGTGTAGTTATAGTTGATAAAAGTTTGAAGTCAGGATAGTCTGAATATGTAAAAGTCGGTTTGGTGTCTCTAGCTTGGACGGTTCAAGAGTTACTGTTGGTGGGTTATTTTATACACATTTATGCAAATGTCCAGTATATACAGTGCCTTCAGAAAGTATTCATACTCCTTGACTTATTCCACATTTGTTGTTGGTATTCAAAATGGATTAAATGTATTTATTTTTCTCACCCATCTACACACAATACCCCGTAATGACCTAGTGAATACACCTGGATTGTGCAACATTTGCCCATTATTCTTTTCAGAAAACTTCAAGCTCTGTCAAATTGGTTGTTGATCATTGCTAGACAACCATTTTCAAGTTTTGTTATAGATTTCCAAGTACATTTAATTCAAAACTGTAACTCTGCCACTCAGGAGCATTCACTGTCTTCTTGGTAAGCAAGTCCAGTGTATATTTGACCTTGTGTTTTAGGTTATTGTCCTGCTGAAAGGTGAATTCATCTCCCAGTGTCTGGTGTAAAGCAGACTGAACCAGGTTTTCCTCTAGGATTTAGCCAAATCCTAGAGAAAAACAGATTTGGCTAATTAATCTAAATGGTTCAAATCAGGATCATCCAATATTTATACCAATCTGTTGAATTTAAAGGCAACAAACGATCAAATCATTATTGGTGGGAGACTATAACAGAGTGTTAAGTACCTCCATTTACCGTAAAGTAAATCACTCTACAAACTATCATCCTTGTGCCCTTAAGGAGATCACAAATATTATGGACACATTAGAAATAGTGGATATTTGGAGACTAAAAAACCCTGACCTAGTGATATATACATGGAGGAGACTTAATCAAGCTAGTTGTGTTGACTACTTTCTTGTCTCCTTCTCTCTCTTGCATCAAAGGTTAAAAAAGTATTGATAGGAGACGGTATGAGATTCGACCATCATCTAATTGCCCTTCACATAACTCTTACAGAATGTCCACTTGGAAGGGAATATTAGACATTTTATCAAAGTCTACTGGAGGAAAGAAAATAATTTATAACTGAATCTTTCCAGTACAATATAGGTTCAGAAAATCCCCTTATTGTTTGGGATACCTTTAAATATACCTTCAGAGGTCATTCAATTCAATATTCATCAGTAAAGAAAAAGCAGTTTCTGTATAAAGAGACGAGGCTAACAAGAGAAATATAGGAACTAACAGTACAGGTACACTACCGTTCAAAAGTTTGGGGTCACTTAGAAATGTCCTTGTTTTCGAAAGAAAAGCATTTTTTTTGTCCATTAAAATAACATCAAATTGATCAGAAATACAGTGTAGACATTATTAATGTCTTAAATGGCTATTGTAGCTGGAAATGGCTGATTTTTTTAAATGGAATATCTACATAGGTGTACAGAGGCCCATTATCAGCAACCATCAGTCCTGTGTTCCAATGGCACGTTGTGTTTGCTAATCCAAGTTTATCATTTTAAAAGGCTAATTGATCATTAGAAAACCATTTTGCAATTATGTTAGCACAGCTGAAAAATGTTGTGCTGATTAAAGAAGCAATAAAACTGGCCTTCTTGAGGCTAGATGAATATCTGGAGCATCAGCAATTGTGGGTACGATTACAGGCTCAAAATGGCCAGAAACAAATAACTTCCTTCTGAAACTCGTCAGTCTACTCTTGTTCTGAGAAATTAAGGCTTTTCCATGCGAGAAATTGCCAAGAAACTGAAGATCTCGTACAACGCTGTGTACTATTCCCTTCACAGAACAGCGCAAACTGGCTCCGGGATGCTGACCTTCTAGGCAGAGTTGCAAAGAAAAAGCCATATCTCAGACTGCCCATCTTCATCTTTTCTTTTTATTGGCCAGTCTGAGATATGGCTTTTTCTTTGCAACTCCGCCTAGAAGGTCAGCATCCCGGAGTCGCTTCTTCACTGTTGACGTTGAGACTGGTGTTTTGCGGGTACTATTTAATGAAGCTACCAGTTGAGGACCTGTGAGGCGTATTCCATTAAAAATCAGCCGTTTCCAGCTACAATGGCCATTTACAACATTAACTATGTCTACACTGTATTTCTGATCAATTTAATGTTATTTTAATGGACAAAAAAATTGATTTTCTTTAGAAAACAAGGACATTTCTAAGTAACTCCAAACTTTTGAACGGTAGTGTAGATGGCAATAAAAATGGTACTACAGAATGACGGTTAAGGTACCATCTGAATGACGATTACTGTAAGGAATACTGTAAGCAAAAACTGAAAAATTAACAAATCCACAAAAAGGTCGGTGCAAATGCCAAATTACAGAGGACATTTCTGAGGCTATTAAATCCTTTCAGTCTGGAAAAACCCCAGGGCTTGATGGCATACCAGTAGAGATATACAGTGCATTCGGAAAGTATTCAGACCCCTTCCATTTTGTTATGTTACAGCCTTATTCTAAAATGGATTAAATAAATCAAAAATCCTCATCAATCTACACAAAATGCATTATGTATGACTGAAAAATACATATGTATGACAGAAAAATACCCTCACGCTGCATTATTTATTTAATTTTTAAAATACCCCATAATGACAAATCGAAACAGGTTTTTAGACATTGTTGCACAAAAAATGACATTAAATTAAAAATACCTTATTTACATAAGTATTCAGACCCTTTGCTATGATACTCGAAATTGAGCTCAGGTGCATCCGGTTTCCATTGATCATCCTTGAGATGCTTCTACAACTTGATTGGAGTCCACCTGTGGTGAATTCAATTGATTGGACATGATTTGGAAAGGCACACACCTGTCAATATAAGGTCCCACAGTTGACACTGCATGTCAGAGCAAAAACCAAGCCATGAGGTTGAAGGAATTGTCCGTAGAGCTCCGAGACAGGATTGTGTCGAAGCACAGATCTGGGGAAGGGTACTGTACATATGTATGACAGAAAAATACCCTCACGCTGCACATGTTCACGCCATAATATGTGTAAGGACTACATGTGGTGTGCACATGTTTGTGCGCATGTGTACGTGCGTACACGTGTGCACAAACATGCGCACATCCCATGTAGTCCTCAAACATATCATGGTTGTGGCCCATAGTTTTTCCATGTTAGATTCGGAGATAAGGCTTGGGAGGATAAATAATGAATAAATGACCAGGTTAAATAACATCTCCAAATCTAATAAATAAATATGTCACAGAGAATGTTTATAGATGTGCCCAAGCAACTCTCTCACAAACCCAGGACCTGCATTTTTATGACAGTCATAGAGTAAACAACATCTAAAAATAGCTAAAACAGAGAAGGAGATGGAGGGGGTGAGAACTAAAAATGGTCAGAGTAAGCTCTGGTCTTTAAGCTGCAAATAAAATGAGAAACGTTAAAAGAAAATCTGACCACACACAAGTTCAGAGAGTAAGGACTGACAGTCTCTTTTGATCCGATTCGTGTGTCTTTGCCACTGGTCCACTGGCTTGAGCTGTCGAACGTTTGATACAAATATACTGTAAATATCAAGATTTAGGAACCCATGATCACACACAGGGCTGTGGCGGTCACGAAAGTTTGTCAGCCGGTGATTGTCACGCAATTAACTGTCGGTCTCAGGGTAATTGACCGTTAATTAATATAAACACATTTAGCCTCTCCTGGCTTCCACACACAGCCTACAAGCCATTTAAAAAAGTCTAATAAATCAATTTAATATAGCCTACACCTTCACAATAAATCCATTATTTATTTTTGACAGGTCTAAAGAAACATAATATGAAGAAAATGTAGTCTATTTCAGAAGAAAAGAATAGCATACTCGTGAGTTGTCCTTATGTTAGATCCTGATGTGGATATGCCAAATGGCTGTGGGTTACACTAGTTCATTTAGCAGAGAAGATTTGCTTATAATTCCATGGCATTATTTTATAGTATTTTATAGTATAAAGAGTACAATTGAACAAAGCTAAATAAAATATAAATATTTTCTCCAAACGATTTGAGGGAGTGCGCACATGCGGCTATTCTGTGTTGAGCAGTTAACAAAGAAATAGGTACTCCTATATGCTTAATTTAGAGTTATTAATGTAACTTTAGTTGTTCTACAAACGTTGGGCTATATGTTTTGATTTTTAATACATTGTAAGGCTGCATGATGAGACTCTAATGATGATTTGAAAAAAGTAGCTTGAAAGGCATGAGCTCTGCTTTGTTTTTTGCGCAGGCTGTACACACTTCAATAGTCTCTCATTCACAATTGGACAAGCACGAAAGCATCCCCTTTGTGGCTTGTAATGCACCCTAGAATAATCCATGCCTTTTGCTGCGATGTGCCCTTCTCCATGAGTGTGCTGCGCAATCCGAAGCGTCTCTCACTCACATGGATCTCTCAGATATCTCAATTCTTATTAGCCAATGCCCGTCACGTGATTGGGTCTTTCTCACAGGCTACAAGTTAAGAAGACAGACTCAACTGCGCACGTCCTTATCCAATTCCGAGGTGCATATTGAAGATATTGGAAGAACTGTCCACATTTACTTTTCGTCAGCCAACAGGATGAGTAGGCCTAACGAACAGCAAAAGCACTAGCCTATGTCAATCTACTATCCCCCATAGTACAAAAGTTGACCTATTCTATTCTGTGCGAGAAATATATATTCCAAACCAAGTGTGGGACAGTTGTGGGATGCGATAGATCCCAAATTAATACAACCACTAGCATCAATAAACCTTTTTTATGCAATGTGGCTGACACAACATATCAGAACATTTTGCTTAAAATGTTGATAAACTATTAGGCTATTTATTCACATTATAAGCGCAGCAATGCGCACATGGTAGTAGGCTATAAGCACGAATGTTCCATTAGCAGAAAAAAACATTATCAAAAGTTATCGCAAATGCAATTATGAATGTAATGCTTTTTATTATAAAGGTGCATTTTTATGGTGAAAATTATCTTCCCCAAACTTGAAACTCACGCACTGCTTATGTATGCCAGTTAGGCTCTACACCCTTTGTAATCGGATTAATATGCTTAATTTTAAGAAGTTATTTGACCCCTTTAAAACATATAGGCCTATGGGCTAGGCTACAAATGTTATTTACATAAAGGAATATTAGTGGGAATATAGTCATAATATGAACACGAAAAAGGAGAATGGAATTTATTTGAAAATATTTAGATTTGATTGGAGAAAGAACAAGTAGGCCCTCGGTTCATGGCTCAATACTGCCATCTGCAGAAAGATAATGAGATTCCAACATACCATAGTACTCTATTAGATTTAAGTAGGGTCGAGCATAGAGTCCAGTAGGTCAGTGCCACAAGGCTACATAGTCATAGGCCTACACTTGACTGCTGGAGGGAATACACAGCCGTCCTTGATTGTGAGGTAGAATGAAATGTTGAATGCGACAAGAGGTAAACAACGTTTTTCCATCAATAGAATCAATGCAGGGAGGAAACGTGATATCATAAGGGAATCCCTTAGACCGCACTTACTGGTATGACTAGTTCTCACCCGCTCTGGCAGAGAAGTAGCCTATGTGAAAGCTTTAACAGTAGCCTAAACATACAATTAAAGTATCCATCACCAATAAATGAATGAACTTCCAAGATAATAGGCTGGTTTATGCTGTGAACAGAGTTTTATTTATTAGCCTACCAGAATCGCCTACAAAAAGAGGCTTGTGATAGGCCTTCAATTGAAATATTTCACTTATTATAACCTACCGTTATCAATAACAGGGAAAAATATATATTTAATCTCCAAAATAAAATGTAGAGATAATAAACTTGGTTTACTGAAACTTAAGGAAGCGATACGATTTTCAATAGCACCGATGACAACAACCTATTCATTTGATGATGTCTCCTCCCGTTGCTCCCCTCCGGCGCTCTGATTCGCCGGTCTACTGAGCCACCGGTCTGAGAGCACCACCGGAATAGAAACCCAACGCAACCTAATCACCTCCAGCGCACCTGCACCTCGTCATCTCATCACCACCCCTATTTAGCCCTGGACTGTTCCCTATGATGTTGTGTTTGATTGTTTAGCTGTGTGTCGTGTACTCTATCTTTGTTATTTCTCTTTGTCGTTGTTTAAGTATACCTTGACCTTGTTAATTCCTGCGTCTGCATCCTGCCTCTTCGTATACTCAGTACTCGTCACAGATGATAAGGCAAATCTCCTCAAGAAGGAGCACTTGAGAGGAAGAACCGTGCTTAATGGATGGATTTGGCGGATGGGTTTCAAAATAAATTCTCGCATTGCAGGGATCAACTTGTTGTGGCAGTTTTATAGCCTTATGCAGCAGTAGCAGTAATAATAAAGTCTGAATGCCAAGAGTCACGTCTGGAGGAAACATGGCACCATCCTTACGGCGAAAAATGGTGGCGGCAACATCATGCTGTGGGGATGTTTTTCAGCGGCAGGGACTGGGACACTAGTCAGGATCGAGGGAAAGATGAACGGAGCAAAGTACAAAGAGATCCTTGATGAAAACCTACTCCAGAGCGCTCAGGACCTCTGACTGGGGCCAAGGTTCACCTTCCAGCAGGACAACGACCCTAAGCACACAGCCAAGACAATACAGGAGTGGCTTTGGGACAAGTCTCTGAATGTCCTTAAGTGGCCCAGCCAGAGCCTGGACTTGAACCCGATTGAACATCTCTGAGAGACCTGAAAAATAGCTGTGCAGCGACGCTCCCCATCCAACCTGGCAGAGCGTGATAGGATCTGCAGAGAAGAATGAGCGTCATACTCAAAAAGACTTGAGGCTGTTATCGCTGCATAAGGTGCTCAACTAAGTACTGAGTAAAGGGTCTGAATACGTATGTACAGTGCCTTGAAAAAGTATTCATCCCCCTTAGCGTTTTTCCTATTTTGTTGATTTTTATTTGGATTTCATGTAATGGGCATGTCCAAATTGGTGAAGTGAAATTAAAAAAATAACTTGTTTCAAAATATTCTAAAAAATAAATAACTGAAAATTGGTTTGTGCATATGTATTCACCCCCTTTGCAATGAAGCCCCTAAATAAGATCTGGTGCAACCAATTACTTTCTGAAGTCACATAAATCTAAGTGTCACATAACCTGTCACATGATTTCAGTATATATACACCTGTTCTGAAAGGCCCCAGAGTCTGCAACACCACTAAGCAAGGGGCACCACCAAGCAAGCGGCACCATGAAGACCAAGGAGCTCTCCAAACAGGTCAGGGACAAAGTTGTGGAGAAGTACTGATCAGGTTTGGGTTATAAAACAATATCTGAAACTTTGAACATCCCACGGAGCACCATTAAATCCATTATTAAAAAATGTTAAGAATATGGCACCACAACAAACCTGCCAAGAGAGGACCGCCCACCAAAACTCACGGACCAGGCAATGAGGGCATTAATCAGAGAGGCAACAAAGAGGCCAAAGATAACCATCGGTGCTATTGAAAATCGTGGGCTGCAAAGCTCCACAGCGGAGATTGGAGTATATGTCCATAGGAACACTGTAAGCCGTACACTCCACAGAGCTGAGCTTTATGGAAGAGTGGCCAGAAAAAAGCCATTGCTTAAAGAAAAAAATTAACAAACACGTTTTGTGTTCGCCAAAAGGCATGTGGGAGACTCCCCAAACATATGAAAGAAGGTACTCTGGTCAGATGAGACTAAAATTGAGCTTTTTGGCCATCAAGGAAAAAACTATGTCTGGCGCAAACCCAACACCTCTCATCACCTCGAGAACACCATCCCCACAGTGAAGCATGGTGGTGGCAGCATCATGCTGTGGGGATGTTTCTCATCGGCAGGGACTGGGAAACTGGTCAGAATTGAAGGAATAATGGATGCGGCTAAATACAGGGAAATTCTTGAGGGAAACCTGTTTGTCTTCCAGAGATTTGAGACTGGGACGGAGGTTCATCTTCCAGCAGGACAATGACCCTAAGCATATTGTTAAAGCAACACTCGAGTGGTTTAAGGGGAAACATTGAAATGTCTTGGAATGGCCTAGTCAAAGCCCAGACCTCAATCCAATTGAGAATCTGTGGTATGACTTAAAGATTGCTGTACACAAGCGGAACCCATCCAACTTGAAGAAGCTGGAGCAGTTTTGCCTTGAAGAATGGGCAACAATCCCAGTGGCTAGATGTGCCAAGCTTATAGAGACATACCCAAAGAGACTTGCAGCTGTAATTGCTGCAAAAGGTGGCTCTACAAAGTGTTGACTTTGGGGGGATGAAATGTTATGCAAGCTCAAGTTTTGTGTTTTCTTGTCTTATTTCTTGTTTGTTTCACAATAACAAAATATTTTGCATCTTCAAAGTGGTAGGCATGTTGTGTAAATCAAATGATGCAAACCCCCCAAGAATCAATTTTAATTGCAGGTTGTAAGGCAACAAAACAGGAAAAATGCCAAGGGGGGTTAATACTTTCACAAGCCACTGTAAATATGATATTTCCGTTTTTGCAAAAATGTCTAAAAAACGTTTTTTGCTTTGTCATAATGGGGTGTTGTGTGTAGATGAGGGGGGAAAAAACAATTGAATCCATTTTAGAATAAGGCTGTAACGTAACAAAATGTGGAAAAAGTCAAGGGGTCTGAATACTTTCCGAATGCGATGTGCCTCAACTGATATGCCATCCAGCCCTGGAGTTTTCCCGGACTTAAAAAAATAAAAAATTGTAGCATTTCTATGTTGAAGATTAAAAAATAATTTTGTGCATTTTCCCCCATATTCCATCCAGTTCACTTTATTTTGTGTAATACAGTGCCCTCCACTAATATTGGCACCCTTTGTAAATATGAGAAAAATGGGCTGTGAAAGAAATCTTTGCTGTTTATCCTCTTGGTCTTTCATTCAAAATATAAAAAAAAGCAAACCTTTAATTGATGTAAAATGATTCAAAAAAATAAGTGTGAAATAAAATAAATAAATATTTTTCTCAATCATTTGTGCAACAATTATTGGCACCCCTAGTAATTATTATGAGTATAATCGAACTGAAATATATTCCCATTCATATTTTGTTTTTAAGTTCACATGAGTGATTAGGAACACTTAAGTGGTAAGCCATGGCTTCCTGTTTCACTGGGGTATAAATATGAGGTGACACACAGGCCAAGTTCCCATAGTCATCCATCACTATGGGAAAGACCCGAGAATACAGTAATGATGTGCGACAAAAGGTTGTTGAGCTGCACAAATCAGGAAATCGCTATAAGAAAATACCTCAACGGTTGAAAATGCCCATTTCCACTATCAGGGCAATAATTGAGAAGTTTAAAGCAACTGGAGATGTTAACAATCTGCCTGGAAGACGACGTGTGTCTATATTGACCCCACGCACAGTGAGGGGATGGTTCGAGTGGCCAAAAAATCTCCAAGGATCACAGCTGGAGAATTGCAGACGTTAGTTGGGTCTTGGTGTCAGAAAGTCTCCAAAACTACGATCAGACGCCACCTACATAACCACAAGTTGTTTGGGAGGGTTGCCATAAAAATGTGTTTGCTGTCATCAAACAACAAACTCAAGCACCTACAGTTTGCCAAAAGTTACTGGAACTTTCAATGGGACCGGGTTCTATGGTCAGATAAGACCAAAACAGACCTTTTTGGAAACAAACACCAGACGTGGGTTTGATGTAGACAGAAAGATAGCCATGCAGAAAAGTACCTCATCCCCACTGTGAAGTATGTTGGTGGATCGTTGATGTTGTGGGACTGTTTTTCTTCCATAGGATACATGGTATCATGGACGCCAGCAAGTACCAGCAGATATTAAATCAAAACCTGACTGCCTCTGCTAGGAAGCTTAAACTGGGCCATGGTTGGATCGTCCAGCAGGACAATGATCCAAAGCACACCTCGTGACAATGATCCAAATCACCACAAAAATGCTTCACTTACTACAGAATCAAGGTTTTGCCATGGCCATCCCAGTCCCCTGAACTAAACCCCATAGAAAACCTGTGGGATGAGCTGAAGAGGAGAGTCCACAAGCGTGGACCTCGGAATCTGAAGGATCTGGAGAGATTATGTATGGAGGAATGGTCTCAGATCCCTTGCCATGTGTTCTCCAACCTCATTACACATTATAGGAGAAGACTCAGAGCTGTTATCTTGGCAAAGGGAGGTTGCACAAAGTATTGAATGAAGGAGTGGCAATAATTGTGGCACACATATATTTGAGAAAAATATTAGTGTTATGATTTTACTTTAATTAAAGGTTAGATTTTTGTGAATATTTTGAATGAAAGACCAAGAGGATAAACGATAAAGACAGTTTTTTTCACAGCCCGTTTTGCTCATATTTACCAAGGGTGCCAATATTAGTGGAGGGCACTGCATATTTCACTTGGTCTTTCTTGAATAAGTTCCTCCATTTCTTTTTGTTTTTCCTCTAACTTATTATGTGCCTCTGTTACAGTTTTTACTGCTATTTGTCTGTACCTTTAGTACCTCTATTTCCTTTGTTAAGATGAACTATTTTGGCCTAAAAGAGGAGAGAAAGAGGAGAGAATGAACAAGAGGAGAGAAAGAATGAGGGAACAAGAAAGAGAGTGAGAAAATTAGTGAATGGTTGGATGATGTTGGTATGTAGAGGGGGGACTGTTTTCACTGTTGAGGATTAGGCATCGTTGGATGTCCTTTGTAGGGAGCAGGAATTCATGGAGCGTGAAGAGTGTGTGTACCTGTGTGTGCCTGTGTGTGTACGTGTATGTGCGTGCATGTCTGCGTACGTGCTCTTGTGTGTGACAGAGCATAGCTGTGAGTATCTATGTGTGACACCTAGACACCCACCTTCGTAATACTTGAAGGATTCTGCCAACATTGAGCTGGCGATGTTACGTCTTTAGGTAGAGAAATCAACTTCAGTTTGCAATGTGACAAAGAGTAATTTTAGTGCTGAAACGAGAAGCACATTGCTAGGCGAGGGAGACTGTTTTCCCTGTGTGTGTGTGCGCGCACGTCTATGTGAATGTACTGTATGTGTACGTTTGGCCTGTGTGTGGGTGCATGGTGCGTGTGTGTGTGTACGACAGTGTTGTAGTACTCGAGACCGGTCACATATTGACTGTTTCGGGTCTTGTCTCTGTGTCAGATATATTTTTACTAGGTCTTGACTAGGTCTCGGACAATGAGGAGTCAGAATTGCTTCCTGAGACCAGTGGAGTAAAAAATCATAATTATCAGTCACCACCCTGGTCTGGATATATGAGCTCATCTTGTTTTTCTATGTGGGGTTCAGTTCTTCTGCTTTGTGGCCTGAGTGACTCCCAATCAGAGGCAACGAGTGTCAGCTGTGGCTGGTTGTCTCTGATTGGGAGCCATATTTAAACTGTCTGTGTTCCCTTGGTGTTTGTGGGTTTTTGTTCCAGTTGGTCATTGTTACCTAGGACGTTACGAGTCGTTTTGTTGTTTTGTATCGTGTGTGCACTTTAACTAATTAAAGTATGTTCGCTCAACACGCTGCGCCTTGGTCCTCCTCTATGTATGACGATCGTGACAGAAAAACCCACCGTACCAGGACCAACCAGCGTGTCCAGGAGCAGGCAGCCTGGACGTGGGAGCAGATTTTGGACGGACAGGGGTCCTGGACCTGGGAGGAAATCCTGGCCGGGATGGATCGCCGGCCATGGAGTGAGACTGTAGAGAGGCGACGGAGAGAGGAGCAACGGCGTGATCAGGGTCGTCGTCGGACGGTCGAGAGGCAACCCCAAATAATTTTTAGGGGGGGGCACAGGGCATGGACGACGGGGCTGACGGAGGCAGAAAAGGGGCGTATTCAAAAGGCCACCAGGTTACGGGGGTCACTGGTAAAGGAAGGGAAGGAAGGTTTAGAGGCACGGCGAGAGGTACTGGGATGTGTTACCAGTCCGGTCCGGCCCGTTCCAGATCCCGGGGTAGAGCCAGTGGTGTGTGTCCCCAGTACGGTCCGGCCTGTTACGGCCCCTCGCAACAAATGGACGGTGCGCGTCGCCAGCCCGGTCCGGCCTGTTCCTGCCTCTCGCACCAAGCATACGGTGTGCGTCGCCAGCCTGGTCCGGCCTGGTCCTGCTCCACGCACCAAGCCTACGGTGTGCGTCGCCAGCCCGGTCCGGCCTGTTCCTGCCTCTCGCACCAAGCCTACGGTGTGCGTCGCCAGCCCGGTCCGGCCTGTCCCTGCTCCACGCACCAAGCCTACGGTGTGCGTCGCCAGCCCGGTCCGGCCTGTCCCTGCTCCTCGCACCAAGCCTACGGTGTGCGTCGCCAGCCCGGTCCGGCCTGTTCCTACTACACGCACCAAGCCAGGGGTGCGCATCGTCAGCCCGGTCCGGCCTGTTCCTACTCCACACACCAAGCCAGGGGTGCGCGTCGCCAGCCTGGCCCGGCCTGTTCCTGCCACTCGCACCAAGCCAGGGGTGCAAGTCGTCAGCCCGGTTCGGCCCGTTCCGGCTCCACGCACCAAGCCAGGGGTGCGCGTCGTCAGTCCAGCACAACCCGTGCCTGGGTCACCGGTGCCTGGTAAGGTACCGGTCAACTGCTCCACTACGGAGCTGAAGCTAACCGCTCCTGCTACGTCCAGTTCAGCTCCAGCCAGCGGGGCCAGACCGGACCAGGGGCGCTATGGGGGGTTTATTGGAGGGTGGTGGGAAAGGCCGGAGCCAGAACCGCCGCCGAGGAGGAATGCCCACCCAGCCCTCCCCTGTTTTGTTCTAGTGGAGGCGCGGTCGCAGTCCGCGCCTTTAGGGGGGGGGTACTGTCACACCCTGGCTCTGGGACTCTATATGTTGAGCCAGGGTGTGTTCATTCTATGTGGTATATTTCTATGTTGGGGGTTCTAGTTCTTCTGTTTCTTTGTTGGCCTGAGTGACTCCCAATCAGAGGCAACGAGTGTCAGCTGTGGCTGGTTGTCTCTGATTGGGAGCCATATTTAAACTGTCTGTGTTCCCTTGGTGTTTGTGGGTTTTTGTTCCAGTTGGTCATTGTTACCTAGGACGTTACGAGTCGTTTTGTTGTTTTGTATCGTGTGTGCACTTTAACTAATTAAAGTATGTTCGCTCAACACGCTGCGCCTTGGTCCTCCTCTATGTATGACGATCGTGACAATCAGCTCCCATTCAGTCAGCGCATAAAACGTCTTCACCAGGCCAAATATCCACACTCCTTTTACGACACATTCATTTTAATAAAAAATATCCTCAAACTTTGTCGAGCTCATCAGAATTTCCTTGATTTGTTGGTAGGGAAGAGTGGAGGAAATAATTTGAAAGTTGCACTCTCACTATTAGTAAGGGGAGACCGGCGGAAGTTGTAACATTTTGTATTTTTATCTATTATAGACCTGTTTGCATTAGTGATCATTTGGAGAGTGGCTCTCTATTTGCCCTCAGCATGCATTTGTTCACCATTCTGAATGGCTAAGGAATCCATATGTTATTCTGAAATATGAACACAGAAATACTGGACATTTTGAACTCTTATTATGGTGGCGATGTGACACAATTTCAATCATGGTCTTGACTCGGTCTCGGACCCCTCACCCCCCTCCCGGTCTTGGTCTTGATTCGGACTCAATTTGCTCTGGTCTCGCTTTAGGTAGTCTCGAACCCAACACTGGTGTACGGTATTTATGACCTCACCCATGTGTTCCTGGGGATCTGAGGGTTACACGAGAATTGCCAGGTGAACCGTGTGCGCTCTCAAAATCTGGGATTGATCGAGTTAGCGGGAGAGTAGCCTGGCTTAAGATGTATAGGATAATAATGGGGTGATTTATGTGCTTTGAAGGAAGGGGTGTATTTTTTCCACTCCCGCTCTAGCCAAGAAAGCGGTGGGAGGGGATGGAACTTGGACTCAGCTCGTCTGACAGTGTCAAAACAATGTATCTGTTAGAATGACTGACTGTAAATCTCCCTCGCCTTCTTTTTTTTTCTTTCTCCTTCTTTCTCTCTGTCTCTTAATATTGCTCTCTCTCTTGCTCTCTGTCTGTTTGATGTTTCTTACATTTCTTTATTTTTCTTTCAGTGATTAATAAATAAGACCCACCCCCTCTCTTTCTTTCTCTTTCTCTCTCCCTCTCTCTCTCTCTCTTTGTCTGTCTGAACAGAAACAGGCTTTCGTTTGTTATGAACTCGATCGATTTACATGATTTATGAACTTGATCAGGGAAAGAATCTGTGTGAGGGAAAGTTGATGTCATGCCCTTCATGTTTGTGAATTGTAGGTCATCTGATAGGCTTGCAGTTCTCTAAGAGGAAGGGGTTAATGAGGGGATTGACCCTTCATTAGCCCTGTTAATAAAGTCTGTCATTAGGAAAGTTCTAAGAGGAATGAGAGCGGTATGAGTTTTATGGTATACAGTTTCATGTGGGATCCCTTACTATAGCTGGTTAATTGGTGTAGGTAGGGAGGGGAGGGGTGGCTTTATGTCTATCTATACTGAACAAAAGTATAAACGCAACATGTACAGTGTTGGTTTCATGAGCAGACATAAAAGATCCCAGAAAGGTTCCATACGCACAAAAAGCATATTTCTCTCAAATTTTGTGCACAAATTTGTTGACATCCCTGTTAGTTATTATTTCGCCTTTGCCAAGGTAATCCATCCACCTGACAGGTGTGGCATATCAAGAAGCTTATTAAACAGCATTATCATTACACTGGTGCACCTTGTGCTGAGGACAATAAAAGGCCACTCAAAAATGTGCAGTTTTGTCAAACAACACAATGCCACAGATGTCTCAAGTTTTGAGGGTGCATGCAATTGGCATGCTGACTGCAGGAATGTCCACCAGAGCTGTTGCAAGACAATTGAATGTTCATTTCTCTACCACAAGCCGCCTCCAATGTCGTTTTTGAGAATTTGGCAGTGCGTCCAACCGACCTCACAACAGCAGACCATGCATAACCATGCCAGCCTGGACCTCTACATCCGGCTTCTTCACCTGCGGGATCGTCTGAGACCAGCCACCCGGACAGCTGATGAAACTGAGGAGTATTTCTGTCTGTAATAAAGCGCTTTTGTGGGGGAAACTTATTCTGATTGGCTGGGCCTGGCTCCCCAGTGGGTGGGCCTGGCTCCCAAGTGGGTGGGACTATGCCCTCCCAGGCCCACCCATGGCTGCGCCCCTGCCCATTCATGTGAAATCCATAGATTAGGGCCTAATGAATTTATTTCAATACCTTTTACACTTGGTACTCCTTTTACCCATTTACTTTACATTTTGACCTCCTGTTATCCTAAAGCCTCTAACAAACAACTTAGGCCAGACATACTTTTGGTGGCAGTTAAACACAGAGATATGTTCAAGGTGAATGAGAATTCCTAAAAGTCAACCTAACCTCCTATTTGTGAAGCAGACCATAGTTTCCAGTGTTAGTTTAATCTTTGTCTTCCATTGTTTACCTTTTAACCTTTTTTGACTGACACATCCTGACACCTCACCCCTCCACCTCCCAGGTTCGTGACGCGCTTCATCGAGCTCGACGGCCTCACCTGCCTGCTCAATTTCCTGCGGAGCATGGACTACGAGACGTCAGAGAGCCGCGTGCACACCTCGGTCATCGGCTGCATCAAGGCCCTGATGAACAACTCGCAGGGTCGAGCCCACGTGCTGGCCCACCCGCAGAGCATTAACACCATCTCCCAGAGCTTGCGGCAGGACAACGTCAAGACCAAGGTTGCCGTGCTGGAGATCCTGGGCGCAGTGTGCCTGGTGCCTGATGGCCACAAGAAGGTGCTGCAGGCGATGGCCCACTACCAGAAGTATGCCGCTGAGAGGACCCGCTTCCAGGTATAGTCCAACAAATGCTGGGGTACTCCTAAAGCTAAGTAAATGACTCGTAAATCTAATCTATAGTTTTAGTGTGGGTGTGCCACACTAATTTTAAATCATCCCCAAGAGTGAATATGTCTTTTTGACCATGCATAGAAGAGTTGCAAGGACATTGTCCCTGTATCCCAGGGGTGGGCAAACGTATTGGTTCAATAGCCACATCAGGACAGATAGTGCAGATTTGGCAAGAAAAGGGCAGTTATTTAAACAAAATTAGGTCCTTAAAACCACCACATTTAATCGGCTGGCGGGACGGATTGGCCGTAGTTTACCCACCACTGCAACTCTTGCAGATCAATTTCATTGTAGTTAATATAACTGAGTAATTGTCCATTCAACCCATGCACCTAACTGAGTAAGTGTCCCTGTAACCCATGCAGACGTTGCTGAATGAGCTAGACAGAAGTACGGGGCGATACAGAGACGAGGTCAACCTGAAGACAGCCATCATGTCCTTCATCAACGCTGTGCTCAATGCCGGGGCTGGGGAGGTCAGTCATGATCGCCATTTTACTCTTTAATTCCCCTGTCACACCCACAGCTAGGTCTACATTATATTGGATTATTCATGAGAGTCACATTTAAACAATTCTACCAAGATATCATTGAATAGTTCGTCTGCACACACCCTAATAAATACATTAGATTTGCGTGATAGAGGCTACATCATTGTTGTTATTGTTTTTGTTGGCAGGTTGAGGAGCGTAATTCTTTTTATTTTTGTATTAGCATGGTCAACTAAATTGCAGTATATGTTGTGCTATTCTATCGCGCGTGCAATGATGTCAGAGTGGAAAAAAACAGTGTTTGTTGTTTGCAGTAACTTCTTTGTTGTTGTAATATTGCAAATGGACATGACCGTTTCATCATTATGGATTCCAGCTTTAAATAATAAGTCAAGTTTATTCTTGTATTACAATAGTGCACAGACACAGTAGCCTACATACATTAACAACTGTTAAAGCTAATTAAAAGTCCAAGAGCAAAGTACTGTATGCCTGAATGATACAGGGTTGCTGTTGTTGTCGTCAGCTGTGTTTGATCCCCTGTACTTCTATCCTTAGGACAACCTGGAGTTCCGCCTCCACCTTAGGTACGAGTTCCTGATGTTGGGGATCCAGCCTGTGATTGACAAGCTCAGAGGGCACGATAATGCCACTCTGGACAGGTGAGGCGGGGGACAAGATAACCACTAAGCTTCTTAGAAAGCTTCTTAGTCCCTACAGTAAGGTTGTTGGATTCAAGGCTGGCATCCAGCTCATAAGATATACAGACAGAGATGGAATGACTCTCTCAAGCTTATTGTCTCTTTCATGCCTGTGTCATATTTCCAGGCATTTGGACTTCTTTGAGATGGTGAGGAATGAGGATGACTCAGAACTTGCGAAGCGCTTTGACATGGTGAGTGCCTGTTTTACCATCCCCATGTGAAGTAAAGGTGTCTTTATTGGAATGTTCTCAATCTATGAATGTCAAACTTTTACTGCTGCTCTTTAATTATTTGTTATCTATTTTTTACTTCACTTACTTTTCTTAAAACTGCATTGTTGGTTAAGGGCTGGTAAGTAAGCATTCACTGTAAGGTCTACACCTGTTGAATTTGGCGCGTGTGTGCTTGTATTGAGGATCTCTAAGTGCATCCATGCCTAATTTCAGGTTTATTGTTATCGATTGACTTGGTATTTTAATGATTGGATGTTTTACTTTCATTCAACAGACCCACGTAGACACCAAGAGCGCTGGCCAGATGTTTGAGTTGATCAAGAAGAAGTTGAACCACACAGACGCCTATCCTTACCTGCTCTCTATCCTCCAGCACTGCCTCCAGATGCCCTGTGAGTACATCAATCGCTATTGAATCTGCCTCATGGGCTGGTCCATCGCTATTATGATTTTAAGTATATTTATTCACAATTTCCAATACACAATGGCAGTTTATATGACATGTCAAACTGAATAGCAGTGCACATACGCACAATGACTACATCTGCCTGCTAGGCTGGTCCATCACTAATACAGTGGCTTGCGAAAGTATACACCCCCCTTGGCATTTCTCCTATTTTGTTGCCTTACAACCTGGAATTAAAATGGATTTTTTGGAGGTTGTATCATTTGATTAACACATTTTGAAGATGCAAAATATTTTTGGGGTGAAACAAACAAGAAATAATACATAAAAACTGAAAACTTGAGCGTGCATAACTATTCACCCCCCCAAAGTAAATACTTTGTAGAGCCACCTTTTGCAGCAATTACAGCAGCAAGTCTCTTGGGGTATGTCTCCATAAGCTTGGCACATCTAGCCACTGGGATTTTTGCCCATTCTTCAAGGCAAAACTGCTCCAGCTCCTTCAAGTTGGATGGGTTCCGCTGGTGTACAGCAATCTTTAAGTCATACCACAGATTCTCAATTGGATTGAGGTCTGGGCTTTGACTAGGCCATTCCAAGACATTTCAATGTTTCCCCTTAAACCACTCGAGTGTTGCTTTAGCAGTATTCTTAGGTTCATTGTCCTGCTGGAAGGTGAACCTCTGTCTCAAATCTCTGGAAGACTGAAACAGGTTTCCCTCAAGAATTTCCCTGTATTTAGCGCCATCCATCATTCCTTCAATTCTGACCAGTTTCCCAGTCCCTGCCAATGAAAAACATCCCCACAGCATGATGCTACCACTACCATGCTTCACTGTGGGGATGGTGTTCTCGGGGTGATGAAAGGTGTTGGGTTTGCGCCAGACATAGCGTTTTCCTTGATGGCCAAAAAGCTCAATTTTATTATCATCTGACCAGCATACCTTCTTCCATATGTTTGGGGAGTCTCCCACATGCCTTTTGGCAAACACCAAATGCGTTTGCTTATTTTCTTTCTTTAAGCAATGGCTTTTTTCTGGCCACTCTTCCGTAAAGCCCAGCTCTGTGGAGTGTACGGCTTAAAGTGTTCCTATGGACAGATACTCCAATATCCGCTGTAGAGCTTTGCAGTTCCTTCAGGGTTATCTTTGGTCTCTTTGTTGCATCTCTGATTAATGCCCTCCTTGCCTGGTCCTTGAGTTTTGGTGGGCGGCCCTCTCTTGGCAGGTTTGTTGTGGTCCCATATTCTTTCATTTTTTAAATAATAGTTTTTTATAACCCAACCCTGATCTGTACTTCTCCACAACTTTGTCCCTGACCTATTTGGAGAGCTCCTTGGTCTTCATGGTGCCGCTTGCTTGGTGGGGCCCCTTGCTTAGTGGTGTTGCAGACTCTGGGGCCTTTCAGAACTGGTGTATATATACTGACATCATGTGACAGATCATGTGACACTTAGATTGCACACAGGTGGACTTTATTTAACTAATTATATGACGTCTGAAGGTAATTGGTTGCACCAGATCTTATTTAGGGGCTTCATAGCAAAGGGGGTGAATACATATGCACGCACCACTTTTCCATTATTATTTTTTTTGAATTTTTTGTAACAAGTTATTTTTTTCATTTCACTTCACCAATTTGGAATATTTTGTGTATGTCCATTACATGAAATCCAAATAAAAATCTATTTAAATTACAGGTTGTAATGCAACAAAATAGGAAAAACGCCAAGGGGGTAGAATACTTTTGCAAGGCACTGTACATCTACCTCACAGGCTGGTTCATCACTAATACATCTACCTCACAGGCTGGTTCATCACTAATACATCTACCTCACAGGCTCGTTCATCAGTAATACATCTGCCTTACAGCCTGGTTCATCACTATTAATAGAGCCCGACCAATGTCAGATGTTTGGGTGTGATATCGATTTTAGGGAGGCAAAAGTCACAGATTACCGATATATCTGCCAATATATTGTTTTTTTAGAGGTGTAATGAAAAACAGAGCTTTTTTACACATTGTTCACCAAAGGATTAACAGATACACAAAATTATAATTTCTTAACAAAATATTAAATTAACATTATTTAAGAACATTGTATTTGTGGTTTACAGAATGTCTATTAAAAAGCAACTATACCGTGCATTCGGAAATTATTCAGACCCCTTCCCTTTTTCCACATTTTGTTACGTTACAGCCTTATTCTAAAATTGATTAAATAAATGTTTTCCCTCATCAATCTACACACAATACCCCATAATGACAAAGCAAAAACAGGTTTTTAGAAATGTTTGTAAATTTATTAGAAATTAAAAACAGAAATACCATATTTAGGTAAGTATTCAGACCCTTTGCTATGAGACTCGAAAGATCATCCTTGAGATGTTTCTAGAACTTGATTAGAGTCCAGCTGTGGTAAATTCAATTGATTGGACATGATTTAGAAAGGCACACACCTGTCTATATAAGGTCCCACAGTTGACAGTGCATGTCAGAGCAAAAACCAAGCCATGAGGTCGAAGGAATTGTCCGTAGAGCTCCGAGACAGGATTGTGTCGAGGCACAGATCTGGGGAAGGGCACAAACATTTCTGCAGCATTGAAGGTCCCCAAGAACACAGTGGCCTCCATCATTCTTACATGGAAGAAGTTTGGAACCACCAAGACTCTTCCTAGAGCTGGTCGCCCGGCCAAACTGAGCAATCGGGGGAGAAGGGCCTTGGTCAGAGGTGACATAGAACCCGATGGTCACTCTGACAAAGCTCTGGAGTTCCTCTGTGGAGATGGGAGAACCTTCCAGAAGGACAACCATCTCTGCAGCGCTCCACCAATCAGGCCTTTATGTTAGAGTGGCCAGACGGAAGCCACTCCTCAGTAAAAGGCATATGACAGCCCACTTGGAGTTTGCCAAAAGGCACCTAAAGGACTCTCAGACCATGAGAAACAAGATTCTCTGGTCTGATGAAACCAAGATTGAACTTTTTGGCCTGAATGCCAAGCGTCACGTCTGGAGGAAACCTAGCACCATCTCTACTGTGAAGCATGGTGGTGGCAGCATCATGCTGTGGGGATGTTTTTCAGCTGAAGGGACTGGGAGACTAGTCAGGATCGAGGGAAAGATTAACAGAGCAAAGTACAGAGAGATCCTTGATGAAGACCTGCTCCAGAGCAATCAGGACCTCAGACTGGGACGAAGGTTCACCTTCCAACAGGACAAGGACCCTAAGCACACAGCCAAGACAACAGAGGAGTTGCTTTGGGACAAGTCTCTGAATGTCCTTGAGTGGCCCAGCCAGAGCCCGGACTTAAACCCAGTCGAACATCTCTGGAGAGACCTGAAAATAGCTGTGCAGCTACGCTCCCCATCCAACCTGACAGAGCTTGAGAGGATCTGCAGAGAAGAATGGGAGAAACTCCCCAAATACAGGTGTGCGAAGCTTGTAGTGTCATACCCAAGAAGACTCAAGAATGTAATCGCTGCCAAAGGTGCTTCAACAAAGTACTGAGTAAAGGGTCTGAATACTTATGTAAATGTCATATTTCCATTTTGTTTTTATACATTTGCAAACATTTGTGACCCGTTTCAGGAAACTAGGCATATGTTGCAAGTCACGACTTTACAGGAGAGCCATTTTAAGTTTTTTTATAACGTCAGCCATGGAGCTCTACAAATATGTTGCTACTGTGCTCAATAACATTGCTGCCCTGAATTTATCAGGCGCTATCGACAAAGGTAAGTGGGAAAAAGTTGTGATTGACTACTTTCTGGAGGACGATCGTGCCATGCTGACTCTCTCTGACTCTGAAAATGATGTTGTAGAGTCTTCTGATGACAGTGATGGGGAAGAAACGGCAATCAACAGTATTGTTGTCGCGGAAGAAGTTGACCGAGTTTTGAAATCAGTGAATTGTCTGGTAGAAGCAGAGTATGATAAGGAGATTAATATATTTCTGGCGTTTGATTGCAAATGCAGAGGGAGTCGAAAAGAGAACACAGAAGGCCGCTGTATAAAACACCTGTCTCCGGATTACATCTTCAAACTAAGGGCAACCATGGCATCGGTGACAGAGAGGGAGAAAGATCTGATGATTCTTATGGCATTGCACACGGTCAGTGTGAACCAGAGTGTCTTGACACAACGGGCCAAGCCAGCTGTACAAACAAAAAGGAAACGGCACAGGACATCTTATTTAATGAAAGGGGTTGCAGTCTGCCGTGAAGCGTTCATCCATGTATACGGGTAAGAGTCTAGCTACAGTTTCAGAAATTATGCCATTTAGCATTGCTAGTTATAGCCTAATGTTAGCTAGCTAACTAGCTAACATTGAACCTATTTGGTTAACTTTAGCTAGCTATGACAATCAGTTTGTATTGCTAGGACTCTATGAATTGGGATTATGAGTCATTGTTTAGCTAGCTAGCTACATGTCTAAACAAAAGACCCTAAGTTAAAGCTTACTGTTAGCTAGCTAGCTGACGTTAGATGGCTGGCTTTCTAGGTAACATTACGTGTGTGTGATCTGTGTGTAGTGATGTTATCTCAGAATGCCATTTTGCATTGCTAGTTATAGCTTAATGTTAGCTAGCTAACTAGCTAACATTGAATCTATTTAGTTAACCTAAGCTAGCTATGACAATCGGTTTGTATTGCTAGTACTCTATGGATTGGGATTATGGTTCATTGTTTAGCTAGCTAGCTAGCTACATGTCTTAACATAAGACCCCAAGTTAAAGGTTACTGTTAGCTAGCTAGCTGATGACCCATCAAAAAGAGAGCTTGCCCAAGCAAGCACAGGTCACACCTGAAGCATGAGGACTTGCAGCGAGTGGTTAGTTTATCAACATCTACACAGAGGATAAGGCAATAATATTACCAGGACACCACCCTGGACACAAACACATTAGTGGAAAGCTGCTGCCATCCCATGTGACAAAAGCAGCAGTGTGGCGTTTCAACATGGAATCGATGACAACACGTGGTACGTAAAGCATAAACAACAAGTTTTTATTATTTAATTGACCTCCAACATAATTGGCACTACTTTTATTGATCTCACATTATTTCTGTATTTTCCAGATGTACGTGTAGTCGGGCTGTCATCCTTCAGGAATCTGTGGAGAAAATTGCTGCCCCACATCTCAAGCACTAAGCCCAGGACATACCTGTGCTGGCAGTGCCAGAGGAACAACTATCAGCCGAGCTGAAGAAGCAAGAGCAGCATCTCCTGCTTGTTCCGAGTGAGCGGTCTATATATATATATATATGGGAGGCAGGCAAATTCCTTTCACTGAGCTGTGTAAAGACATACTGACAGGGGTGAGACAATTAAGTTTAGTTTATCTTAATGTTCTTTTGTTGTTTGCAGGTGCATTATCCTTATGACCCTATGCAGCCAGGTCCCATCTACTTCTTAACTCCTCGCAAGTGTGGCTTGTTTTGGTGTCTGCTGTGAAGGAATACCACAACAAGTCAACTACTTGATTGATGAAGGCATGTCATCCAGCAAAGGCAGCAGCGCAGTCATCAACTACATGCACCATTTCTTTACCAACTACGGAGTTGGGGAAACACGCGTGGACCTGAATTGTGATAACTGCAGTGACCAAAACAAGAACAAGTTTGTACTCTGGTATTGTGCCTGGCGGACCATGCACAAGCTCCACCACAGTCTGGACCTTCACTTCCTGATCACAGGCCACACCAAGTTTGCCCCCGAGTGGTGCTTCGGCCTCATCAAGCAGCGCTTCAGAAAGACCAGAGTGAACACTTTGTATGAGATTGCTGGTGTTGTCAAGGACAGCACTGTGACAGGGGTCAACATCCCACAGCTGGTTGGACTGGAGGATGGTACGGTGCTGGTGGGAAGCTATGGCTGGCAACAACACCTGACTCCGTACTTCAGGCCGCTAGCACAGATCAAGCAGTACCAGCACTTCAGGTGAATATCATTTTCATTGCATTGTATGAGGTTATTGTTCTTATCTAAACTTGGGAGGTGAATTGATCTTGTGCAAGGTTGTAATGTCTTCAATTATTTGTGTGTTATTTCCTGTGTTACAGCTTCGATGCTCTGGAGGCTGGTGTTGTTGTAGCCAATTAGCATTCGGACTCAGTCGGAACCAGGTTTCAGCTGCTGCGCAACACTGATATCCTTCCTCCCATAGATGGTCTGCCTGTACAAGCACCACCTGGACTAGACACAGCTAGACAAACTTATATTTTTGAGAAGATCAGGGAGTTTTACGACGAAGAAGCTATGGGTATCACATGCCCTACACCAAAGTCAAAGGCAGAACAGAAACAGGCTCTCCGAATATTTTTTATCCTGCTGTTCAGCCACTTTAGCCCTGATTGTATGCATATAACTACCTCATCTATCACTGATATCGTTATTCATATTGTTCTTGTACATACTGTATATTATTTTATTTATATTGACTCTCTATTTCTGATATTGCTACAATGCAAGTAACCATTTGGCTATACCGTTTACACCTTCTGTAGAGACCCATCCACTTAGCTAGAAGTGGATGTGGCTGGGGGTTATAGCATTTCTTTCACATGACCCATCAATTTAGACAACTGTGGCTGGGTAAGCGTCATCTAATATTTATTTATTATTTTTATCTGGAACTTTCTCTTTACCTGGAATTTTTCCTTATTGTAGGCTTCTACTTTTAGTCTTTACTACAGTACTCACTGTTTAGCACATGACCTCACATGTGAATCCTTAAAGAGGATGGGTGGGGCTGGCTTAAGAGGGTGTGAACAATGCTGAATGGGTGTAGACAAAGGAGAGCTCTCCAGTAGGTACCAAAACATTCAAAGGCCATTTCTCAAAAGTGAGTTTACAACTTTCAAAGCAGAATTACTTTCCCATTGTTCCTCAAATGCAGTGTATGATATACAGTTTTGTAGCTCTGAGTGTCTACTTTTATCCAATGTAAAAAACACAATTTCAAATTTTGCTACATAAAACCGATTTGACCCGGTCGGTCACATTTCTAAAAACCAGTTTTTGCTTTGTCATTATGGGGTATTGTGTGTAGATTGATGAATGAAAAAAATATTTGAATCAATTTTAGAATAAGGCTGTAACGTAACAAATGTGGAATAAGTCAAGGGATCTGAATACTTTCCGAATGCACTGTATCCTCTATAAATCCGACAGTAAATACAAAACTTGCTTAGTTGGGTACAACTTAAAGATGTGTCCATTTATGGCAGTGGATAAGAAGTATGCAAAAGTGTTTGTGCTAAACCACCACAAGGGGTGGCTGGCTGAATGAATTAAACTTTGTTTCAAGTAAAACTGAAACTGCACCGTTCACAAGTTCACAAATAAGCATTGAAATGCAGAAACATGCTGTTTGTAATGTCACCACTAGGTGTCAGTGTCAGCATTTGTCTTGAGTAGGTTTGCTACAGTGTTTACAACAGTCAAAGGTCATGTAAACAAACACTTTATCGCAACCTATGACAAACACAAGCTAGCTGTTCATTATGACAATGTTTTCTTACAGAAACTACAGTATATGTAAATTACACTGATCAATACAAAATGGATTGGCTATAAATTTGAACTGGAAATGGCATGTGCTGATGACTGAAAATGTTTATGCAGGCAAATGCTTGCCACACTGGTTTTAGTCATGTTCTAATTTAGCTCGCTAGGTAATGTTAGCTACTTGTCTTATCATGAATGCAAGCACATGGCCTGAATGATAGATCTGCGCCAACTGTCTTGCTTTTTGCAGATTGCATATTTTGGAAAACGAACTAAATAAGCCCAGTAGCTAACATACAGTGCCTTCCGAAAGTATTCACACCCCTTTACTTTTTCCACATTTTGATGTGTTACAGCCTGAATTTAAAGATTTTGTGTCACTGATCTACACGCAATACCCCATAACGTCAAAGTGGAATTTTGTTTTTAGAACATTTTAGAAATTAATAAAAAAAATTCAAGCTGAAATGTCTTGAGTGAATAAGGCAAGCCTAAATAAGTTCAGGAGTAAAAATGTGATTAAGAAATCGCATAATAAGTTGCATGGACTCATTCCATGTTCAATAATAGTGGTTAACATGATTTTTTTATGACTACCCCATCTCTGTACCCCACACATACAATTATCTGTAAGGTCCCTCAATCAAATAGTGAAATTCAAGCACAGTCTGCTTCCACAAGACACTAGAACACAAATTCACCTTTCAGCAGGACAATAACCTAAAACACAAGGCCAAATCTACACTGGAGTTGCTTACCAAGATGGCATTGAATGTTCCTGAGTTGGCTAGTTACTGTTTTGACTTAAATCAGCTTGAAAATCTATGGCAATACTTGAAAATGGCTGTTTGGCAATGATCAACAATCAACTTGACTGAGCTTGAATATTTATTTTAAGAATATTGGGCAAATATTGTACAATCCAGATGTGGAAAGCTCTTAGAGACTTACCCCAAAAGACTCACAGCTGTAATCGCCGCCAAAGGTGCTTCTACAAAGTATTGTCTCAAGGGTGTGAATATTTTGGTGATATTTCTGTATTTCATTTACAATAAATTTGCAACAATGTCAAAATAACATGGTTTTACTTTGTCATTATGGGGTATTGTGTGTAGATAGATCAGAACAAAAATATATTTAATCCATTTTGAGATCAGGTTGTAACACAACAAAATGTGGATTAAGTCAAGGGGTATGAATACTTTCTGAAGGCCTGTAATAGGCTCAGACAGTAACAGTGTTATTTTTGTATCAAGGACGAGTGTTCACTTTGGCACCAGTCTAGTGTTAGCACATAAGTAGCACAGATTGCTAGCTAAGCTAACTACCTTGCTGGCTTTGAGGAGGGGGGTATATCCTACAAAGCAGGTTTGAGGAGTTAGCAAGGTAACTTTGGTCAACTCTAAGTTCCACTCGGGATATCCGGTCATACGAAAGTGGCTCACCTTTTAGCCAGGTACATTTCTATGGCAACGAATCCTTCAGAACTAACCTGCTCCGGGGCAGGTTAACTCACGGCTAACTCCACTTACCCCGAATGAAATCATAGAGTTGAGGACCAACTAAATCAGATTCCATCCATCTTGCAAAGATTGTGTCATCAGCCGCTTCATTTGAGGAAGATGACTGATTTGTTTAACACATTTAGCAATGACAGAATGCATTTTAAACTTCACGCAATGTAACACTTTTGTATAACTTAATAGCAATGTCCGTCGCCATAGTATGGATGAAGCCTTAGCTGGACTGTAAAGCTATCTGAAGCTGGTTAGCTTCAGAAAACACTGAGTAGATCTAGCTTGCTTCGTAGGATACCCCTCAGGGCTGCTTGCTTGGTGTACTTTTGATTATTTACTTATAAAAATATGCTAACTATGGCAAGCCACTCACTGTCACCGCCATGCCTACTATCTCTAATGTTGTGACCTAGGGCTGAATGATGTTCAATGAGTGGCTCGTAGAGCGCCTTCTACAGGCAACCATTGAACATTTTAAAAAATGACCGCAAATGAGCAGACATATTTGTTTATTCTATGTATATAATATCTGAGCTTTATCTGTGATATAAAGACCAATACATATATTTCTGTGAAAGGCTCATGTTGGCCAATAATATCGGTCAACCGATTTATCAGTCGGGCTCTAACAATTACATCTGCATCCCAGGCTGGTCACTATTACATCTGCCTCCCAGGCTGGTCACTATTACATCTGCCTCAAAGCCTGGTTCATCACTATTACATCTGCCTCCCAGGCTGGTAACTATTACATCTGCCTCAAAGCCTGGTTCATCACTATTACATCTGCCTCCCAGGCTGGTAACTATTACATCTGCCTCAAAGCCTGGTTCATCACTATTACATCTGCCTCACGCTGGTCAAGAATAAATCTCCAGGGGTGTGAAGACAGTGTACCTTAACTGATAAAGGGGATTGACACTAGTCAACACTGCAAAGGCTGGTTGATAATGATAGCTGCCTCACAAGTTGGTCAATGTTTCTGCGGCCACTCAAAACCATGAATCCATGGAGCCATTGATACCCCCTCTTACAAAACACACCAGTTCCCCTTGAAGAAAATCTTCCCTTATGTATTGATGAGAGTAATGAGGCTAAAATCTTAACATTGATGGTTGTAATTGAGATTCTTCAAATAGCCAGCCTTTCATCATCAGTGTGTGTGACCTTAGAAGTATGTGGTGTTTATTAACTCTGTTTGGGGTTTTCCAGACAAACGTGGAGGGGGCAGTCTGCAGCATTGGCAGCTCCTAGACCGGATCCTGCAGCAGATAGTCCTGCAGGATGAGAAGGGGGAGGACCCGGATGTAGCGCCCCTGGACAACTTCAGTGTCAAAAATATAATTCGCATGTGAGTAGCCTGGCCTCACACTATTTGTGACACACAGACACAGACAAACATAGATACACACTCTCACTCACGGACACAACCAAAAACACGCCCTGATGTTGGCACCCGCAATGTTGTTTATGATCATGTTTCTTCATGTTATCAAGCAACTGTGTTGATAAAATGTTGATATATAGAGCTATTATGAGATATTTTCTTTATTGCTAGAGCTGTAAATAGAACCCGACTGAACCAAGTAGGAAATTCAAGAGACACAGGGAAGCATCCTTTCGGCATTACATCTTGTGCAGATCAAAGACTTCCTTGACATCGACGGCTGCTGTTACGACACAATGTTTCAAGCTTGGTGGGAACACACAACAATACTGAAATAGCTCACTGTTTGCTCACCAGAGTTCAAAGAGAGTGAAGAGAAAGGGGTGCATATGTTGTTCACAAAACTAGACAGAGGATTTTAACTGGAAATTCAACATGGGCTGTGGTCCAATTCCCTACCTTTATTATCAGTCTGCAGCCCTTCACTCCCCCTTATGGATACAGAATGGACTGATATAGGAAATATGTCAAAGACACCCTCTAGCCTTAACATACACCAATCTAATGCTATAATTTCCACAAGGGGGGAGTGAGCAAGTGTACCCTTCACGGACAAGGTATAGAAAATCGGACTGCAGCAATAAGCTGGGCCTGAGTGAGGATTCAGGGAATGTGATTGGTCAGAATGGGGAGGTGGGGTGGCAGCAGGGGGTTGTGGGATTGCACGGTACCTGCCTCGCTCGGTGAGGTGAATTGTCTTGAAAGCAGAAGCGAGATCAAAAGGAATTGCTGTAATCGTGTTAGCCGAACGACTCCACGATTCCCAACCCAGTCGACCATGTTACATTGAAGCAGTTGTTTGGTCAGATAAAGAAGGGGGAAAAATAATAACTGTAACACTTGACTTAAAGCATCTCAGTATAACTTGTTATAAGCATGTATGAGCCTTTATAATGTCTTATAACTAAGGCCCTGTGTTTTGGGTAATCATGTCACATGACCTGGATTTGTCATCAAACTGTCCCCTTTTCGTTTTATTGTCAGATGTTCCAGTACCATCCTCAGATAATTGCTTTCATTTTTGGTCTAATTCTAATTTCTGGACAAAGCAACAAAAAAAAATGACAATCCAGGTCATGTGACATGATTAACCAAAACACAGGGCCCTAATTATAACAAGGCTTTTATATGGTATGTCTCTCTGCATACAATTCTCAACTGTTTCAAACTGTCTGTTATTTTGTCCGGATCATTATGAGACGATTGTAAGACATTGTAAAGGCGTCATACTCATGAAAAATCTTACAATGCATTAGAATTGCATTGTAAGCCATTATACCTGGATGCTTTAGGTAAAGTTTTACCAGAGTGATCATTTGAGCTGAAAAACATTTTAGAAATATGTCATCAAGGGGAATATTTACATTGGTTCTGGGAGAGATTTCCTTTTGAATGGTTGTAGACAGGTTTGTTTTTGAGGTTGGGGAATTTTAAAACATAGGCATCTGAACCCATATTCCCTGCTTTGTGCTGTAATAATGTACACAGTGTTAAAAGACAGAATTCAGGACTCCTTCCTCATGTTTCACTTGACATTTCCAAGTTCTGTCTCTATCCCCCTCTCCATCTCTGTCTCCCTTCTTCATCTTTCCCTCTCCCTCCCTCTCTTCCTCCCATGTCTCCTCATAGTCATACTGTACACCCCCTCCCTGTCTCTCCTGTCATTTTTAAAACAAGCTAAGAGCAATGATTAATGTGTTTAGTCTTCTCGCTGAAAGCACTACAAAGCATCGGGGAGGAAACTTTGGCCAACGCTAGCTACTCAATTGTCTTTCACTAACCATTGTTTGTATAATCAGCACACTTAGGTGTAATTATTTCCAGTAGCAAACAGGGCAAGTTTGGACACAAGTCCGCCAATTGTGCCTTCATAAAACAGTTGAAATATATACTACATACTGTATACATTAATGGCAGGCTTGTTTTGTTTCCATATAAACCCTCTTAGGGTAAATAGTGCTTGGAAAAGAGTAGAAGTTGAGAGGAAGAGAGTAGAAGTTGAGAGGAAGAGAGTAGAAGTTGAGAGTGCATTTCCTGGCTTTGGTGGCTTGTCGAAAGACTACAGTATGGTTAAGCATCGGAGCCGTTGTTGTTGATGGCAACTAAGGGTTTGTCTCGTGCACAGACGCTCAGGAGTAGACGGTCTGAAAACAAATGAGGACAAAGTCATTAATCATTTGTAGTCGCCGGGAAGACCGCTCCGACCGCTCGCCTGCACCGACAGAAATGAACACTCAGCAAAACAGATTTTTAAACTAACACATCTAGTGCGGTATAGTGAGTTCTAGCAAATAACTGTCATACGTTGATAGGTTTGAGCTGTTTAATGTACTTGGTTCTGAGATATAGGCCTTGTCAAAAGTTTTTTCCCAGGTACACTGTGCTTTCACAGTGTAACAAAGTTTTATATATTTACAAAAGCGCACTAGTGATCTCAATTTGGTTAACACCTAAGTCACCTCGTCATCATCATCTCTTGTAGGTATGAATCTGTGCCAACTTATTTGGCCATTTCCTAGTCATCAATACACGTTCAAAACAATGTGTCCATGTTGTCTTTCTGTATCTTCATTCTCGTTCTCTCGCTCTCTAGCTCTCTTGCTATCTCGCTCTCGCTCTCTCTCTCTCAAACTCTATTTCCACTCCTTCACCTCCACCATTGCACCATGTGTCTCTTTCCCAACCTCTCCATCATCCAGTCCTTCATGGCGCTTCCATTTATCATCTTTACGATTGCTTAGTCTCTCTCATTGCTTTCATATACAATCTCACACTTTCACACGCTATCAAACATACTGTACCACTGTACCTATTGTAACATATATCAGGACCCGTATTCACAAAGAGTCTCGGAGTAGGAGGAGTGCTGATGTAGGATCAGTTTTACCTTCTAGTTTTCCATAAATAAGTTGAAATGGACAGGGGCAACCTGATCCTAGATCAGCACTCCTACTCTGAGGTACTTTTTGAATACAGGCCTTGAACTCTAACCTGGTATAATGTATAGCATTGACATTGTCAATGAGCATTTTCCTCACATCCATGTATTGAATTTAATGAATTGACCGTTTGACTCGAATTGACGTGGACCATCGAGCCCTGTTACCAATTGGACTTTGATCAGGTTTAGAGCTATTTTCATTGTCTTTCCTCACAGGTTGGTCAATGAAAATGAGGTTAAGCAATGGAGAGACCAAGCAGAGAAGTTCAGGAAAGGTAAAACGGTATCTTCTAGCTCTACTGATTTGAAACATCACCGTCTGCTGGCCATAGTGCAGAAGTGGATCTTCGAAATTGTGTTATGCCTTTGGCCAGAGATGCAGAGAGTTGTGTGTGTGTGTATTTGTGTCGGAATGTGTCCTTCTGTTTGTTTGTGAGTGTCTACTGTGTGTGTGTGTGTGTGTGTGTGTGTGTGTGTGTGCAAGTCTGAGTGCTTGCATGTGTGAATTTGAGAATGTACAACAATTTGAACAGCAATGACATCTCCTACACATTACACCTTGTGCTCTTTTAGACCACGCAGAGCTAATGGCCAAGATGGAGCGGAAAGAGAGAGAATGTGATACCAAGACGCAGGAGAAGGAGGACATGATGAAGACCCTCAACAAGATGAAGGACAAACTACAGAGAGAGGGAGTGGAGTTGCGGTCAGCGCGGGACCAAGTGCTCGACCTACACTCGCGCATCAGCGACATAGCAGTAAGCATGCTGTCACAATGTCTCTTCTTGTCCCACTGTTTTAGTCTGTGTCTACACAGAGACGGATGAAATCATATATACAGTCATTATTGTCCGTTTTTGTCCATCAAAAGTCAATTATTTTGGGACAAGATGCAAACATATTGTGTGTATTTTTTGACGGACAATAATTTCAGTTGTCCATCATCCAACAAATGACTTCCATTGAAAGTATTAATTATTAGATGCAAAATCTCTGTATGTCCGTAGCCTTAGGGTTGGCAAATTGTAGTTAAATATTGAGATTCAGAAAATCTAGCAATGTAGTTTCAACAGTATACATATTTTTACACATATTAAGAAAAGGTAAACACACAGTCATGTTCAATTACATACTGTTCGAAGGTTGGTTTGAAACCACATTTTACGTTCTTAATGTAATGCCAAATGCTCCATAGTTTGTTTTGGTTTAATGGTGTGCAAATAAAAGTATTTAATAGATTGTTTGATTTTCTCATTTCTAACTAGTAAACGCCCCGTCTTTTTGTCTTTCTTTCCACCAATAGGGAGACAACGTACCTTTCCCCCCTCCGCCCCCTGGTGGCCCCCTCCCCCCTCCCCCCATGACGGGAGGCTTCCCCCCTCCCCCTCCGCCATTTAGCTGCCCTCCTCCTCCCCCTCCTCCACCTGGAGGCCCGCCTCCTCCTCCTGGAGCTCCGCCCATCTTCTCTGGAATCCCACCTCCTCCGGGCCCACCTGGATTTGGTACTACTGCTACCATGCGCTCCAAGTCTATCCCACAGCCCTCGCACCCGCTCAAATCCTTCAACTGGGCCAAGCTGGGCGAGGTAAAGAGCACTGGTCTGTTGTCTGTTTGTACCGAAATAACCACTTCTAGGGCTACATTTAATATAAATATAAATATATATATATATATATATATTTGTGTTAATGTATTAACGTGTAAATACATGTGTAAAATAGTAAAACATATTTGATTATTTCAGAAAAATGATAAATGACGAATGTCTTACAAGTACTTACAGTTGCCCACAATGGCTAGCATAGCTAACTTGCGAGTTAATTAACTAACCCAATAGGTGGCCATGGGCACAAAAAGTGCATGTGTACATTCATCTTTCATTTTGGGGACAAATTAGACTTCCACAGATATGAAGTGGAGGATGTTAGCAATCCAGCAAGGTCCTTACATTGGTGATTGATGAATGTATATTGCAACAGAACACTGTCCTATCATTTCACTATGGGCTGAATGGAGCCCATTTTGTTGAATTGAGTTTCTCAGGACAGAGAATATGCAGTAGACTCAATTCTGCCCTGGGTTAACTTTCAGTAAGCACAACATTTATTACATGGGTCCTTCCAACGAAATGTGTGGCTTTTGCATCCCTTTGATATTTTAAGTAGAAGCGATGAACCAATATTGCATTTTAAAAGCCTGTTATATTAAATGAAGTACCCTTTAATATAGACCACATGGAGAATTCAATAAATCCGATTTTTTATATGAGTAAAGGCTTGCTAAAGTGCCAAAATTCCACATTTTGGCTTCCCCTCCGTCAACCCTGTGTCGTTTCTCTGAAGATTTTAACCCATAATCCAAAACTTTCTCCAAGTTTTACCATCATTGTAAAGCCCTAGTTATTTTGTTGCTTTGACAAAGTCATTTCTGAAGATTATTATTAGTGATTCATTTAGATATGTCCCTTATTTTAAGGTCAACCCTGTTACGTGAACTGAACTCTTGTTTTAATATGGTGAAACTGTTCCTTTATCAATATATATTTTTAAAAAAACATTGAACGTCTAATATTCAAATCATAGAGTAAAAACAGGTAAGCTGGTTCTACAATTTTTTGCCATTTTCTGGTGTTTTGTGGTGGAAAACTGAGCGGGTCGACCATAACACGTCAACCCTGTTACCCATAAATAGGCTAGAAATGTTTTAACAATTTCATTTTTTTGGTGAAGCTTGCATTCAATTGCCAATCCCTGTTGCACACAACAAGCTTCCATTACCCGTCACAAGGGGATTTATGGCTGATTTAAGAAGAAATCGTCAACCCTGTCACGGTCAACCCTATTACTTTTTTCGGCACTTAATACGCACTTACTATAGCTATTTTTTTATTTAACCTCTTGAGATGTGAAAATGTGTTTTTTATTAAGTTGACAAAATGCTAAAATTTGTTGAAATAAAACATTTATTTTGACCTAGTTACACTTCTCAAAAGGTGATGCAGGACTTAAAGTTACCCAAAATGGCTAACATTGCTAACTTGCTAGCTAATTAGCAAACTAGTAGGCCTACGCAGTAGACTGTTCTGGGGCTAACTATTAGTTAGGGCATCATTTATTACATCCTAACATTCTTACACTTACATTCGTCTGCAATCATCTCTGGTTCCCCCCAAATCCTGGATTATCCATGAATTACAGTTTATAATCTGGTGTAGGGTGAAGTTTCGCATTTTCCCCACTAATGGTTAAGGTGAGGATCGGTGGAAGGGGAAGCTGATCCTAGATCTGTACCTGGGGGAAACGTCAGAGTTAATAATCCCTCCTCAATTTATGGCCTCCCTATGTCCCGCCTGTGTCCCCCGCAGAACAAGATCACTGGCACCATCTGGCACGACGTCGATGACCTGAGGGCCTTCAAGATCCTCGACCTCAAGGACATCGAGAAGATGTTCTCGGCCTATCAGAGACAGCAAGTATGGACGCTTTGAATTGATTGGATAAATGAAACAGCATTTTTAGTCTTGTCACCCAAACTGTCAAATATCATGGGGATTGATGTGTGTCTGTGTGCGCGCAGGTGTGTAGTGTATATAAAAGACACAGACATGCACTGTGTGGTTGCAGTGGCAGAAAGGGATTGATTGTGTTTGAAGTAATGCATTGAGCCTTGATATCTTGGTGTGTGTGTGTGCGTGCGTGCATGCATGCGTGCTTGTGTGCGTGCTTGTGCCTGTCTGTGTGAGACAGAATGTGTGTGTGTGTGAGTGCGTGCGCATGTGTGTGTGTTTGAGTGGTTTTGAAGAGGACCTTAGTCCCAAAGCCAGGAGTCTGGCTTACCCCTGGCTTTAGGCTAACCTTAGCTGCTGTTCCCTCCTGAATGGCTGATTGTGTGAATGCCAAAGAGCTGGAGCATGCAGTAGTGTCTTCACAGGCTCATGTGCTACACCCCAAATGGCAAAGTAGGGCTGTGGTGGTCATGAAATTTAGTCAGCTGGTAACTGTCATGCAAATAATTGCCGGTCTCACGGTAATTGACCGTTAATTAACATAAACACATTTAGCATCTCTGGGCTTCCACGCATAGCCTACAAGCCACTGATGCGGACCTTTGGAACATCTAGGCCTACATTATAAAAAGTATAATAAATCCATTTAATATAGCCTACACCATCACAATAAACCCATTATTTATTTTAGGCAGGTCTAAAGAAACATGATATGAAGAAAATGTAGCCTATTTCAGAAGAACAGAATAGCATATTCTGAGTTGTCCTTATGTTAGTCCCTGATCTGGCTATGCCATATGACTAGTTCATTTAGCAGACAAGATTTGTTTATAAAGTGGCATTATTAATATACATTTTTAGTAAGAACAATACAATTGAACATAGCTGAATAAAATAGAAAGGATATTTTTCTCCAAGCAATTTCCGAGAGAGTGCAAACATTCTGTGTTGAGCAGTTAACAAAGTGATAATTTGAAACAGGTCCTCCTATATGCTTAATTTAGTTATTTATGCAACTTTAGTTGTGATACAAACCTTGGGCTAGCTATATGTTTTGATTTCTAATACATTCTAAGGCTGCATGATGTGACTAATGATGATTTGAAAAAAGTTGCATGAAAATCATGCACTCTGCTCTGTTTCTTGGTCATAGGTCTATAGGCTACGTTTAGAGTTATTTGGTCACTTTAGTTGTGATACAAACATTATCAAAACATACACTGAGTGGGGCCTGTCGAGGTACGCAGTGGTCTAAGGCACTGCATCGCAGTGCTTGAGGCGTCACTACAGACCAGGGTTCGATCCCAGGCTGTGTCACAGCCGGCCGTGACCGGGAGACCCATGAGGTGGCGCACAATTGGCCCAGGGAAGGGTTTGGCCGGCTGGGATTTCCTTGTCCCATCGCACTCTAGCGACTCCTTGTGGCGGGCCGGGCGCCTGCAAGCTGACTTTGGTCGCCAGCAGGACAGTGTTTCCTCTGACACATTGGTGCGGCTGGCTTCCGGGTTAAGCAAGCAGTGTGTCAAGAAGCAGTGCGGCTTGGCAGGGTCGTGTTTCGGAGGACGCATGGCTCTCGAACTTCGCCTCTCCCGAGTCCGTAGGGGAGTTGCAGCGATGGGACAAGACTGTAACTGCCAATTGGATATCACGAAGTTGGGGAGAAAAATGGGTAAAAAATAGTGCCTTATTCCGTTTGATGGTATTCCAACGGTTACAAATGACTAGTGTTCTTTTATAGACTTTTAATTGGTCATTTTATCCACAAATGTCATTTTTTAATGGGTTGTTGACCAAAACCTTTTATAAACTCATCGCAAATATCACCATACCATCAGTAGTGATGAAACAAGCCCTTGAAGACTTTCGATGAAGCAAGCCCCCCAGAGACATCTGCACTTCTGCTATGTAGTATGTAGGCTCTAGTTGCTCTATAGCTAGCTACTGTGGTTCTGCCTTTCTTTGCTGGCTTGAAGTGCTAACCTATGCATGTGTTTCGATTTTGGTCTCTCTCTCTCTCTCTCTCTCTCTGCACTCTCTGACTACCTGGGCAGGAGCTGCTCACTAACCAATCCTTCAAACAGGTGAGTCTCGGGTCTCTCGCGCTCCCACACTGTTACCTCTGTCTCTCCTTCCCTCCCTCCCTTCCTCACTCCCTTCTCCAAGCACACATGGGCTGCCACCTGGAGAGTCATGTAGTGTTTGAAGTAGCTAGTGGAGTTATTGGTCTTTTGACCTCAATGGGACTTTCTGGTTAATTAAAAGTTTATATAAATGTTTTAATACATATTGGAAAATTAACCATTTATAGTCTATTTCAATTTAATTGAATTGGTTTGCTTGATAAGAGGTTAATAAGCATTGCAAATGTGTTCTAAATTGACTTACCTGGATAAAAAATTGTTAAATTAATAAACAAATAATAACAGTAGAGATAGATCTGTTTTAACAGTGATGGGAGACATTGGATTCATGAACCTCAAGGGGGGAAAGTGGGTTGTGCTTTTAATGATACCTTAGTACTAAAACTGTCCATTTATGTCAGTCAGCGCATGTCTAAATGTGTCATGGTAGCAGAGTCGGGGTTAGTTCAACTTCAATTCAGTCATTCAGGAAGTAAGCAAATTGGAATGTGAGCTTACTTCCTGAATTGACGGAATTTAAATGGTATTGACCCCAACCCTGACATGTACAGTACCTGTGGGAAAGCAATCAGTAGTAAATCATCAGTCAGTTGTTAACAGCACTTCTCAGTTCTGCCCTTAGTTAGGTTCATGAAGCCTATAATGCCCCTAGTTGGGTTCATGAAGCCGAAGTGTAATTTCACTATCAATCATCATTGTCATAACCATCATCAGCATTATCATAACCATCATCACTAAACTAAAATGAACTATGTAAGAAAAGTATGAAGGGGAGCACAGTTAAGTCCACTTAGCTAAAGCCCACAAACTAGTGTTGCCAAGAACACAAAAAAGGTTCCACCAACTACCGTTTGATCACCTCAGTTCATCATAACAATTATAAAGGCATGGATATCTTGAGCGTGTGAGTACATTTACATTTACATCATTTAGCAGACGCTCTTATCCAGAGCGACTTACAAATTGGTGCAGAGTAGAGAGAGATAGCAGGGTTTGGCGGCCGCAGTACAGCAAATGGGAGTGGTCCCTGTGCCGTCCTACCAGTCAGGCTTTGCCGTAGAACTATTGGTCAATGCGGGCATGGAAGAAAAGCGGCTTTCTTTGGAAGCCAGCAGCTGTTTCACATTTGTCATCCTCCCCGTAACCCCAAAGGGACATTTCGGAAGAGCAGGAAGCCTGCTTTGGCCATAAATACAAATACTTTTGAACATTTCAACCCCAGACAGTTTTTAAACATCTATTCGTTCCCCTTGTGGATTTGTGTGAAGCTTACCAAAATATCTGACAGCCTGCCTCGAGCCCAGTCCGTAGTGCCGTTTTCTGCCCTTTCGGAGATGTTTATGGAATAGCCTGCACTGTGTTCTTGATGGTGACTCACCAAAAAGCTTTCCTTCCAAGACCTGTTTTAGATTTGCTGCTCGCACCAACATGGACTTTTGATGCTCTTTTTTTCATGGCTTTTCTGAACTGTTTTTATATGCCTGACTGCAACGCTTCATTTCAGCAAAATGTTTATAAGACCTCCATAACACCCTCATAAGTGACGTGAGTGAAACCTGACATAAGCACTCGGTGACAGTTGAAAACCTTTCCTGGCTCCAGGTGCCTTCGTCAATGGTTCCGGGAAGGGCGAATGTGACCAAAGGCCAACATTGGCACAACCTTAGCATTCAACCATAGGGATAGTACAGTATGGTAGTATTGTGGGCAGAATTAAATCTAGGCGCTTTAAATGCCCTTCTCCTGCACTAAAGTGTCAATATGTCACATTTCACATGAAAAGAAGTGGCATCACACTTCTTCCATCCAATCATATGCCAATAGGCCTCCAGGTGTCAGTGCAGAACCCTGAGGGTGTTGTGTGAGCTTTAAACTGAATATGGGTTCGTCCAAAATGGCACCTGTATTCTTTATATAGTCCAATACTTTTGACCAGGGCCCGCCTTCGTCAAAAGTAGTGGACTATAAAGGAAATATTCTCACTTGATGTGTCAATACTGTATACTGTCAGACACTGATCTCGTTTCTTCTCTCTTCTCTCTCTGTGAAGAAAGAAACAGGCTCGATGGATGACCTGTACCTGAGCACGCGCAAGGTGAAGGAGCTGTCGGTCATCGACGGTCGCCGCGCTCAGAACTGCGTCATCCTGCTCTCTAAGTATGCACAATCCCCTCCTGTGTCGATGCTAAGTCAGTTGGTGTAACACTGGGACAACAGGACTCAGTACATTTAGACACATACAGAAATAGAGGGGGTACAGAGAGGTGGGAGGAATAGTTGGAAGGGTGGACTCCGGGATTGAACCCCGGTTTGGTGGGGAGCAATATACTGTATGTGCCTAGAGCGTTACCACTTGACAACAGGCCCCACATATAGGAACTCAGTGTTGTTTTTTTACACACATCATGTTATAGTCCGGTCCCAGATCTATTTGTGCTGTGTAGCCAACTACTATGGTCGTTATAGGAGTTAGCTATACAACACAAACAGATATGGGATACAGGCTAATCACATTATAATTCTGAACCCTTGTAACCATAAAGATGGCATTATATGGTAATATATATTTGCAATATATTATGTTAGAAAGTATGGAAGGTACCCTGAATATACTGTAGGCTTTACTGCAAAGTAAGTACACGATAACTCAATTGACGCCTCTGTGGTGCCGTGGTAGCAAGGAGGTGCAAGGGACCTCCGAGGGTCAAGCATTCCACAGGGATGCTGGCCCATGTTGACTCCAATGCTTCCCACAGTTGTGTCAAGTTGGCTGGATGTCCTTTGGGTGGTGGACCATTCTTGAAATACACGGAAACTATTGAGCGTGAAAAACCCAGCAGCCTTGCAGTTCTTGAGACACTCAAACTGGTGTCTGGCACCTACTACCATACCCTTTTCAAAGGCACTTAAATATTTTGTCTTGCCCTCTTCACCCTCTGAATGGCACACATCCATGTCTCGATTGTCTCAAGGATTAAAAAGCCTTCTTTAACTTGTCTCCTCCCCTTCATCTACACTGATTGAAGTGGATTTAACAGGTGACATCAATAAGGGATCATAGCTTTCAGTGGCAGTGTGTTTTTAATGGACTCACAAGGAGGAGGACATATGTTAAGGAAATGTAATTACATAGTATTTATTTAGCAGAGCAGGGATTTTCAAACTGGAGCCAAGGATGTGTGATTTGAAAAACATGACACTCCTTTTTGCTGATGTTGTCGAAGTAATTGGGGAATCACAGTGATAAACATGACTGAAATGACACAAATGTCTAAAACTAGACAAACATGATACCTTCTCCTCGGTGGATGTCCAGTCACATAACATCTTGACTGGGATAAATATTTGTCACTTCAAGGGAGCTATCTTCTCCCCCAATTCACAATATGGCCATGTGTATGCTTTAGTGCCCTAAGAGAGATGATTGAGAGTCCTGTCCCACTTCACAGATCAATAAACAGGATTTTAGAGCCCCCACATGCCCTAGAGTTCAGGTTTCCCTGTCAATGCCTACGTACCAAATGGCACCCTGTTCCCTAGGTTGTGCATTACTTTTGACCAGAGCTCTAGGCCTAAGGGTCCCATTTGGGATAAAGTCACTGTTAATGGCAAAAAACCAGTAGGTACATACACAGGCCCAACCAGGTCCAAATGAGGTCAGTCTGTAGTCAATAGGGCTTTGTTGTTGTGTACTGCCAGAGAGTGTCATCGATCCAAACCCAATTCAGTGGGCATTGATCAACTCTGCTGCTGATAGCTGTTGGCCATGCTCACGAGGTCGAGTAAGATCATGGAAGTTACCGTACAGTACTACAGTACATTGGACTGATTGTGTTGCTTGTATTGTTGGTTTTTCATTAGTCAAACCTTTGATTACCCAATTGAACGGATAGGCTGATGTGCTAGTATTTTAACAAAACCAATTTACTGTGGATGGGGAACTCATTTTGCCAGGCTATTTAATGTGAAATGCTTTATACGCATTGTGTAACACATTGCCTGGTTGGGATAAGCTATATTGACTTTTCAGTATGAACCCACATTGATTGGAAACATGGCACCACTGTGTGTTTGCAAATGGTTGGTTAGCTTCTACAGTGCAAATTGTCCCCCACCGATGAAATTGGGAGGGGGACTATGGATCTGTCTCCGTCTGGACATACGTTAGTACGTACAGTTGAAGTCGAAGTTTACATACACCTTAGCCAAATACATTTAAACTCAGTTTTCGACAATTCCTGACATTTAATCCTAGTAAAAATTACCTGTCTTAGGTCAGTTAGGATCACCGCTTTATTTTGAGAATGTGAAATGTCAGAATAATAGGAGAGATTTATTTCAGCTTTTATTTCTTTCATCACATTCCCAGTGGGTCAGAAGTTTACATACGCTCAATTAGTATTTGGTAGCATTGCCTTTAAATTGTTTAACTTGGGTCAAACGTTTCGGGTAGCCTTCCACAAGCTTCCCACAATACGTTGGGTGAATTTTGGCCCATTCCTCCTGACAGAGCTGGTGTAACTGAGTCAGGTTTGTAGGCCCCATTGCTCGCCCACGCTTTTTCAGTTCTGCCCACAAATGTTCTATAGGATTGAGGTCAGGGCTTTGTGATGGCCACTCCAATACCTTGATTTTGTTGTCCTTAAGCCATTTTGCCACAACTTTGGAAGTATGCTGGGGGTCATTGTTCATTTGGAAGACCCATTTGCAACCAAGCTTTAACTTCCTGACTGATGTCTTGAGATGTTGTTTCAATATATCCACATAATTTTCCTTCCTCATGATGACATTTATTTTGTGAAGTGCACCAGACCCTCCTGCAACAAAGCACCCCCAAAGCATGATGCTGCCACCCCCGTGCTTCACGGTTGGGATGTTGTTCTTCGGCTTGCAAGCATCCCCCTTTTTCCTCCAAACATGACGATGGTCATTATGGCCAAACAGTTCTATTTTTGTTTCATCAGACCAGACGAAATTTCTCCAAAAAGTACGATCTTTGTCCCCATGTGCAAACCGTAGTCTGGCTTTTTTATGGCGGTTTTGGAGCAGTGGCTTCTTCTTTGCTGAGCGGCCTTTCAGGTTATGTCGATATAGGACTAATTTTACTGTGGAAATAGATACTTTTGTACCTGTTTCCTCCAGCATCTTCACAAGGTCCTTTGCTGTTGTTCTGGGATTGATTTGCACTTTTCGCACCAAAGTACGTTCATCTCTAGGAGACAGTACGCGTCTCCTTCCTGAGCGGTATGACGGCTGCGTGGTCCCATGGTGTTTATACTTGCGTACTATTGTTTGTACAGATGAACGTGGTACCTTCAGGCATTTGGAAATTGCTCCCAAGGATGAACCAGACTTGTGGAGGTCTATCATTTTTTTCTGAGGTCTTTGCTGATTTCTTTAGATTTTCCCATGATGTCAAGCAAAGAGGCACTGAGTTTGAAGGTAAGCCTTGAAATACATGCACAGGTACACCTCCAATTGACTCAAATGATGTCAATTAGCCTATCAGAAGCTTCTAAAGCCATGACATCATTTTCTGGAATTTTCCAATCTGTTTAAAGGCACAGTCAACTTAGTGTATGTATACTTCTGACCCACTGGAATTGTGATACAGTGAATTATAAGTGAAATAATCTGTTTGTAAACAATTGTTGGAAAAATTACTTGTGTCATGCACAAAGTAGATGTCCTAACCGACTTGCCAAAACTATAGTTTGTTAACAAGAAATTAGTGGAGTGGTTGAAAAACAAGTTTTAATGACTCCAACCTAAGTGTAAACTTCTGACTTCAACTGTACGTCACACGCGATATCTCAGACATCACTGGCCCGATTTTGGCATTCACAAAATTACACTCATTGGCCCAAGGGGGGAGCTGCATCACTCATGGGGGATGACATGTTTACTGTTGCCTTGTTAAGAGAGAGAGTTTGTTTTACTGTTCTTCGACAAGGCATTGTACAAGCTGAACTGTGAGTACAAATTACTTTTTAAATTGAGCTAAAACACAGTAAACAGAAGACATAAGTGAGCTGAGGCAGTTACAGTGAGGGAAAAAAGTATTTGATCCCCTGCTGATTTTGTACGTTTGCCCATTGACAAAGAAATGATCAGTCTATCATTTTAATGGTAGGTTTATTTGAACAGTGAGAGACAGAATTACAACAAAAAAATCCAGAAAAATGCATGTAAAAAATGTTATACATTTATTTCCATTTTAATGAGGGAAATAAGTATTTGACCCCCTCTCAATCAGAAAGATTTCTGGCTCCCAGGTGTCTTTTATACAGGTAACGAGCTGAGATTAGGAGCACACTCTCCTAATCTCAGCTTGTTATCTGTATAAAAGACACCTGTCCACAGAAGCAATCAATCAATCAGATTCCAAACTCTCCACCATGGCCAAGACCAAAGAGCTCTCCAAGGATGTCAGGGACAAGATTGTAGACCTACACAAGGCTGGAATGGGCTACAAGACCATCGCCAAGCAGCTTGGGGAGAAGGTGACAACAGTTGGTGCGATTATTCGCAAATGGAAGAAACACAAAATAACTGTCAATCTCCCTCGGCCTGGGGCTCCATGCAATATCTCACCTCGTGGAGTTGCAATGATCATGAGAACGGTGAGGAATCAGCCCAGAACTACACGGGAGGATCTTGTCAATGATCTCAAGGCAGCTGGGACCATAGTCACCAAGAAAACAATTGGTAACACACTACGTCGTGAAGGACTGAAATCCTGCGGCGCCCGCAAGGTCCCCCTGCTCAAGAAAGCACATTTACAGGGCCGTCTGAAGTTTGCCAATGAACATCTGAATGATTCAGAGGAGAACTGTGTGAAAGTGTTGTGGTCAGATGAGACCATAATGGAGCTCTTTGGATCAACTCAACTCGCCGTGTTTGGAGGAGGAGGAATGCTGCCTATGACCCCAAGACACCATCCCCACCGTCAAACATGGAGGTGGAAACATTATGCTTTTGGGGTGTTTTTCTGCTAAGGGGACAGGACAACTTCACCTCATCAATGGGACGATGGACGGGGCCAAGTACCGTCAAATCTAGGGTGAGAACCTCCTTCCCTCAGCCAAGGCATTGAAAATGGGTCGTGGATGGGTATTCCAGCATGACAATGACCCAAAACACACGGCCAAGGCAACAAAGGAGTGGCTCAAGAAGAAGCACATTAAGGTCCTGGAGTGGCCTAGCCAGTCTCCAGACCTTAATCCCATAGAACATCTGTGGAGGGAGCTGAAGGTTTGAGTTGCCAAACGTCAGCCTCAAAACCTTAATGACTTGGAGAAGATCTGCAAAGAGGAGTGGGACAAAATCCCTCCTGAGATGTGTGCAAACCTGGTGGCCAACTACAAGAAACGTCTGACCTCTGTGATTTCCAACAAGGGTTTTGCCACCAAGTACTAAGTCATGTTTTGCAGAGGGGTCAAATTCATAACATTTTTGACATGCGTTTTCTGGATTTTGTTGTTGTTATTCTGTCTCTCACTGTTCAAATAAACCTACCATTAAAATTATAGACTGATCATTTCTTTGTCAGTGGGAAAACGTACAAAATCAGCAGGGAATCAAATACTTTTTTCCCTCACTGTAAGTCACATAGTAGATACAGTATTCCTCCTGCCTCCCTGCCGTTTGTATCATCTTTGCTAACTTACTCTCTTGTGGTGTGTTGGTCTGTCCTCGCAGGTTAAAAATGAGCAACGAGGAGATCAAGAGGGCCATTCTAGAGATGGACGAGCGGGAAGAGCTAGCCAAGGACATGCTGGAGCAGGTAATTTATCCTCCATAAAATAAAATAAATAAATAAATTATATTTGAAAATAACTATTGTTTCATACCTTGATTACATTGAGACACGATCACGTCTCTTTTTTTTTATTTGTGGGAATATTTCGGAAAATATTTCCTAAATTAAATTCATTTTTAGCTGAATTCCTGGTGATTTAAGACTTTTTTTACCTAAAACTACCCCCCCCCCAAAAAAAAAAATCACTTGCGGGAACGTTTTGGCCCGCGGGCCGCCTATTGCCGACCCCTGCTCTACAAGATCATCAGCAGACCCATCACCATAATTTACTCCTGCTCAAGCCATGAACCTCTCCAGAGGATGCAGCATTCAAAGACTTGGCCCCTATTGGTTGACCTGACCTGTCATGATATATTGCTTGTTTGTTTGTTAGTTTTTTGCTTATGGAGCGCAATGAGATTTCTATTATGAAAATAAGTTGAATCTATTATTAATATTATTATGAAAGGGGTAGTTCAGTATTTTACATCTTAATGTTAGATGGTTCCTCACCCAAGTAGACTAGGGACCAGGATAAACTGTAATCCATGGTTTGGTTTTTCTTTAAATGCCAAATCAACTCAAATCAACTCAGTATTTGGTTTGATGTTACTTAAAGGTGATTTGTTCATAAAAAAAAAAAAACATTGCTCTGTTGCCCCTATCACTTCCATTGATTGTTAGCAAGTGGTGGCTAAAGTTAGCTTGTGGCTGTTTAAAGAAAAAACCCATAGTCACAGTCGTACACTCAGGAAAGCGAAAAATTATTCATTTTGCCTGGCAGACTTTTATGCAAAGTGAGTCTTGTGGCGTGCACAGACATAGACAAAAGAAAATCAGGTTAATGCTTTGCTTAGCTCCACAACAATAAAGTAAACCACATGAGAATTAAGCCACTTCCTGGCTACCTCCACTTCCTGGCTACATCCCAATTCTTCTCTCTTATCCAAAGTGTGCACTTGCACACTCCCGTCATGGATTTAACACTTGTGGAAACTCCTTCCAGCCAATGCTCACACCAATTCAATGCTTTTAAATCCTTTACTGGAAGTGTGCAAGTGCACACTTTGGAAGAAGGGTGGAGAATCGTTTTGGCATCTACTTAAGTATAACTCATAATATCAGACTTAAGATATGTACCTGTATACATAACTGTAGATTAGGCTACGGCCACACCGACGAATGAACATGGATAAAGTCATATATACGTTAATCAGTTGTCCATTTCTGTCCGTCAAAAGTTAAACTCACGTCAACTAGTTTAATACAAAAGTGAATACAGCACAAAGGCCCGTGCTTGTTTTAGATGGTCAATGGAGATGATTTCCCATCAAAAAACGCACAATGTGGCTATAAGGATTACTCCCATTAGCTCAATATGTAATTTTCAGACACAAAAGCTGCGGCCTACAGAAAAAAAAATACTGTATTTGGGGAGGAACCAGGACTATACAGTAAAATTACACAAATGATGATATGAATGCAGGGATACAAATTCAATTAATCAATCGTGTATTGCTAACTACATTGAGATTTCTTAGGTGCATTATAAGAAAACTTGGGTTTGTTTTGAGTTCCTCCTGGGTTTGTGCTTGTGTAGCTGCTGAAGTTTGTCCCTGAGAAGAGTGACATTGACCTCCTGGAAGAGCACAAACACGAGCTGGAGCGCATGGCCCGTGCTGACCGCTTCCTCTTCGAGATGAGCAGGTGAGCTCCGCCATTTTGCTAACACTCCACTTCCAATGAGATTCTGGGTTTGTGTAGTCTAAGTCTATTAATTCTTATGAGTTTTTTGTGTTCTATTTTTTTAAAGACTGCTTCACTCAATCAAATGTATTTGTAAAAGCCCTTTTTATACTAGCAGTTGTCACAAAGTGCTTTTTTCAAAGGATATTGTGGCCTTCGAGTTTACTAGTTATGAGTAAAAAAGAAACGACTTACAGAGCAGTTCCCCTTCATACAAAACAATGTGACATAGTCAATTGAATTTGCATATCCCCACTTGACGAGGCCTAATTCCAAAGAAAATGTGGTCTCATTGCAAGTGTATATTATCAAGCAAACATCAACTTTACACATACATGTGTACATTAATGGATACATGAAACATTTGCATTGCATTGTGCATGATGCCGAGTGCTTTATTATGACATGGACAGTATGTAGGCAAACTGCAGATTTAGTCATTTAGTCATTGTCATTCTTGTTGTTCGTAAACAATGGAGTAATACAAGCTTATTTTGGGTTCTGATGAGGTAAATGCAGTTGAACTAAGCTCATGAGGCATTTATAAGTTATATTCTTCAAGAATCAATGGCAATCATCCACCTGAAAGTAAAAAAAATGGATGAACCACTCGCATCTTAAATCGGTAATGCTGCTACTTTTTTGTTGTTTTAAATGACAAAGTTTCATCCCGACTTACCGTGTGTGCCCTCCTCGGTGTTTGTCCTTGATAATTAAACTTTTTTTTGTTTCGTAAAATATTAGTCCGCCGGTCTTCCCTTTCGTCCCCCGGGGACTTCCCTGTTTTCCTTTTTTGCCATTCAATGTCTTTGGTCCTCCTTTGAAATCAGCCTCCCTCCCTCCCTCTCGTAACTTCGGATATGTCTTATATGGCCCTCTGTAAACTCGCTGAGCTGATGGGAGCCCATTATACGATGAAAGCCCAAGTGAAAAATGAGAAAGAGGATATATTTTGGAGGGAGCATGCTTTCTTTGCTCGTTTTGAAATGACTCTCCCCCGGGGACAACTTTAACTCTAACTCCTAACTCTTTTTTGTCTGTTTCTTTTCTCTATCCCGTCCTTTCATCCCATCTCTAGAATTGACCACTACCAGCAGAGACTTCAGGCCCTGTTCTTCAAGAAGAAGTTTGCAGAGCGCCTGGCAGAAACCAAGCCCAAGGTCGAAGGTACGATTGAGTAGCTAGTCAAAGACACTCGGGCCCTGTGGTCCTGTGTGGCTCAGTTAGTAAGTGTATGGCCCTAGCGACGCCAGGGTCATGGGTTTGATTCCTTCTGGGGCCACCCATACAAAAGCCTCTGCCAAAGAGCATATCTTAATTCGGATTCACTTTTTTTGATTTGGGTACATTGAATGTGCTTGAAAAGGCTCCTATAGATTAACTGAAATCGCAGAGGAAATGTGAGGAGAGTAGTCATCAGACTATTAAATGTGAATAAATAGGCCCTAGTTATCTGTGGTGAAACCACAATGTAGAGAAAGATCTAGTAGGAGTAGAGGAATTGTCAATAAGTCTGTTAATTAGACATTTAGCAAAGCATTTCTCTGAGCTCTTTGTGTTTGTGAGCATGTGTGTGTGTGCGGTATGTGTGAGTTATGTGTGTGTGTGTGTGCACACATGCACGTGAACGTGTGCGTGCATGCCCATGTGTGTGTTTGGACCGCATATGGACCGTTTGTGGACTTTTCCTCCAGTTGAAATAAAGAGCGAAGTTACCAGGGAGGCTGTTTTGGAAAGCTGGCACTTGTTGAGAGGGGAGAGGCGTTCTCATAATCATTGCTGTTCCCTTCTAAAAGCTGCATGGGTAAAGGCTTTCAGAAAAAGGCATGCAGTACACACACTTTGTGCGTGTGTGTGTGCATGTGTGTGAGAGATAGAGAGTGTGCGTGAGAATGTGTGTGTGTTTTTGTGTGTGTATTTGTCTGTGATGTCAGTGTCCGTGTGCATGTGTGAGAATGTGTGCTTGTATGTGTGTGCTTGCACTTGTTTTAGAAGTTACCTTAGAGGTTTCTAATCAGGCTTATGACATTAAGACATGCACACTTTAATAACATTTGAATAAGTTACAAGTTGAAGTCGGAAGTTTACATACACCTTAGCCAAATACATTTAAACTCAGTTTTTCAAAATTCCTGACATTTAATCCTAGTAAAAATTCCCTGTCTTAGGTCAGTTAGGATCACCACTTTATTTTAAGAATGTGAAATGTCTGAATAATAGTAGAGAGAATGATTTATTTCAGCTTTTATTTCTTTCATCACATTCCCATTGGGTCAGAAGTTTACATACACTCAGTTAGTATTTGGTAGCATTGCCTTTCAATTGTTTAACTTCGGTCAAACGTTTCAGGTAGCCTTCCACAAGCTTCCCACAATAAGTTGGGTGAATTTTGGCCCATTCCTCCTGACAGAGCTGGAGTAACTGAGTCAGGTTTGTAGGCCTCCTTGCTCGCACACACTTTTTCAGTTCTGCCCACACATTTTCTATAGGTTTGAGGTCAGGGCTTTTGTGATGGCCACTCCAATACCTTGACTTTGTTGTCCTTAAGCCATTTTGCCAACTTTGGAAGTATGCTTGGGGTCATTGTCCATTTGGAAGACCCATTTGCGACCAAGCTTTAACTTCCTGACTGATGTCTTGAGATGAGTTGCTTCAATATATCCACATAATTTTCCTTCCTCATGATGACATATATTTTGTGAAGTGCACCAGACCCTCCTGCAGCAAAGCACCCCCAAAGCATGATGCTGTCACCCCCTGTACTTCACGGTTGGGATGGTGTTCTTCGGCTTGCAAGCAACCCCCTTTTTCCTCCAAACATAACAATGGTCATTATGGCCAAACAGTTATATTTTTGTTTCATCAGACCAGAGGCCATTTCTCCAAAAAGTATGATCTTTGTCCCCATGTGCAGTTGCAAACCGTAGTCTGGCTTTTTTATGGCGGTTTTGGAGCAGTGGCTTCTTCCTTGCTGAGCGGCCTTTCAGGTTATGTCGATATAGGACTCGTTTTACTGTGGATATAGATACTTCTGTACCTGTTTCCTCCAGCATCTTCACAAGGTCCTTTGCTGTTGTTCTGGGATTGATTTGCACTTCACGCACCAAAGTACGTTCATCTCTAGGAGACAGAACGCGTCTCCTTCCTGAGCGGTATGACGGCTGCGTGGTCCCATGGTGTTTATACTTGCGTACTATTGTTTGTATAGATGAACGTGGTACCTTCAGGCGTTTGGAAATTGCTCCCAAGGATGAACCAGACTTGTGGAGGTCTACCATTTTTTTTCTGAGGTCTTGGCTGATTTCTTTTGATTTTTCCATGATGTCAAGCAAAGAGGCACAGAGTTTGAAAGTAGGCCTTGAAATACATCCACAGGTACACCTCCAATTGACTCAAATTATGTCAATTAGCCTATCAGAAGCTTCTAAAGCCATGACATCATTTTCTGGAATTTTCCAAGCTGTTTAAAGGCACAGTCAATTTAGTGTATGTAAACTTCTGACCCACTGGAATTGTGATACAGTGAATTATAAATTAAATAATGTCCATGTAAACAATTGTTGGGAAAATTACTTCTGTCATGCACAAAGTAGAAGTCCTAACCGACATGCCAAAACTATAAACAAGAAATTGTATGGAGTGGTTGAAAAACGAGTTTTAATGACTCCAACCTAAGTGAATGTAAACTTCCGACTTCAACTGTATAAGACAAGTAATCCTGTCATAACCTCAGAGCCAACGGAGGAAATAAGCAGCCCTTAAACAGTGGAATTTATTTTACCTCTCATTCTATGATGTCCATGCAGGGTGGGGACAGTTTGTGGGTTCTGGAATGGAACGAGGCAGATACTGTACAAGCATGATTCAGTCATGTAATTATTGACTATGTCTATATTTCACAAAATATCTGCTTAATACTGCATCTGGAAGTTTTTGAAGTGATTTGATGTATTTTGACAATGGCTTCAAAAAATAAATATCACTCTTTGCAGTAGGTGGTTCTTCTCTACCTTTTCACTAAACCTGATTCCGCTCACTTCTCAATTGTCATTGTCAGAAGTAGACAGGAGTAGAGGAAACGTCAAGGGGTCAGGTTGTTGACGTCTATGAAGCATCTATGAACTGCTTAGGCAGGGGATGATGTTGTGTCTCATTTCAAATATCCCCACTACCACATTGGCTCCACCTGACCTGTGTCGTGTATGGGGTTCAACGCCACCGAACATTCAGATAGAAATACATCATGTAGAATATACATCCTCCTCTGTCTTGGTAGGTCATCTCTGAGACATTTCTATCTGCAACAAAAAAGTTGTGCCCTCCTGAACTCAACTCTGGTTACTGTATGAGTTGCGTTCTGTCATAGTGGATCAAGAGTGAGTTTTTTTGGGGGGGGTCTGTCATTGCATCCATAGCTATGTCTATGAATTTGAGATTGGTAAAATCTCTTCAGCCCCATCTCTCAGCTATTTACCAAAACAGTGGTGGGATAACAGCTTTGTTGTTTGAGCTGCAGATTGACCCTTTAAAGTGAAGAAAGAAGTAGACAGAATTATGAATGGGTTGCTCTGAAGAGATGCGGCCCGTTCTGTGATGTCAACTCTCACTCCAGGGAAAGATAGCTTAGGATGGGGATGGTTTTTGTTCCACTAGTAGTGTGTCAGATGTGTATTGTGGTTTTGTTTCTTTTAAGTCAAAGAAACAATCTCTCTCCTTCCCTTGCGTTTGAGGATTAACCGTTTAGCTATTATGGACATCTTGCATATTGATTGTAGTCTGTGGAATAGCTATCATGACGCGTTGTTAATTGCCCTCTCTCTCTCTCTCTCTCTCTCTCTCTCTCTCTCTCTCTCTCTCTCTCTCTCTCTCTCTCTCTCTCGCTGGTGTTTGAGGTTGAACCCTCAGCTAAGATGTCATGGATGTAGTCTATGGGAAGATCTCAATTGCATACTCCTCGCATCCTCTCACCTCGTCTCCTTCTCAAAACCCATTGGAGGAGGTCAGAGGGGCGGGACCTCTGGCTTTCTCATCCAATGGGTTTTGAGAAGGAGACGATGAGAGAGGAGAGAGGACGCGAGGAGTATGCAATTGAGATCTTCACCATGTTATAGCTATCACGAAAGATTGCAATTGTTCTCTCTCCCTGGAGTTTGAGGTTCAAACCTTAACTACTATGGACGTCTTTCGTTATTGAATGCAGTCTGTGAAAGCTATCACGATGCATTGCAATTGTTCTCTCACCCCCTCTCCCTCTCCCTCTCTCTCAACCCCCCTCCCCCCTACCTCTCTCAGCCATACTGAGTGCCTCAAAGGAGGTGGTCCGCAGTAAGAGGTTGACTCAGACCCTGGAGGTGGTCCTGGCCTTCGGTAACTTCATGAACAAAGGCCAGCGGGGCAACGCCTACGGCTTCAAGGTGTCATCCCTCAACAAGATTGCAGACACCAAGTCCAGCATAGACAGGTCAGAGCGGGCAGAGAGAGGGGTTAACTAACGGTTGCACAACCACAGAGGGGTGGTGGGCAGAGATTTGCAGATCAAATGTGTGTGTGAGAGTGTGTTTGTAAGGGTGAGAGAGAGTGTGTTGGAGAAAGTGTGTGTGTGTGTGTGTGTGTGTGTGTGAGAGAGTGAGAGTGTGCTTTCAATTACATGTGTGTTCTCTCAATTACATGTGTGTGCTATCGCTGTCCATGCTAATGTGTGTTGAAACAGGAACATCACCATGTTGCACTACCTAATCATGATCTTTGAGAAGAACTACCCCGACATCCTCCACATCCAGCAGGACCTGCTCAGCATACCTGAGGCTGCCAAAGTCAAGTAAGTACCCACCGCCTGGCTGACACAGATCTAGGATCAGTTTACCTCATACCGAATCCTAACCTTAACCATTAGGGAGCGCACACAAAACTGACCTTAGATCAGTGTCTAAACGCAACTTTATCCTACACTTTACTGAGGTACCATTCAAAAGCTATTTGAAATACAGCGCTGCTCTATGGGAACGCAAGGGAGAGGTTTCTCTTAGCCACAGATCTAGGATTAGATTTTATTACCCCAATGCACTTTATTAAAGAATATCAGACATCTGAACGTCTTCCTTTTCTCAACCAGTCTGGCTGAGCTGGAGAAAGAGGTGCACAACATCAAGAGTGGACTGAAGGCTATAGAGACGGTGAGTTGTCAATAATGTGTGTGTGTCTGTCTCTATATGTGTGTGCGTGTGACGCGCATCTGGCGACTGTCTCTCTCTATGTCTTTATTTACTACACACACTACACACACACACACACATATTCCTCTGTAATACCTCCTTCACTTAAGAGAAATAATAAGACATGACTAATATGACTTGACCGAAAAAGTGGGTGAAAAAGAAAGTGAAATGATAACATCCCTCTCTCCCCCTTCAGGAGCTGCAGTACCAGCAGAGCAGGACGAGGGACCGAGGGGACAAGTTTGTCCCCGTGGTGGGGGACTTCATCACAGTGGCCAGCTTCAGCTTCTCCGAGCTAGAAGACCTTCTGAACGAGGCCAAGGACAAGGTAGAAACCCTGACCTTTAACCTCTCAACCCTTACCATCCCCCTGGCCCTAATCATACGATTTTAAATGAGGCCAAGGACAAGGTAGTGTCACCTCTCAACCATGAACATTAATGGCTCCAATCCCATTCAAAATACTCTTGCCAAACCAGTTTGAGACAGAGTGGAGTTGGTGGTGGGTAAGAGAGGGAAAAGAATGGGAGAGGGAGCCAAAAAAGGAAAGAGAGGAACCTTTGTGCATCTTTCCAACCCTGTGTGATGACTTAAACAGGCTGGGGAACCCCGATGTTGGATTGTTTTCCCTCTGTTTTCAGATTTATTCCTGTTGAAATGTAGTTGGTCTCCTTTGTAAATTCCTTCTTTCAAGGGCATGAGAGGAAGGCTTTTTGAACTCTGTAGGGGGCGAAGGGTTTTAGTGGAGTGCGTATGAGAGTGTTTGAGTGGGAAGGCAGTTTTGCAGTATTCTTCGATGATGCATATGTTTGTCGGTGAGTCACATGACCATGAGGATTGATGTGGTGTATGTGTGCGTGCGTAAAGGATGGAAAGAGGGAGGGAGAAAGAGACAGACGGAGAGAGAGAAAAAGACAGGGAAGGGCACTCATTGCCATCACAGAGCCTCGTCTGTGTTAGCGTCTGTACTCCTAATTATTTGTTCAAGGAGCGCTGTAAAAAGGAGGGAAAAAACTGGTCGTTTAGGACGTCACAGGAAAAGGCACGAGCCAAAGCTCCATTTGCTGCCATAAAACAAAACAACCTCTGTGTGCACCAGGCCAGACTCTATATAACCCTCTTGCCTCAGAGCTGTGTGTGCATGTGTATGTGTTGGGGAGTGGATGAGTCAACGTGTAGGTTCCTCAATATCCATGGAAATGGGGTGTGTGTGTGTGTGTGTGTGTGTGTGTGTGTGTGTGTGTGTGTGTGGTTTGCTTAGTAAAGTAATACTTATTTTCCACCATAATTTGCAAATAAATTCATTAAAAATCCTACAATGTGATTTTCTGGATTTTTTTTTCTAATTTTGTCTGTCATAGTTGACGTGTTCCTATGATGAAAATTACAGGCCTCTCTCATCTTTTTAAGTGGGAGAACTTGTACAATTGGTGGCTGACTAAATACTTTTTTTCCCCCACTGTATACTGGACACAGAGACATAAAAATGGTTTCCACAAGTTCATCTGACTCTGGGGAAGTAGATTGCCAAAATCCTGAAGTATCCCTTTAAATTGATCAGTGTTCAATGACTATGTACATAGGGCAGCAGTCCGTAAGTTGCAATGTAGAGTACCCGGTGGTAGCCGGCTAGTGACAGTGACTGAGGTTCAAAGTAAGGTACTGGGCAGAGGGCAGGGTACTAGGCGGAGGCCGTCTAGTGATGGATGTTTAACAGTCTGATGGCCTGGGGATAGAAGCTGTTTATCAGTCTCTCGGTCCCAGCTTTGATGCATCTGTACAGTTTCCGCCTTCTAGATGGTAGTGGGGTGAACAGGCCATGGCTCAGGTGGCTGAGGTCTTCTTGGCCTTCCTGTGACACCGGGTGCTGTAGATGGCCTGGAGGGCAGGCAGTGTGCCTCCGATTGTGCGTTGGGCTGACCACACCACCCTCTGGAGAGCCCTGCGGTTGCATACAGTGCATTTGCCGTACCAGGCGGTGATACAGCCCAACAGGATGCTCGCAATGGTGCACCTGTAGAAGTTTGTGAGGATCTTAGGGGCCAAGACTGATTTCTTTAGCCTCCTGAGGTTGAAGAGACACAGTTGCGCCTTCTTCACCACACTGTCTGTGGAAAGGGACCATTTCAGGTCCTCTGTGAACCTGAAGCTTTTAACCCTCTCCACTGCAGCCCTGTCGATGTGGATGGGAGCGTGCTCTCTCTGCTGTCTCCTGTAGTCCATGATCAGATCCTTTGTTTTGTTGACTTTGAGGAAGAGGTTATTTTCCTGGCACCACTACGCCAAGGCACTGTTAATCAGGCCTACTTTTGTCATCAGCAAACTTGATGATTGAGTTGGAGACATGCATGGCCACACAGTCATGGGTGAACAGGTACTAAAGGAGCGGGCTGAGCAAGCACCCCTGTGGGACCCCCGTGTTGATGATCAGCGTGGCGGAGGGGTTGTTGCCTACCTCCACCACCTGGGTAGGCACCTGAGTACCAATTTATCTTACCATTTCTACCGATCTGCGTGCCAGTTATGATTTTCATATGCACATTTTTGTCATGTGATTAATAAGAATTCTAAATCTAAATAAAAATTATACAAATCTAAAAGTAACTTCTATTGCCATTGCCAACCATGTAAAAATAGCCTACATAAAGCCAACAAATAAAAACATTGCAGCCTGCAGGTAGAAAATATCACATTGGCTACTTGGAACTTGAAACATTGTATCAACAGCCCGAAGCTTGCACTAACAAACTTGCAACATTGTATAAAATATTCTGGACCCTCAGAGTTTTCTGCACTAGTGAGGTCCGGACAGACACAGCTGTAAGCTATTTGCGCAAGGGATAAGAAGTAATCAAGTAGGCCTATTTTATGACGTTTCCACCTGATCAGAGCATTATTTTATTTTTTTTGGCTTAGTGATTATCAAAAGGGAGAGAGCTGGAAAGAGTTTTAAAATAGGCTACATTGATGAACTATTGTCATTCTCAATGGATGTAAAAACAGACTTTGTTTGAGAAGCTCCACAGCTCATTAGTGGTGGTGAGTTAAGACAATCAGAAATACTATCAGATACCCAAATAGGAAAAGTTATAAGCCTACATTTGCACGCAGGCCAGGTAGCCTAGGCCTACTTCTATGCATAAGCAGGTGCGCGTCCTTACTTAACATTGACAGGAGTGCTCCAAACAAAACACAATTCATAAATTGACATCTCGTAAATGGAATGAAATAAACCAAAACCTGTTTCTCACAAGCCTAGGTTGTGCGCTCTGCAAACAACTTTTCCACTCCGAGAATGAGAACTGTAAAAGACTGTAATAATAAAATATTGAATGCATTAACAGAAATTACGGTAACCAAACAAACATTGTAGATTAGAAATTATGGGAATGAATGGTAAATGTACTACTAGTGATACTGGTGTGGCATCCCCACGGCCTCCACAATGGATTAGTCCACTGAGACAGGCATCAATCAAGACGTGCCGTTTTTTTTGCAACTGCTTGACTAAAATATTGTTGGTCGACCAACAGCCTAGCGACCAAACAATCGACCAGTCGACTAATGGGGTCAGCGCTAGTTTCTGATTAACCCAGTCACTAAGTCAGTGTATACATCAATATTATTCCCAGAGGCGGCCCAGAACATATCCCAGTCCGCATGATCAAAACAATCTTAAAGCATAGATTGAGCTATTGGTCAGACCACCGTTGAACAGTCCTTACCACGGGTGCTTCCTGCTTAAGTTTCCGCCTATAGGCAAGGAGAAGCAGGTGGTCAGATTTCCCAAAGGGTGGGGGAGGGCCTTTTAGCCGTCCCGGAAGGGAGAGTAGCAATGGCCAAGAATTTTAGCGCTGCAAAATTTCTGAGGGTTTTCCTCAAATTTCATTTATTAAAGTCCCCAGCTACAATAAAGGTATGCGGTTTCCAGTTTGCACAAAGTCGAGTGTAGTTCCTTGAATGCCGTCGCGGTGTTGGCTTGTGGGGAATGTACATGGCAGCTATTTAAACTCGCACCAAAAACTTGGCAGGCTAGCTGGGCACAGATTGGAAAGGGAGCGGAACGTTGGGACAACTGTACACGGCAATGACTATAACCGGAAAAAATTATCCCGGGGGGGTAATGCGGTCATCCAACCTGGGATTTGAACCTACAATGTTGGGGTAAACAGACCAACGTCTAAACAACTACACCATACAACCACCTCTCAACAGTCTACATTCCTAGCTATATAAACTCGCACCAAGGGGGAAAGGGGAGCAGAACGTCAGGGTTGAACTTTGGGACAACTGTTTGACAAGCTGTCGGGAATGTCAGCTTAAAGGGTGAGGGAATCAGTTACAGGGCAGCGGGCACTAACTAAGGAGCCATTGTGGGGCAGAATTTGGCGCAGTCATTCAGAAAGCCTCTGGCTCCTCACTGCCCCGAGAGTTGAGGGAACATGGGATGTACCAAAAATGAAGAATTCAGGAAGGGTTTCTATTCTAATCAAATGCCTGAATGAGTTTGATTGATTTCATTATTATTAGTGTCTTGCATCTTTTCAAGAGATTTCAAGAGTAGTTGATCAATTGTGTCAAGCATTTTACTGCTGGGCTGGAACAAATGCTTGTGCACCATGTTGCTCTCCAGGACCAGGATCGGTGACCACTGTACTATATGAGGAGTCCCATGACTCTCATCAGTAGCACAATATGTTCTATGTTCCCACAAGTGTCCAAATTGTTTCAAAGTGATTCCTTCTTGTCTTGTTTCCTTCATGACGGCTAACCTGAAAACCCTTAACCGTTGTGAAAAAAATAAAGTTGCAGTGGTAATATTGAAATGGTAATGATATGGTGGATGCCCATGTAGCCTTTTCATCTATCCACTGTCATTAAGGAAAGGAAATGTGGAAGGAGGATACTTAACAGTCTTGTGATGTAGCCAGCTACAAACCTCTGTAACATTTAATTTTGATAGTCCCAAGTAGATGGTTTGTAGATCTTCAGTAGATGTTCAAAAACTGTGAACAACATTTCAACTATCTATCCACTAACCATAGCCCTAACTTGAACACTTACCCAACCCTTATTCTAAACCTAGCCCTTACCTTAACTTTACCAAGTATTTGCCTATCAACAGACAGTTTGTTGATAGTATGACCATCTGTAGATCATCGATATGGGACTACCTAAATAAGGTGTGACCCAAACTTCCACTTGCAGAGACCACTTCACACTCTTTTTCAGCACTCCCTGCCCTCACCTCCTCTCTCTCCTCTCCTGTCTCCTCTACCCATCATAAAGTCTCCATGATTAATAGCTGCTGCGAATTAGGACCCCACAGAACTCAGCGGAGTGTGTCGTCTGTGGTAGTAAAAATCTGTGTTGGACAGAGGGTGGTGTGTGTGCACGTGTTTGTGGATGCGCGTGCGTGTGCGGGAATGTGTGGGTGGGAGCCTCAGACTGGCCTCTGCCTGGGGCCTCCAAATCACTAAGTCCCCCCCTGCTAGGTGTAGAGGAATCAGGCTTGCTATAAAACACTCTGTCTAGGTGTAGAGTAATCTTGGTTAATCCATACATGTTAAGAGAAGAGAGAGAACGAGGATCGGGACTGGAACGTTACGGGCAAGTCTATGGGCCAAATGTCCCGTCCCCTTCCCAAATCCGAAACGTGATAAGCCTGCGAAATCGTGATTTGTCCAAAGCACCAATCAGTGTGCGCATGTGTGTTTCCATCAATTTTTTAACAAATTAATTCCTACAATTGTTTGCCTCAATTGGGATTTGTTTGAAATTCCACGGTCCATGGTAGAGGTGTATCAATACCATTTATTCCCAAACTATCTGTAATTCCAATGACAAGTTAAACTCAACACACGTAGTACTAAGGAATTAACACACTGCACACGTTTACATTTCTGTCACTAGACCTTCATTAGGGTGAGATGTGTAATTTCCAACATTCCCCATCCCTCCTCCTCTCTCCCTGTGCAGTTCACCAAGTCGCTGAAGCACTTTGGGGAGGAGCAGGGTCGCATGCAGCCCGATGAGTTCTTTGGGATCTTCGACACGTTCCTGGTGTCGTTCGACGAAGCCAGGCAGGACCTGGAGAACATGCAGCGCCGCAAGCAGGAGGAGGAAAGGAGAGCACGCATGGAGGCCATGGTGAGAGAGAGAGAGAGAGAGAGAGAGAGAGAGAGAGAGAGAGAGAGAGAGAGAGAGAGAGAGAGAGAGAGAGAGAGAGAGAGAGAGAGAGAGAGAGAGAGAGAGAGAGAGAGAGAGAGAGAATGCATTGAGGCTATAGTGAGACACATACAGTGGGGGGAAAAAAGTATTTAGTCAGCCACCAATTGTGCAAGTTCTCCCACTTAAAAAGATGAGAGAGGCCTGTAATTTTCACCATAGGTACAAGTCAACTATGACAGACAAATTGAGAAATGTTTTTCCTGAAAATCACATTGTAGGATTTTTAATGAATTTATTTGCAAATTATGGTGGAAAATAAGTATTTGGTCACCTACAAACAAGCAAGTTTTCTGGCTCTCACAGACCTGTAACTTCTTCTTTAAGAGGCTCCTCTGTCCTCCACTCGTTACCTGTATTAATGGCACCTGTTTGAACTTGTTATCAGTATAAAAGACACCTGTCCACAACCTCAAACAGTCACACTCCAAACTCCACTATGGCCAAGACCAAAGAGCTGTCAAAGGACACCAGAAACAAAATTGTAGACCTGCACCAGGCTGGGAAGACTGAATATGCAATAGGTAAGCAGCTTGGTTTGAAGAAATCAACTGTGGGAGCAATTATTAGGAAATGGAAGACATACAAGACCCCTGATAATCTCCCTCGATCTGGGGCTCCACGCAAGATCTCACCCCGTGGGGTCAAAATGATCACAAGAATGGTGAGCAAAAATCCCAGAACCACATGGGGGGACCTAGTGAATGACCTGCAGAGAGCTGGGACCAAAGTAACAAAGCCTACCATCAGTAACACACTACGCCGCCAGGGACTCAAATCCTGCAGTGCCAGATGTGTCCCCCTGCTTAAGCCAGTACATGTCCAGGCCCGTCTGAAGTTTGCTAGAGTGCATTTGGATGATCCAGAAGAGGATTGGGAGAATGTCATATGTCAGATGAAACCAAAATATAACTTTTTGGTAAAAACTCAACTCGTCGTGTTTGGAGGACAAAGAATGCTGAGTTGCATCCAAAGAACACCATACCTACTGTGAAGCATGGGGGTGGAAACATCATGCTTTGGGGCTGTTTTTCTGCAAAGGGACCAGGACGACTGATCCGTGTAAAGGAAAGAATGAATGGGGCCATGTATCGTGAGATTTTGAGTGAAAACCTCCTTCCATCAGCAAGGGCATTGAAGATGAAACGTGGCTGGGTCTTTCAGCATGACAATGATCCCGAACACACCGCCCGGGCAACGAAGGAGTGGCTTCGTAAGAAGCATTTCAAGGTCCTGGAGTGGCTTAGCCAGTCTCCAGATCTCAACCCCATAGAAAATCTTTGGAGGGAGTTGAAAGTCCATGTTGCCCAGCGACAGCCCCAAAACATCACTGCTCTAGAGGAGATCTGCATGGAGGAATGGGCCAAAATAATAGCAACAGTGTGTGAAAATCTTGTGAAGACTTACAGAAAACGTTTGACCTGTGTCATTGCCAACAAAGGGTATATAAAAAGTATTGAGAAACTTTTGTTATTGACCAAATACTTATTTTCCACCATAATTTGCAAATAAATTCATAAAAGAAATCCTACAATGTGATTTTCTGGAGAAAAAAAAAATCTCATTTTGTCTGTCATAGTTGACGTGTACCTATGATGAAAATTACAGGCCTCTCTCATCTTTTTAAGTGGGAGAACTTGCACAATTGGTGGCTGACTAAATACTTTTTTTCCCACTGTACACACAACAGGAAGGACCTGGAGAATATTCATGACAACAGTCATGGGAATGTGGCTTGGAGAACTGGACAAGTCTGGGAACAAGACAGACCTCCAGACATCCATCCCCCTGCACTCACACTTACAGACACACATAGACACAGAACAACCTTGCAGCCTGAGTAAAACCACATCATGTTTACGTAGTGATGTAGATGATGATAAGCATTTTAGTAATCTGTAGTAACCTTAAAGTCTGCACTCTGTTCTGCATTTGTTAAAGAGATTCTCCGGTACTTTTATATACTTTTTAGCCATGAAATGTAGGGAAAATGCCATGGCACAGCTTTAAGAAAACAGTCGCTTTCAAACTAGGGACTTTGTGGATAATTGAGGTAAGACAGTCATTCTGCTCATGGATTATACATTTATGAACTACACATTGAAACATCTAGCCCAAAGCGGGAGGTTTAAAAATACTTTCTTAGGCACCAAAGTACCGGAGCATGTCTTTAAGATGTGAAGTCTAGTTTTCTCTGTGTTTTATTGGTCTGTGTGTGTCATATGGTCTGTCTGTTTCTCTCTTTTGTTTTTCTATCAGCACTTCTATCTGCTGTTCAACGCTCTGTCTGTCTATAACTATGTGTCTCTCTTTCTCCCCCCCTTATACCTCCCCCCTATAGCTGAAGGAGCAGCGAGAGCGTGAACGGCGGGCCAAGAAGGGTGGTGCCACAGACGAGGTGGGGGGCGAGTTTGACGACCTGGTGTCGGCGTTGCGCTCCGGTGAGGTCTTCGACAAGGACCTGTCCAAACTCAAGCGCAACCGCAAGCGTTCGGTCAACCAGATAGTGGAAGGGGGTGGCCGCGAAAGACCGGTCACCAAGGTCAACTATTAATGACCCCTGGCCCCCAGGAGTCAAGGGTGAAAGGGATACAGCGGACAATGTTGGCACTGTTTTCCTCACCGATGACCTCTAGAGGTTAAGGGTCAGAGGGTAAGATTGTGGGTGTCGGACTGTCGTTTCGATATAGCAGCCACACCACCCATCGGAAGGAAAAATGGAAGGAAAGTAGACCTTTAGTTGATGAGAATTGCTCTGCTTCAAAACTCCACCAAGACACCTGACCCCATTTTCAGAAGTGGACTACAGACACTTAGACGGACTGACAGACAGACCACTGTGACATGACTCCCTGTCCCCTTTTGACCACCTATCCATCCCCTTTTGACCACATCTCTCCAGCACTGTGCTCCATGTCTCACTTTGTCTATCCCTTTCTCACCGTGCTCTTCCACTCACACACACACATACTCTAATAATAATCATTTTTATAGCGCTCTTCATTACATAAAGGAATCTCAAAGTGCTGTAAAGCAACAACAAAAAAACAAACAATCAAAATTAACAAAACGTAATGAGAAAGTTCATGGCTTGGTTGAGGTCAGCGGAGGGAGGAGGTGGTCAAAGGGGAGAGCCGGGAGCAGGCAAGCAGCACGTTGTCATCATGGTGTCTCGCCATCCACGGCGTCTGTGGTTTCGTAGTCAGACTCAGTCAGATGAAGTTAGAGTTCCGTACTAGCCACTGGACTAGCTAGCCAGCTACTCTTCACTACTATCAAAATGCAGCACCCACTTGGCAGTCACGAGGCGCCAGAAAGCACACCACACTTCAATAGTAATTCAGGATTAGCCAGTCATGGTCATCTGTCATCTCTGTATAACTCTGTATTCGGGCTTCTCTCGATCCTCAACCTCTGGACAGTACGCATAATCAAATCAAAACATTGCGTACTAGCCAGCTAACATTCGTTTTCTAGCTAGCCAAAAAACAACCGCCAACTTCAGTCTTTAAAACATGCTGGATTCAGACTATATTAATAAGCTAATAGTTCATTCATAAAACCAAACGTTTGTAGGGAAAAATGCTATAAATACAATTAATGACAAATATTTACAAAATATACAGGAGCTCTCTGCCTAGCCGATCTCACGGTGCCATGGCAACCACGGAACACAACTTTGATTATCCTATTTGTGCCATCTTGTGTTGCATCTGTGAGTTTTTGCTATTTGGTGTAATGACTCCTCCAGCCCAGCAGAGGGTAGTGGTTCTCTGTGGAGCCTCCTCTCTCGCTCTGTCTCTTACTCTGGTGGTGCTTATTCTGGTTGGTAGTAGCTTTACTACTTCAAATAGTGAACGTAAAGACACAAGGAGTACTTCCCAAAAAGCCATAACTGCCAACATTATTGCAACAGAGGGACTATGGGTCCCACAATGCTTTGCAGCTGGTGTCGGCCCATTCAGGAGTTGGGAGAAGGATGTTGAGGTGACACAATGGGGACTGTGGCCACATGGGCTGCCTTTGGGAACACCCTCTTCCCATGTGCCTCCTCTACCACGTCGCATTCCCGAGGACTCACCCCCAGACGGAATTTCACAGAGCGAGAGCACAACACTTCCCAGTAGAAACGTGTGGGGGAGTACCTGTGCCCCAAAGTGGGACTGTGCTACAATTAAGGGTCAAGTTCACCTTTTACTATTCATTTGTCTTTAACAATTTGAAGAAGAGAAGGATTGTTTTGGCATTACCCTGTGCCAAAGCAACAGAAAAACACTATGTATACATACAGTACCAGTCAAAAGTTTGGACACACCTACTCATTCCAGGGTTTTTCTTTATTTTTACTATTTTCTACATTGTAGAATAATAGTGAAGACATCAAAATTATGAAATAACACATATGGAATCATGTAGTAACCAAAAAAGTGTTAAATCAAAATATATTTTATATTTGAGATTCTTCAAAGTAGCCACCCTTTGCCTTGATGACAGCTTTGCACACTCTTGGCATTCTCTCAACCAGCTTCCATATGTGTTATTATTTCATAGTTTTGATGTCTTCACTATTATTCTACAATGTAGAAAATAGTAAACATTAAAGAAAAACCCTTGATTGAGTAGGTGTGTCCAAACTTTTGACTGGTACTGTGTATATATATATATTAATACAAAAAGTACTGCAATTAGGAAGCCATTTATATATTTATATTTAGAAGCAAACATGCTAATTGCAAAGAATAAGGGGTTTTATGTTTCATGGCATTATGTTCTTGTTTGTACTCCTGATGTATTATTTGTTGGTGTCTTTCAGTTCACATTTCAATCGGTTAATGTTTTTTCTTTCATTTATTTGAGCTTTTTGTAAAAGATCATGCCCTGTCTTTTACATCCAGGTTTCATTTGCACTGGTTTGTCTCTGAAAACCCCAAACCCTGCGACGCTCTCCTATATGCTCTTCTCACCCCCACAGCCTCTATTATTTAACCACTAGGCAATCAAATGTCCCCTGTCAAGTATCATCTATGTTTCCTAACACATTGATAAAATGGTACATATTCCAATGGCGCTAACACAATGCATTTTGTCACTTTTATCCTCTAATAATAATTATGTGCTAGGTTGGTTATACCACAAGCAGCTAACTCCATTCTGATCAAAATGGTGGTTACTGGTACTAAGATTTGGGGGTCACAATTAAATAACAATAATACATATAATTGAAGGGGCATCCTTTTTCTCGTCTCTTTTCTTTGGACTTTGTGATTTGTGACCATCCCATCCAGTGGGATCTCAATGTAATTGTAACGTGAGGATGAATGTACACAGCACTTAAAAGGGTGAAAGATTTCTTGGAGTGGTCTCAAAGCAAATTGGTAGCTAGCAAATGTTGCTTCTAAACTAAAATATGATGCGCAACTGACTATAGGACTGACAACAGGCAAAACAGACGAGCGGCGACACCTGTGTTTTTAGCCTGGAAAGACTTCCTCCCTTTATCCTTCACCCCTTATTCCCTGGGTCCCCCATGTATCTTTTAGCTTAAGGGATCGTTCTTCTGACAGTAGGTCAGTGGTTCAGACAACTCCATGGAAGAACAAGGCCACACAGTTCACATACTGCAGCCCACTTGGGTATTTTATTTTAGTTGTTTCAGTTTTGATTTATTCCTATTATTTTGTTGTTATACACATTTCTAATACTTTAGCAGTAGGCAGGACAAAGGCTGCATGTATGTGGACGTTTGGCTCTTTTGGCAGTCCTGGGGTTGGTCTGTATATGTTTGTCTGAGAGTTTGGGCTTCTGAGGTGAATTATGTGGATGTGGAGGGAGGTTAGAGGAGAGGGGGGAGGAATAGAGGTCCTCTCCCCAAGGAGAGAGCTCCATTCCTGGGGTCATGATTTCTCTGTGCCATGGGGGATTGGCTCTCAGACATAGTGGTTAGGGAGATGAGGCCAAGGGGGTAACTAGACCATACTATGGTCTGGACTGTCAAATGAAGAGGCAGACATACTCTAAACCTATTTAGACTAAAAAACACCCACACGTATTACATAGAAAATAAACATGTACAAATGTACACATTTTGTACATTCAAAATATACAAAAATACAGTCACATGTGAGCAGTGCCTGACACATACTTAACCCCGCCCCTACTCTCACACACACACACACATAAACCCAATGAAAAGAAAATTCCTTTCCACTAAAATTAAAGCACATATCCTGAGGGAGACATTGGAGCAGATTCCTGGAGGGCAAAAGCCTGGGAACCCCCATGAAACCATGCTAGGGATCAGAGTGGAGCGGGCCCGAACACAAAAACAAACATGGCCACCGTCCATCATCCATGTCATAACACTGGCTCTCTTCTTGCTGAGGCCGGGCAGAGCAGAGACGACAGGTGGGCTGCGTAGCACAGTAAAGGTCACCACTTTTCCACATCCAGTGAACTCGAGTCGAATTAGACATTGAATCTCATGAAGTTAAATGAAGACAAGGCACTTTTCAATAATTGACCGTTCATTGCACAGGAGGCTGGTGAGGGGAGGATGGGTAGTAATAATGGCTGGAATGGAGTGAATGGAATGGTATCATTTGATACCATTCTATTTATTCTTTTCCAGCCATTACTATGAGCCTGTCCTCCCCAATTAAGATGCCACCAGCCACCTGTGGTTCAGTGCTAGAAAAGGTAGGCAAAATTATGATTATTCTTAGTTGAGTACATCGGTGTTGTTCTATGATGGCCCCTCCTGTTCTATGGTGACAGTTATACAGTATGTGTCCATATGTGAGGAGCCCAACAGTGCAGTAAGAGGGTTGGACTTTGACTTTTAAGGGTAAATAGAAAATTGAACACATTCTGTGATAATCTCTTTGTGTGTGTTTAACCCTCCCTGGTGAATGGAAGAAGGCAGTGTTCAAGACATGTTCCCGCTACACCCAGGGCCTAGAATATTACCATGCGGCTCAATACTGCCCTATCTAAGCTTTAGAGACTGGACACTGGGTCGTGTTCAGTAGACCCTGGAAATGCTCAATTGCTTTTTATGAGGCAAAGGGGGATGAATTAACATCCCATGTTGCAGTTCCGAAGCAGATAAAACTCAAACGGGTATCCAGAGGTAGAACTAACAATCACACTGGTCCCAAAATGAAACAGAATCATCAATCTCGATATTATGGCATCACTGACATAAGAAATATGGTCGGTGAGGAGGTGGTGCAAAGGGGGGTGCTGTGGGATTATTTAAGATACTCTTTGAAGCAGAAGGGTTTCGGAAGATTGGCAGGAACTCTGCTGTCCTATCTTAAGGGGGAACAGAAAAGACTTGGACTGGGCTGAGTGGGAGCTGCCCTCCCGTAGTGGTGGGAGGGCCAAGAGACCAGAGGTGGCAGAATAGAGTGCTCGGGTTGGGGTGTAGGGTTTGAGCATAGCCTGAAGGTAGGGAGGGGCAGTTCCTCTTGCTGCTCCGTAGGCAAGTACCATGGTCTTGTAGTCGATTGCAAGCTTCGACTGGAAGCAAGTGGAGTGTGCGGAGGAGCGTGG